TCCCTCAAGGGTGCTGGAGGGCAACTTGTCAAGGTCCACCTCCTCGACAGCCGCGACGTGATCTTGCTAGCATGAAGCACTGGTGCATGATGGTGCTATGGGTGGTGGCGAGATCAGACGACAAGAAGAGCATTGAGCTGCCGAGCGTGCTGCCGTGTGGTGTCAAGGACGAGTAGATGGGTTTATGATGGAACGTGGGGATTATGCATGTCCACGCATAGGAGTCGTCTTTTGGGAATTGGAGCTACTTGACGAGCATTATCGAGCGACTATGTTCGCCTCTGCTGATTGTATAACATAGACGTTTTATGCAACGACTAATTTTCAAATCTATGCTTTTACATGCATGCAGCCCTGCGCAGGGCTGATACAACAGCATTATACTGTTTGAGTCTGGCTTATAGGCTTGCAATGAACGCGGAAGTGTGGTGAAATTAGTAGGGTTCTGAGAATACAGCGGATATGGATCATGTGGTGGTGCCTTGGTCTACCAACGTGTTCAACATAAAGGATCCGCCATGCAGGAATGTAATGCAGGTCAACATGAAATTTGATGGATAGGACAGGCCGGGTGTCATCAATGACGTATAATCTTCGAAACACCCAGAGAAGTGCCGAAGCTCCCTAAATAGTAAAAAACCGTGTTGGTCCAATATATGCCGTTCGGATGTTGTAGACAAACGAGTTATTTTCGTAGAGTAGTCGGGCGCGGACGGACCCTAGCACGAGATTTCAGGTTGGCCAAGCTCCTCCGAGCAAGTCCCGCCATGTCGCAGCTTCGCTCAGACCGCTAACCACCAACAAATCGACCCTAATCCCCTCCCAATACCCCAGATTTGCTTCCGTGGCCATTTCACAGTCACGATGCAGTCGATTCGGCAACCGCTGCGCTCTGCGCTTTGCAAGTCCGCTACCAGGCAGTATGCGACGGCTTCCTCGCAGTATGCCGAGACGATTAAGAACCTGCGCATCAACGGAGACACAAAGGTCTTGTTCCAGGGCTTCACTGGAAAGCAGGGAACGTGAGTGGAAGTGGGGGAGGCTACAATTGGATATGGTGCTGATTAATAACAGTTTCCACGCACAACAAGCGATTGAATACGGTATGCGCCCGCTCGAAGCTACTTTGCTATGACGGAGGAGGGGGTTGACACAAGCAGGCACAAAGGTTGTTGGAGGCACAAACCCCAAGAAGGCTGGTACCCAGCATCTCGGACTGCCCGTCTTCAAAAGCGTAGCCGATGCCGTCAAGGAGACCCAGGCTTCTGCTACTGCCATCTTCGTTCCGTACGCATCACAGGACCCCCCACGGAATATATCATCTGACTCCATTGTAGCCCACCCGTCGCCGCTGCCAGTATCGAGGAAGCCATCGCCGCAGAGGTTCCCCTTATTGTGACGTAGGTGTACACATGAAACCTAAGCTACACGGAAACTTACAGTAGACAGTATCACTGAGGGTATCCCCCAACACGGTAAGCAAGATATCGGGAGTTTGATTAACAGGAACTGACTAAAGTAGACATGGTCCGCATCACGGATATGCTCAAGAGCCAGAACAAGTCTCGCATGGTCGGCCCCAACTGCCCCGGTATCATCGCTCCCGTACGGTTATGCCCGCACCCAGATACTCTTCAACAGCTTTACTGAACTTACCAGGGCCAATGCAAAATCGGTATCATGCCTGGATTCATCCACAAGCGCGGCCGTGTTGGTATCGTCTCTCGTTCCGGAACCCTCACCTACGAAGCCGTCAACCAGACCACCCAAGCCGGCCTTGGACAGTCTCTGGTCGTCGGTATCGGCGGTGACCCCTTTTCCGGAACCAACTTCATCGACTGCCTCAAGGTCTTCCTCAAGGACGAGGAGACTGACGGTATCATCATGATTGGTGAGATTGGTGGTTCAGCCGAAGAAGATGCTGCCGACTTCTTGAAGGAGTACAACACCGCCAACAAGCCCGTTGTCAGCTTCATTGCTGGTATCTCTGCGCCACCTGGCAGGAGAATGGGTCACGCTGGTGCCATTGTTAGCGGTGGCAAGGGTGATGCAAACTCCAAGATCACCGCGCTTGAGGCTGCTGGTGTCACTGTCGAGCGCTCGCCTGCTAAGTTGGGATCAACTCTTTACGACCAGTTCGTCAAGCGTGATCTGATATAGAGTTGACGATGATGTTTCATTGAGCATTGCATGTTCCGCGTTGCGGTTGCTGCACAAGAGTCCATTGTACATTGTAGTTATTTAGAAATCCACGAATGCATCCATCTGAGCAATTGTCATTACTATGTGTTGTGTATTTGATTGTGTTTTTACTTGGTATAGATACTGCGGTTTTCGTGAAGCATTTCAGCCCTCTTCCTTTTCACAAGCCGATGCTTGAACGCTCGATGCAGGTGGCCCAAGCTCAAGACCTCAAGCCAAAAAAGTTCCCCGCAAACCTCCGAGACGGCATCCCCAATTGGAAATCGCAACAACCACATCCATACCTTTACCTCAAATTCACATCAGATCGGCAACAAAATGTCCAAAACAAAAACCAAGCGCGCGCGCCGCGAACTCAAACGCGAAGGCGACCGAAAAATAATGGCGCATCACCGTAAAATCGCAAAAGCAGCAGAAACCAAGCCCACGACAACAGCGACAGCGAAAGCAACAGCGACAACAGCAAAACACAAATCCAAGAAACAAAAAACCAGCCACCAAACCATCACCAGCACAACATCCACCGCCACGACGCCAACACAAACACAAACACAAACACACCACCAACCCTCCCAACAACCCCCCATCCCCTTCTCCCCCTACGACCACATCCTCCTCGTCGGCGAAGGCGACTTTAGCTTTACCCACTCCCTCGCCGTCGCCCACGGGTGCGCAAACGTAGTAGGCACCTGCTACGACAGTTTGGAAGAAGTACGAGCGAAATACCCGCGGTTCGAGGATATACGCGAGGAGTTGGAAGCGCTGACGCCGCCGGTACCGTTGCACTATGGGATTGATGCTACGAGGATTTCGGGGTACAAGGGGTTGAGGTGTAGGCGGGATGATGATTTTGGGGTGGATGATGAGGATGAGGAGGAGGGTGGTGAGGACGAGGAGAGCGAGGGGGGAGGGAGAAATGGGAAGGCTGGGAATGGAAGTGGCAGGAGAGGCAAACGACAAGGTTATGACACAATCGTCTTCCAATTCCCCCACACTGGCGGTCTCTCCACGGATCAAAACCGCCAAGTCCGCGCAAATCAACACCTCCTCGTCTCCTTTTTCAATTCCTGTCTTGAAACTCCTACACCAAAACATCGTATTGCACAACTTCTCGCCCAGTCACAAAAACTCCCGCCATCAAAACCACCATTCCTCCGCCCACACGGCAAAATAATAGTCACACTATTCGAGTCCGACCCTTACACACTATGGAACATCCGCGACCTCGCCCGCCATGTCGGCCTCAAAGTCGTGACGAGTTTTGCGTTTGACGCTTCGCAATATCCTGGTTATGCGCATGTGAGGACGTTGGGGGCAATGGAGACGGGGTGGAAGGGTGAGGATAGGAGGGCGAGGATGTATGTTTTTGAGAAGGTGGAGTTGGTGGCTGATCGGGAGGAGGAGGAGGAGATGAAGAGGGTTAGGAGAGTGGGGAGGGGCGGTGGGTTAGGGAGTCAGAGGGAGGCTGTTAGGAGGGGGTTGGAAAGAGGGGATGGGGAATGGGAGGGGGGGGATGATTGAGGGCGTTTTTATGTGGGATCGGATGGTGCTGGTTGATGGGGTAGTGTTGAGGATGCAACTACACTATACTACATTACAGCCACACAAGCAGACGTTGAAGAAACAGGCCCACAAAGCCCCTGCCATACCAGACAGACAGTCCCACAAACACCCAAACGCCTCGCTATACCCATCCATCGCATAACCCATAAACTATACCCAGTAAAACCTTAACAAAACACCACTAAGCACAAGCTCCCCCCTCACATAACATAAACCTTCCTTACCTCACTCTCCCTCCAAACCTCCCCACCCAAGCCCCCCACCGGATCCCTCACCCACCCCCTCTCCGTCCCAACCTTCTCATTAAACACCCTCAACCTCTCCTCGCCATAGATACGCCCGTTTGGCAGCACAACAGGCGCATCTTCGACGATAGATTTTGTGTGCAGAGCGTAAGGAACGTTGCGGGCGAGTTCGTTGAGCTCGGTGCTGCAAATTGGGCAGACTGTTGTTGTAGCAGCGGAGTCAGGCGAGGCAGACGAGGGCGTGTAGGCGGAGTGACAGGCGGGTGTTTTCAAGGCGGACAGGCCGGCGGAGAGGGCGATGTGGAGGAGGGGGCGGGGTGGGAGAGAGTAGAGTGTGTGGTGGGTTTGGAGGAAGAGGTCGGCTAGGTGGGACCAGCGGGTTGGGGAGTATAGGGTCTGTGTTGTGTTTGTTAGCTGGGTGTAGAGGTGAAGATGATAGAGTGAGAGGGAAAACTTACATGATAAGGCTCAACCCCATCACAAGGTTTATACGCCAACAACCCCGCCGCCCTCCCCATCAACGCAAAATCCCCTCCACTTTTCGTCAAATACATCTTTGCATGCGCCGTCGCCTCCCCCAATTTATCCACGCCTGAACCTACACCTACACCTCCATCCTCCACATCCATGCCCTCCTCAGCAGCAGCATGCCCCTCCCTAACCAACTCAATAAACTGCTGGAACCTTAGTTCAAACTCCAGCTTACTGCCCACCTTCTTCAATTCCTTGCCATGCTCCTTACACCACTCCAGCGCTAACCCCGTACTCATGCCTTCTCTCAGACTCCGCTCAATACGCTGGCACGCAACAAAAGCATCGACGTCGACTAGCTCTTCAATCCCTTTACTACGCGCAAGACACGCCGCACTCTCCGTATACCCCTCGCGCAACAAATAATCCACCAGCAAACGACTCAAGCGCGTGCGACTCCACTCGTCGTACTTTACGTCCACCAGCGACTGTACGTCGTACAGATCTTGCAGGTGTTGCAGCCGCGCTTTCGCCGAGGTGTGGATTTTGGTTTCTTCTTCGTGTAGCACTTGGAGTTTGCGTTTGAGCGTTTGTAGTCGCGTTAGCATCGAGTCGACGCTTTCGAGCGTTGTGTTGGGTGAGGTGCTGGGTTTGGATGCGGCTTTTGTGGTTGCTGTTAGAGAGGTTGTGAGCGCCGAGGTTGTGTGTTCGATGACGCGTTGGGCGTTTTTGAAGTTGCGCCGGGAGAGCTCATAGGGCGTGCGGAGGAGGGGTTGGTCCTGCGACGGGAGATTAGTTGTGCTTGTGATTGATGCAGATGCTCTGCAGACGTACGAGTAGCAGATGCGATTCCGCGTTGAGCTTTGTGCTCATAAGCTCTGCCATGTCGGGTGGATGGTGTGTTGAATGAGTGGAAACTTTATAAGATAGCTGTGGGGTCCCAGATTCTCTGTGCTGGAATGATGGCAACAGTAAGAATTGAAGTGATGGAGTAAAGACGAATTGCGGTGTTCGGCGTTAACGACCAAGCTCCACTACCGCGGAGGTTAAACTTGTGGGGTGCTTGTCACAGGGCATAGCTCACTAACCGGCACGTGCCAGACACTTGATCATAAACACACTATCCAAACGCTCTTACTGTATGTCATCACCATCACGTCTAGATGGACATGACAAACAAACTTCTATATGGTATGATTCTGATTGATAAGACAACTCTAAAACTCCTCTAAGACCCAATGCATCATAACGCATAATCCAGATGTCTCTACCCGTGCAGAACGACACTGACGCAGGTAGCGATGAGCTGCCGGCCTACTGCAGAGGTATCCTGAAACCTGCTCTAAGGCCATTACTTTTTGTGCTTTGTACCCGCGTCCCGCTGCTCAGAAGACGCATGCAACTTGGAAAATGACTTTCAACCCTCCGCTTAAAGAGCACCAGTCGACGCCATCTTCTTGCGGAGATGGTTCTTGTACTCTCCAATGCTGCCATCCCACCGGCGAACAGTCTTGTGTTCGCAAACCATGATATCCTTTGCAATCTTGTCAAGCAATCTATTCAACGTCAGTATATCGTCTTGTCAATCAAAAAGGAGGAACATACCGGAAGTCGTGAGACACGACAACGACACCACCGCTGAAAGCATTGATGGCATCTGCCAAACTGTCAATGGTAGGAATATCCAGACCGTTGGTAGGTTCGTCGAGGAGCAACATGTTGGGGCCCTCGATAGCCAACAGAGCAAAGACGATACGTGACTTTTGACCGTCGGAAAGAGTGGCCATCTTGGATGTTTGTGCCTCACCAGTCATACCATAGCGACCAAGCTGTTGACGCCAGTACTGGAGATCTTGGCTGATGTGGTGGAACTTGTCACGGACAAAGTCAAGAGCAGACTTGGTGAGATCTAGCTGTTCAGCAGAGTGCTGGCTGTATACACCGAGCTTCAAGTGAGTATGGCGCGAAACAACACCGGATGTGGGGCTGAGCTTTCCGGTGAAGATGTTGAGGAGAGTCGACTTTCCGACACCATTGGGTCCGACAAGAGCTGTTCGCGAGTCCATGTCGACACCAAAGTCGAGGTTCTCGTATAGGTTATCCTTTGGATCTCCAGAGTAAGAAAAGGTAACGTCGTCTAGCGACAGTACTGGTGGTGGGAGCTTCTCTACATCGGCGAAACGGAAAGTGAAGACACGGTCAACCTGAACAGGCTCGATGAGACCGTCTGCCTCCATCTTGTCCAGAATCTTCTGACGAGACTTGGCTTGCCTGACCAAGTTGGCATAGGTACCAGCCGAAGCAATAAACTTCTTGATGTGCTTGATCTCGTCTTGTTGCTTCTCGTACGCCTTGGTCTGATTGACCTCCTGCTCAGTACGAGTCTTGTGGTATGTGTCGTAGTTACCTCCGTAGTAGAGAAGCTTCTTTTGGCGCATGTCGATCATGTTGGTGCAGACACCGTTCAAGAAGTCCATGGAGTGGGACACGAGAACCAGAGTGCGCTCCCACTTCTTCATGTACTCCTCGAGCCACACACAGGCCTCCAAGTCCAAATGGGCTGTGGGGTCATCGAGCAACAAGAGGGCGGGCTTGACGAACAAAGCCTTGGCGAGCGCGACACGCATACGCCATCCACCGGACATGTCCTTGGTCTTCTTGTTGATGGTGACCTTGTTGAAACCGAGACCGGTAAGAATGAGCGAGGCGCGGGTGTGGAAGGTCGATGGGTCCATGTCTTCTTGACGCTGCGAAACGTTAGTTGAGTGAAATATCACGGGTCGTTTCTACATACCTCGTAGATGTCGTCGAGAAGAGGGCTCTCCGGACCGTCTTTCTCAAGGATCTCCTCTGCCAGCTTCTCGAGACGAGCCAGCTCGTTCTCAGCCTCACGTACAACCCACTCCAAGGCGCCCAACTCGGTCTTGGGGGCACCCTGGTTCAGCAGGTAAATGTCGATGTGCTCGGGGAAGGGGAACTCGCGCTTGTCGATGGCCTTGAGGAGGGTCGTCTTTCCGCAACCGTTCTCACCCAACAGACCGTATCGTCGGCCGTAGTTGATCTCGAGGGTTGAGTCGTTGAAGAGGACCTTGCCGTGGAACACGAGCGAGGCAGAGATGATCTTGACGTCGCGCGACTGCTCGAGCGAAGCAAGCACACCGGTGGTGACACGGTCCGACAAACCGTGCTTGTCTTCCTGCATGGTGAGCTTCTTGACCTCCTCGTTCAGCTCGAGATCCTCGGCCTCGTCGCCGTTCTCAGAGTTGGCCTTGGAAGCATTCTTGGAGTTGGCCTTGGACGACAACTTGGAAGTGGCCGTCTTCTTGGGCTTCGCGTCGCCGTCGGCGGCGCGCTTTGCCTGGCGGGCGGCTTTTGAGGCGGAAACCATGGTGTCTTAGTGGTGTATTGATGAAGACGCGGGCGTGGTGGAAGAAAGAGGAAATTTCGTAGGGTTGGGAAACAACGTCAATCTGTGCCCCGCTAGGTATAACTTTGCCCCGCAAACGCCGTGTTTGAGATTCTGGTCAGCGCCCAACACTCGGATGCAGCCGAGTAGAATTAAATTTGGGTTGCTGGTAGTTTGCACAAGGAGAGAATAGGGATGTGAAAATTAAAAGGCGCGGTCAGACAATGAGATCCTGTGCAACAATTTTCTGACATGTGGCGAAGGCTGTGCACGGCCAATGAGCGCCCCCCCACCATACACAGGGACTATGGCGCTGCTCATGCCCATATATGGCTGGAAATTTCATTTTCACGATTTAGTGCTCGTATGCCGTTCCCTTACATGGTACTTGTCCCTGGAAAACTTTGCATCTGAACTGCTTTGGTTGAATATGTGGGTTACCAAGGACATATCCCTGTACTTGACCACAAACCAAATTTACACTATTACTGAGACGGCATCCAGACCATATGTAGTCAGCCTGAGTACCACGGAAACATCTAGTTTATTTTCAGAAATAAAAATGCATCTCTTTCAGTTGGGTATACGCTGTGACATCTACCAAGTCATCATCCCACCTTGTAGTCGCCTATATGTGGATACCCCTGTACCTGTACTCCTCGGAAAAGCGACAAGCGATACCCTCCTTATCTCCCTCATGCTCGCCAGCGATAAGCCTATATACCAGACCGGCTACTCCCAACATTACTCGAAACAATTGTAAACTCAGCACTACTCCTTTCACTGCCATCTTCCTTTTCCAAACAGGTTTCTCTTCCTTCCATATCAACCCTTTTCCGTAACCGTTCTCTCAACCTCTGCAGCACCTTGGTCTCTTCTGCATTCAGACTCAAATCATTTGGTAGTATGACTTCTGCGCCGTTGATTATTATTCGCTGTCCTTCTCGGTCGTAGTCTTGTTCCTCGCTGTCTTTCTTTCTTTCTACGCTGCCGCCTGCATCTGGCACCACTTCTTCGTCCTGCAGCTTTGCTTTGCGTACATCCAGTGGCGTCCACCAGTACATTGGAAATTGGCGTTGGATGTTATTAACGATCAGCCCAACCGCCAGCATCAATGTAGTACCCCACATGACGAGTCCGACAAAATACCAGCCCATAGCCGTGATAACAGGTTCCGTTACTGCAAGGACCGCAGATGCACCACCGGGTGGATGCACGGTATTTGTCAAGAGCATAAAAGCGGATGCACAGCCACAAGCTATGGCGCCAGCAACCCACTTGACCGAATCGTAGTCCGAATGGTGCTGAAACAACTTCGATATGCCGATACCAATAAGAGCCGAAAAGGTATGACCCAGCAGGGCATTTCGCGGCTGCCCGAGAGGCGAACGGATCGAGTTGTACTCCAGAATCGCAGAAGCACCCTATGCAAGGAAAAAACCCAAAGTCAGCTTCCAGCCATGCCTGTTACTGCCCTCGCTACCAGACTTACAAAAGAAGCAATCAGCGCTGGAGGACGATGCCACTGTATACTCTCCGTGTTGTTAAACACAGCCGCCACAACCGCCAATCCGCAAAACGCCCCGACCAACGACCAGAACGCCCCAAGTACATTCCCGACATCCTGCTGCTGCGCCTCCTTCCTATACCCCAGGAACCTCGCCACTAGCGTTGGTAGCTTGGGCAACTGCGACGCAGGAACAACACGATTGATATAACGGTCCAGATCGAAATTCCACTCTCTCGCGCCCGAAAACCCGAAGATACCCATCGCTTCCACTGTCCAAGAAAGATAAGGTAAGGGGTGTGGGTGTGGGTGTGGATATGGTGGTGGCGGAGTAGGATAATAGTGTCAACTAACTCTACACCAAAAGCAACAAAAGCCGATAACTAGCAAAGCACAGAGCTACAAAGATAAATACAAAACGTAAACGCCCTCGGGAAACGCGGCTCTTGCCCTTTAGCTAAAAAGAAAACGCCAGCCCACCACTTACCGCACCTATGTATAGCGCGCGTTCATGTGCGTATGTACGGCTATGGTATATGCGCCTCGATTATTACCGTCCGCCCGTACGTTATCCTTCCCGATGCAAGCTCCCATACGTCCTTTCTCACCGGTACGGTACGTCGAACAAAGACACAACCCACGCGCACAAAACATGATTGATCCTACCTACCGGCCACCAGCCTCCGTCCTAGCGCGGCCGCGACCCAAAGAACCCCGCGTACGTAGCCAACTTACCCACATCGCAGGGCAGCAGGCTTTTCCATTGCACCCACGGTGTCCTGGTTTCCCGACTTAAAGTCCATGGGCGAAGAAAGATATTGGTGACACCACGGGGCTGCGTTCCGACACCGAATACATAGTTACGCGTGACGTTTGCGCGCATTTGCGGAGGGAGGGTTACGTAACATTACGTACGGGAAACTAGACCCGTTTATGTTTTACTAGGCATCTCCTCGGGGCACCGCGGATACATGATTTCCACAGGTACAACGCAAGATGATTAAGTCGTCATTTTGGTGGCCTTTGTTTGTTCATCGGGATGTTGGTATGCAGGGGCTGGTGATGGAAGGGTTTGTGTGGGGTTTGTTGACTGGGGATGGTATAGTAGAGGGTGAGTACGTGCATATTTGGTATGAGATGGGTTTATATAGGGATTATTTTGTGTAAAGATACGAGGTAGGTATACGCTGGGCTGGGTGCTGGATAGTCTGGGGTAGGGTAAGCGATGGGGTTACGTCATTGAGCGCGTAAACAAAGCGCTGCATCGCGGGTCTGCAACGCGCGAGACGTGCTAGGTCCCAAGACAAAGATGATGCTTGTTTCTGCTTGTCGTTTCTTGTCGCAATGTTTATGTAAGCCAGATTCTTGTCTGGGTATCACGTGTATGGACGTGAAGCCGAAGAAGGTCACGATGGGATAAAGAGTGATGTAAGATGTTGTCTCTGAAATTGAATCTACTACGAACACACTGTTGGAATGAAATGCATCTTCCGTGCCTTGACTGAACTGCGCTTCTGGTACTGAGTGCATGGCCGTTGCCATGATTGTATGAAAAGAACCGCCCGTAATCTGGAGCGTGATTATACGCCCCCGCCCATGCTCCACCTTTTAGTTGTAATGCGCCTACCAGAGAAAAAAACCTATACTCGAACACTCTTTCATGCACACACCCCTTAGTATATCGAAAAGTCATCGCCTCTAGATGACTAAGTACCGCGGAACAAGAACTGCAGGTCCTCTGGACTCAAGCGATCCATGGCAACCTTGTCGTTGTTGATAGTACCAGCAATCATAGCTGCCTTCTTCTCTTGCAGCGCTACCATGCGCGACTCTACACTGTCTTCAACGCAGAGACGCGTGATGACACAAGGGCGTCGCTGACCGATACGATGGCAACGATCGGCAGATTGCCACTCAGCAGCTGGGTTCCACCATCTACGAATATGTTAACAGGTACGTCATATACAGGAACGTGATCAGACTTACGGATCGACAATGAACACTCTCGACGCTTCCGTCAAGTTGAGAGCGACACCACCAGCCTTGAGCGAAACGAGGAAGACCTCAACATCCGGGTTCGTCATGAAGTGGTCAATGCTCTTTTGGCGTTGAGCAGGCGTCATGCTTCCATCCAACATGACTGTGTTGAAACCTGCGCGACGGAGACGCCACTCAATGAGCTGCAACATTGATGTGAACTGACTGAACACAATCGACTTGAGCGTCTGCTTCTTGCTGCGCAGCTTATAGAGATCATAGACGAGCATCTCAATCTTCGTAGAGGAAGTCCAGTTCTCCATCTTGATGCGGTTGATGATCGAGGTCTTCTTGACAGAGTCCTCATCTTGCTCAAGCTCCGGCTGCTCAAAGTCGATTGACAGAGCGATATGACAGCGGGGACAGTCGGCCTCGGTTCCGGAAGCCTCACACGTATCCATCAAGTCTTTGATGCAAGCACGGCAGAATTCGTGACGACAGTGAGAACGGACTGCATCCTCGGCAGGCTCATCACAAATGTTGCACACGTAGACATTGCCTGCACCTTCAACAGCGTTCTTCTTCAGCAGCAGATCAGGGTGATTAGCAACCTGACGCATCTGCATAATCAGACCGAAGATGTTGGCGTAGTTGTTGAGCATGACACCCTGAGCAACATACGTATCAAACTTGCGAGCCGAGTTGGACATGATGGAAGTCGAGAAGTCGCGCTCCACCTCGCTGAAGAACTCATTATGAATAATAATGTCCTTCATCGGCAGCTCCATCGAGCTTGTGTGGTCACGCTTCATGCGTCGCAACATGATGCGAGCGGTGATCAGATGAAGCTTTGTCAAGGCTTCCTCACGAAGCTGGACATCATCTCCTGTGATGGGGTTTAGCAGCTCCTGATTGAACACCGAAATGTGCTCAGATGCACCGTGGTTGCAAGCAACGCACATGTGATCGTCATCAGTAGCCCAGTGCAGTTTCTCGCAATCGCAGGAGCGGCAGAAGTAGTCTGCAAACGGACGGACTTCTAGGAAACGGAGAAGCGAAAAGAACTCTCCAATACGATTCTGAACTGGCGTTCCAGACAGACACCACTTGTAGTTACTAGTCAGCGCAAAGCAGGCTTTCGCTACACCCGTGTTGCGAGACTTGATGCTGTGCGCTTCGTCCAAGATAAGACGGTGGTAGTGGATAGCATGGAGTGGCGATGCTTCTTTGATTATATCCTCTCCACGGGACCATCCCTTGGTCTCTTTGCGGTGCAATGACTCCAAGGAGTTGTAGGAAACCATGATGACGTCATACGACTTCAGCTCCTTCACTGTCATCTTCTTGCATTTTGCATTCGTGCCATGATACACGAGAACCTTGAGCTTGTTGTCGGTGTACTCGCGAATCTCGTTCGACCACTGCATGAGAGCGACTGGAGGAACGCAGACTAGTGTAGGTTGCTTCGCAGGGTAATCAGACATGATCAAAGAGACAGCCTGGATAGTTTTTCCCATGCCCATCTCATCTCCAAGCAGACCGCCTTTGTAGTGAGTCTGTTCTTGGCGTATCATCCAACTAAGCCCCTCAAGCTGAAAAGGTTTGAGTCGGCGGTTGATGGACTTTGGTTGCTCGGCCTTTTGGACTTCGAGAACTGGAATCTTTTGCAGGTCATCCCACATGGTGATCAGCTTTGGGTGCTGCTGCTCTGCTCGCTCACGGTTCATGGCACGCTTGCGCTCCCACTTATCCGCAATGTGTGCGAATCTAGCCCGCCGGCGGTTTGCTTCGGTCTTGTCTTTAGCTGTAAGCTTCTTCTTACGAGCGACCTTTGTTGGATTCTCTGCAACAAGCTTCTTAAGGCGTGAACTCATCGCAAGAGGTAGGTCGCTGTCCTCACAATCGGTGGGTGGCGCCGAATCAACATCGTTTACCGACTCGTCGTCAGATTCAAGATGGAATTCACCGCCATCAGACTCGTCATCATCCAACATGTCGTCTTCTGTGAACTTGCCCACCTTCTTAGCACTGGAGCGAACAGAGCGACGGCGCTTGCTCGAGACCTCTTCAGCCTTGCCTTTGCCCTTGCCTTTGTATGGTGGTGGCGAACTCAGCTCGTCCAACAATGAATCTGCCTCGCCGTGAAGGTCTTCAGCCTTGGCTTTTCCCTTGCCCTTGCCGGTATACGAAGGCACTCTCTTCCGCGTCGACTTTATCAACGGCTCATCCTCAGAGAGCATGTCGATGTCCTCTTCGTCCTTGATCTTGCGGCGCTTGTGTGATACCACGTCCATTTCGTCCTCCAGCTGCATTTGTAGGGCGATTTCGGCGTCCATGTCGAGGGCTATATCTTCCGATTCTGAATCTGGTACGGCATTGCGCGATCTTTTGAGGCCGGAAGAGGTGCTTTGCGAGGGCGTAGGAGCTTTCTTCCCCTTGCGCGTAGACCTCTTGCCACGACTGACAGAGGCCGCTGGCGTTGTCGCAATGCTTGTTCCCGGTGTCTCAGCGTCTGAATTCTCCAAAGAAGGTGAGTCAGTCGAGCTCTCCTGTTCAGCTTGTTGTGCGTTAAGCCTTGCGAGACGTCCGCCTGCTTGAGGCGCCTTCTTAGACTTCATGACGGGGATTGAAACCTCCTTGAGAACACGGCGAACGTGGGTTTGTTCTTCGGGCTCCTCAATGTCGTGCGATTCTTCCTCTTGATCGGAAGAATTAGGTACAAAAGAACGAGTGGAGCGAGTGCGCTGTTGCCTGTGGCGACTGTCGGTGGTTGTAGAATCTACCAATGCTATGGGGCGTTAGCACCAAATCAATGCATAGCAATCGCCAAACATTGGACCCTGAATTCGGCCACACTCACTTGCTGCGCGCGAAGGCGAAGGTGCAGGGGCGACGTCGTTGACAACGCTGACCGTCGACTTGCGGTTTGATCGCCTGGGCGGCATTGTAGTCGTAGAGTGAAAGAAAAGCAAGCGCGATGGTGGCGAGAGGTGACAAAGTGCGCAGCGAGCGAAAGTCTGGTAAAGAGGGAAATGGAAGGCGATGAAACCTCGAGAGGGGTGAGAAGAAGAGTACTCTAACTATGCAAGTAATCAAGGGCGGGATGCATGACATGTACCCCTGGCAAGTTTACGCCGATAAGCCGCGTCGAATCGATCGCGTTGACGCCGCTGGTGGCAAATTCAGGGAGGTTGTCGAAAAAGGACAAGGAACTGAATGCAGGTCCATCAACTCGAGTAGTAGGAGGTGGCAAATGTGCGATTCATCGACTAGGCTCCTGCGACAAGGCGGGGAACTCGCGACGCGTCGTGATAGAGCGATGCCACGAAAGCACGTGATATTTAGGCATCTCGTCTATTTACGGACTAGTCGCTACACCACTTAGCAGTGTCAGTCTGCGCTTCTCTCACAGCACGTGTACGCCTTCAGAGCTTTGAGAAGTAGGGTAGACGATGCACAGAATTTTGGGTATGGGGTACCTGTTTCTTTGGTACGCTAACAATGGCGACCCAGTAGTTTGATGATTCAAGCAGAAATTGTTTGCGGATTACCAGCTTTAAATTTCATTCTTTGCAAGACCCATCTAGATTGGCTTTTGTTTCTGTGCTCATGGGTAGTGACCCTGAGTGCAACCGTGGCACCGTATATAGAAAAGATATTTAGCGCATACAGGACGATATATCATTTCACAGATACTTCCCGTTCATATACCTTGATTGTCGCGTACCCACAAGCCCCGCCACAGACTTTCCATACTTTCCACATCGCCAAACAGACTTCAGGCCCAGCCTTACGAGGAACCTTTAAAATTGTGGAAGACGAAAGTGCTTCGAAACACCAAATGCGAAATCATTTCGCCCTGGGATACACGCAAACCCAATAGAAGTAACCGAAAACTACAACAAATCATGGCTGAACTTGATCCCCGCATCAAACTGTCCCGCTTCTTAGCTGTTTCTAAAGACATCCAATACATGATCTACGAGGTGCCTCTCACCGAAACGCATATTCAGCCTATGACAGATATGGTCCTAGGATCCGCCTATGAGGTGATCACACTCGAACCTGCAATCAAATAAGTATCACGCAAGGTTCTCAAGGAAGCGCCAGAAGTGACACGCCGCCGAAGCCTTGAAGGTGGGCTTGTCATACATGTCTGTAACGATCTTGGTGCCCCTTACCATTGGGAGCTGTTCGAAACACTGAATCAGGCTTACGTATTCCACCAACATCATCTGAAAAGCCTCGGTATTGATGCACCTGTCCCTATCACGACAGCACTTGTTACGCAGGATTTGTTGCCTTCCACCTGGCAGCTGTTTGAAACCCTTTCATGAGGAAACAAATGATATGGACAAGTCGAAACAGCTGCTCTATCAGTACTTGGAATACGCCATGAAGAAAGTTCGTCGAAATGCTCGCGTTGAATTGCGGATTCTGGTCTGCGAACGAGGCTTCGAGGCTCTAACGCGCCAGGGCAACCCAAATCTGTCACCTATCACTGGAAAAAGACTTCAAATGAACATTGTTGTAGTTGCCGATAGTGATTCTACACGGGGAAGCATAGTGTTGCAGGAGCAGCACGCCTCCAGAACAGCTTCGCCAATAGAGTTAGATCACATGCGAAATCCATAGAGGATGATCTTCTATGACTCAGGAAAACAACCCAAAAGACTGGGTTTGCGCCATCTCAACAGAATCCAGTAGCTGACCTCGTCCAGCTCAGCGATCACCATTCCGTTCATCCTAGCTTCTTCGTTACAAAATCATACAGCAACAACTCAGCATGACGATATTTAGTCGAAGAATCTACATTTCCAACTACAAGATAACTAGAAACAAATATTCGTTCCCGAATCTACAACACCTTCCTCATCGCAACTTACATTGCTCTCTTCAACACACCGCACAGCCTATCCCACCACCTCAACTTGAACATCCGCGCCGTCTCCTCCACGCTCGCTGTCTCATACAAAACTAGATAGATAAGCGCAGAAGGCCGAATCATCATTCTATGATATGCCTCGAAACTAGCGCGCGTAGCTGTAAGGGGCTAGACCCCAGCGGCTGTATCGATGACGATACACAGATGACTGATCAAGAGATGCCTTGTAACAGAGTGGATTTGACAAAGAGCTACAAAAGGATGCTAGCTGTACATAAATACAGGAGCGGACCGAAGATGGGCCGAAGTAGAATTAGATGGATGATGACAGAAACCTATAGATGTATCTCGAAGGAATCGCATGACGACAGCTACGCACACAGCGTAGCGCATGTAATAGGCTCAGCCTGTTACAGTAGCCTCATCCTTTACCATGACAACCATCTGATAATCCAGATTCTTGCAATGATCCCTCGCATGTCTTGGAAGAAACTGTGTATTAGCCCAGGTATGGAAACGTGTATCTAGGTCATCCCGGTCTACGTACCATCGGATCTGGACTTTTGCGTTTTGACGGAGCTGAAGCAACATATTGCTGAGCGCGGCTTTTAAGTCTTCGGTAAGTTCGGCGAGTCCTAGGCTAAGGCCGTTGTTCTTGTTCAAATAGTAGACCAACAACAACAGGAGTTCCTCTAGGTAAGAAAAGGTGAGTCGGTCGAGGGCGGTGGTGGCAGTGGTGTAGTCTGTGATGTTGGGATTTTGTGCTTCTGATAGGACAGTAAGGAGCCTATTAAGCAGGTTAAGTGTGAGATCATTGTTGTCTAGATGGGCTGGAATGCTCCCAGTAGAAGTAATGCCTGGGGTTGGCTTCACGGCGATGACAAGGTCGCTGCGGGATAGTAATATGGCGCGCTGGATGTCGAGGTATACTCCGGCTTCCTGGTTGAGATACTGGCTCGTTTGCCGGAGGTTGGAGACTTGGGTGTAGTCACTGCAGGCCATGTAGCCGCCGGGGAATGACAGATTGTGGAAGGTTGGTTCAGGGAGAATGTCATACACCATGCGGCGGATGTCATGAGGGAGATCAAGGAATGAGCTGGAATTGGTGGTGATTCCAACATTAGTCGAGTCTCCTCCTTTGACTGCTGCAGTCGAGTCTGTGGACGTCTTCCGGGTTGCCCCAAAGGTCAAATCTTGAATACCTTTGATGATGCAGTAAATCATGGTGTGAGTTTAGTTCTGATCTCCGAGTTGTGTGGGTGTGAGAACTGGGGTGGAAGTATAAGCAAGTAAGCTTTTTCCCTATGCAATAACGATTCATAATATCCACCCTCCAAGGGCACGGCGCTTTACCATGTTATTCACTAACATATCGCTTCTACGATAATCTCAGTGAAGAAGCTCTATTGAGCTTTTTCACTCTTACTTTACCTCCGCAATTTCATGTGCTTTCACCACAATCAAACAATGTATTGCAATTCACGTGTCAGATCACTGTTTTTTCTACATATTGAACCAAAACACTACCATAGAACGTGACATTGTGAGCCAATGACGTTCTTAGAAAATTCGAAAAACATCATGTATTTAGAATAAGTATGTTAAGAGTTGGATTCATCGTTATGTTGCATACGATGATCCAATAGATCATGATATGTTGCCTACAGTGGAGATAGGATGAGAAACGCATCTCCTTAGAAAGGTTTTGTAGTACATAGAAAAGATAGCATATACGGTTGATTAGAAACTAGGTTTCGAAGATTCAAAAAGAATATGTCAAATTGATGCTGAAGTCATGATCGGACTAGAATGTAAGCGTTCACTGAGAGGAGGGAAAGAGGGAGGGGCCAGAAGGGCCTTGTCAGCTTATCACCTCTTAGCACTAACCGCATCTCTCATACCGCCGCAACTTTGAGATATAAATGTGGCAATGATTAATTAACCTTGAAAGGATAGATCCTGTTGGTAGGGCTATAGCACTAGTGCTGAAAGGAAATAACGATAACTAGGAATGCATTCTGTTCGGTGATGGTTCTGATTGATTGTCTTGCGAAGGAGAACTATGGAAGAGCTAGATATAGGAGGTCTGGTCTGAGCGCTGCTCGGACGCCGCGATCAGTGCGCCTGCTCGCGTGACCGAGATCCGTGCGGCCAATCGCGTGGCTCAGATATCGTTGATATCTGTGATCCGACAGATCCAACATTATTAGGCCGAAAGATCGTCTCTAGGTATACAATTGGACCGCCTCTTGTACACTAGAAATCGTGGCTGGTGAATCTTTTCAAGGAACAGGAAAATGCAAGCAGTGTGGAATGAATGACTGTAAGGTGATGCGCAGATCGCTTCAATGTGGATCGCACGTGGTAGCAGGACGACATGAGGTCCGAGCAAGGTTGTCAGTAATCAATATCTCATCAATATTGTTGTTTGATTTGTTTGATTCGGAGCCAACCAACTAACCAACAGTTAGCCACTGTATTTCTGTCAATCAATCAACCAATCTTGAGAACAAAATGTTGATAGGATTGGTGTTGTTTGATAGTAAGCGAGGGAGGGGGATACCTAGGTGAGGCCTCTGGGATAGCTGCTCAACGACGAATTCTTAGTGTTGGATCTTGCTTACTAAGCCTACTCGCGTGTAAGTTATATGACCTAGGTTCCATCCCATCTCTCACTCACTCCAGGCTAGTACGTACGAGGCTTAGCGCCCACAACGCTAGCTGGCAGAGACATAGATCTCAATTCCTGTAGCACAATACACAACACGATTCACACATGTTCTATTCCTAGTGCTACTGACATCAGGCTTATAACATTTAACAACACCTTACTTTCTCGCGGCTCCGGCTTACTTTTAGCCTTATCCATGCCCTCTATACCAGCAAAACGCAAGCCCGAGGCTGCCGAAGAAGCTGATACTCCCTTCAAGCGAGCACAACGTACGCGCAAACCTACGCTCAAAGCGCTGTTGGGTGACGGCAGCCAGCCAACCCAGCCGATAGAGCTGCCAGAAAGTACGCCGGATCCGCCTACAGAGCCGCCTACACAAGTTATCGAGCCGCCCACACGGGCTATTGAACCGCCATGTAAGCCTGTACAACAACCCGAGGAGCGCCCTCGGCGGGCATCACCACTGCCTATTTTGGCTGCCTCACAAGCCTCTCGGCTCACTGATGAGCCAGCCTGGGAGTCGCAGTTAATGTTTGATAAGCCAGAGGACTCTATTGTACAGCCTTTAGCTTTCTCTAGCGCTGCCACTGAGGCTTCGGTGGAGGAGGATAGCGCTGTGAGCGTCGATTTTCGCGACTTTGAGGGCGTCGATTGGTCGCGATTAAAGGGGTTTGTCGCGCCGCTGAGCACTCCACGAGGCAAGGCAAGCTGGATTTTTCAACACGGCTGGCGTGTCTGGAAGGAGGGTACTCACCACCCAGATGAGTTGTACTTTGTGTGCAAGTACTGTCATATTCATAAGCTACCTAATGGTGTACACCGAGTAACGAAGTCAACCACTGCCGCCAACGGGCACCTCCAGCTTGATAAAACCTGGTCATCGGCTCAGCAAAGATGGTCCAATCCTAAGCAAACCTCTCCGCAAACATGGACAACAATCACTTCGTCAGGCAGCTCTAAGCGGTGTCAAATTTAGTCTAGAGGCGTACAAGACTATAGGAAACTTCGACGTACAAGAATTTCGGCAGGCAGCTGCGCTCTGGCTGGTCGACAACAACAGACCACTCCGCGAGTTTGAGACGCCGGCTTTTCGCAAGATGATCAGGCTTGCTAATCCTGAGGCAGAGGCGGCGTTATGGAGGTCTCATAACAGCGTGTCAGCGTTCGTGATGAGGTTGTACAGTTGGCTACGGCCTCAGGTGGTGCGCGCGTTGGCTGAAGCCGAGAGCAAGGTACATATAAGCTTCGATGGGTGGACGACAAAAGGCGGCAAACGTGGCTTCTTTTCTGTAGTTGCTCACTACGCCAACAGTAAGGGCGCGTATAGTTGACCTACCCATCGCGCTGCCGCAGCTGGTGGGTGCCCACACTGGTGAGGCGATAGCTGACGCTGTAACCAAAATCCTGCAATCCTTCAGCATTAATCGCAGCAAACTCGGCTACTTTGTGCTCGATAACGCTTACAATAACGACACCGCTGTTAACAAACTCGCCGCGATGTACCACTTTTCTGCCTCCGATCGCCGCCTCCGCTGCGCTTGCCACATACTTAACCTTGTTGGCCAAACGATTATGTTCGGGAGGGATGCTGACGCGTATAACAACGCCCTGGAGAACACAAAGATGGAGGATTTTTACATGAAGGAGTGGCGGAAAGAAGGACCGCTTGGCGTGTATCTTGATATTATCAACTACATCAACACGCCGAAGCAGTGGAGTATTTTTGAAGATTGCCAACGCGAGGCAGTTAACAGCATGCCCACAGGCGCCAGCGGCGGCACTCGCGAGCCAATTAAGCCGTGTGTTACACGTTGGAACAGCTATTACGACTGCTTTAAGCGCGGAGTTCAGCTCCAACAAGCTATCAACGCATACGCCACGTACCACATTCGCGAGACTGAACAGGCTGACGAACAGGCAGCTATTAGAGGAAACAAGCTGCCTGATGTGCCGCGGTGGATGAGGTCAGACGGCCTTACGGCGGCTGACTGGGCGGTGATTACTGAGTACATGGCGATACTGCAGCCGCTCAAGTTTGCTACAGATCGCCTCCAAGGCCGCGGCAAGTGTGGCCGTTTTGGCGCACTCTACGAGGTCATCCCAGTATTTGAGAGTGTGATAACTGAGCTGGATGCACGCCTTCGGCCATACGAATCGGTCAACCACGAGCCATCTGAGGCGCCCGAAGATCACATCCCGATCAACCTGCGAGCCGCGAGGCGAAAAGCGAGCAATTACTTTACTAAGATCCTCCAAAGTCCCATTTACTACGCAGCTACGGCACTACATCCACGATATAAAACATACTCTAAGCGCTTCTGGCGCGACAAACCTACACAATTGAGCACCGCGCACGCGAAGTTTCTGCGGGTTTGGGCTGCCTACAAGCCTGCCGCTGCTGCCACAACACCAACCCCTGCGCCAAAACCTACCATGAGCAGCTTTGACGACGCTATCGACGCTATACTAGATGAGGACGGCGAGCATACATTGGAGGTGGAGGATGAGTACGATAGCTGGTTAAAAGAGCCTATGTGGACGTCTGATCAACACAAGGAGGGTCCAACAGCTGTACAGTACTGGTTATCGTTGAAGCCGAAGTATCCACATCTTTCACGATTGGCGATCGACGTGTTGACTATACCCGCCTCCAGCTCTGATTGTGAGCGCGTTTTTGCGGGAACTGGCGATATAATTGAGCCACAAAGGCGGAAAATTGGCGCGCAGTTACTGGCTGCTTTGGTGTGCTTGCAACGGTGGACTCGTGCAGGTTTTACAACACCAAGCACGACAACAGCAGCAAAGCATACTGATGAGGAGCTCACGGAAGAGTTTGCGATAGGAACGTGGGAAGAGCCGCCTGCAGAATTGTCATAGAAACGTCCCTTCAGAACCTTAAGTCTATCAATATTCAATCAATCAACCAACCAAAAATTGGCTCTTCAGTCTCATCAACTCAAACAAACAAACTGTAGCCCTAAGAAATGAGCCAGTCAATCAACATCTACGCCTCAAATGTTGGTTGTTTTGTTTGTTGACTTCTCTGGGTCCGAGGTTGGGGCCGAGATAACAGGTAAGCCGAAGAAAGCGTCAAGCTTGTCCGAGAGATCTTCTCGACAACACAAGGGGAAAGCTGTAAAGACGCTGCGAAATAGTTGTCGGATGTAACTCTTGGCTACCTAGGATGTCTTGCATTGTGGGGGAACAGCATACCTGCCTCCGCACTGTACAAGAAGGACTTCAAACACTACGATTACATCGACGCAGCAGATTCGCGATCGGAGAGAACTGCTCGTATCCATACCAACCATGCGATACGGCGGAGCATGAGCTGTCCCAACACTAAGATACGGTACTGACTGCCCCTCTACTGCTGATCTTATCCCCTGAACTGTTGTACCACGGCGAGTAAGACCTGTCAGCATCAACTATGAAAACGCAGAATCTCTTCCCTCGCATTCCACCGTTCCAGTCTCACTCCACACATAACATCTGACTTGGTGAAACTTTCATACACCTTCCTTATCAATTAACCTCTGGATTTATCCGTCAAATAATTCAGAATGAAACACCTTATATTAGCCCCGCTTCTTTTCCCTTCGCTTGCGCTCGCAATCTGCCACAGGATAGATACCTGTAAAGTGAACTCATATTGGCCAAAGGTTCTATTTGGTTCACGCTGTGCTCGGAACCAGTGCTTCTTCAAATCGCGTATATCTAGTTCATCTGGTTGATTTGAAAAGATGTGTACTTTGTAATGTACCTTGTGTCTCAAGTTCAAAATACAAGCTCGATACGGTGCAAATCCCTGGAATGCCAATATTTTGCCCGTCTTACATGGAACCTTGCAACGGCTCGCTAATTCCTTTTTAAGTTTGAGAATTGGAACTATACGTGTGAAGTTGTCGAGGGGGGCATCGATGGCGGCCTCCGGGTGTGCTTTGCGATATATCTGGTCGTATTGGTGGCCGACATGGACGTTCTCCAGGACGGCCAACAGTAACTTTGTATTATCAATGTAATAACTTTGTACGTCATACATATATACAATGGAGATATGCGATATGATCTTGTCGAAGTGGGCCTTGACCTCATCATGTAGGGCATGGTTGAGTAGGAGCATCCTAGTAGGGGGGCGCAAGTCTTCAATCTACACACCCTCTACCACACCCTCTCCTTTGAAGGATATTAGAGGGCATAAATGGTATTCAGGAAGGTAATCGTATACTATGAGATGAATGTCTTTGGGAAGGTCGCTGAAGTAGAAGGTATCGTTTGCCGTTATCGTGGCGTAGTTTTTCTGAAAGGTATGATGTGTTTTAGTAGCGTTTTGATTGTGCGTTAAGTAGTCTATAGAGTTACGGTGAGAGTGCTGTGCCTTCTAAGTGTCGACTCTTAGAGATATTACGCGACACGATGCGGTATATCGAACTGCGGGGCACACAGAGGGCGCGTTTGAGCGCTTGATATGATTTGAATAATGTTCTGGAAGATTTGAGATTGAAGATAAGAAGTGTTTTATATTAGAGATATTATGGAAGGTAGTCGATGTGGTGGAAGGCTGTGCTGTCTTTAAGACCACTTTTATAGCCAACGTCTTGCTGACTTATGACGGTATTAGGTAGTTAGTACTCCACGCTAAACCGCATGGTCTTGTTAACGAAGACCTTCCTACCACCACAGACACAAATAGGTCTAATAAGAGAAAATCACATGCTTGTATTTATGTGCTATAAAAACCTCCTGTCTAGATGTCTAGACAGCCCGCCTACTACCTACCAATCGTCGCGCCTCTCCACATCCTAGATATTACCCATTTCCTTACTCTTCTAACCGATCATTTCCAAGTTTAATCGTTCCCTAAATCTTCTGTTCCACAAGCCTTTCCATCTTTTCTAAGAACCGAGCTCTTTTTGTGTATGCAACACCAGCACAAACCTATCTACCTAATAATTCAGCCGGATGACAACCTGTCATAAGATCTAGGAAGGGACACTAAAAAGTAATCTTTACACATTCCGAATCCGATCAAACAGCGATTCCGAACTCGGAAACTATGTATATATCCAACAATCGACGTTGTGCATCCGCATTCAAGCATGGTTTAATGATTGCGAATATTCTAGACCAAATGATCACCTATATCTGTTAACTTAAAACAAGGAATTAGAGTTATATGTTTGTTACCTAGGTATTTGCGAAAACGCGATAGGCATATATAAACCGTCATACGCCTCCGTGTTCTTGTTAATAGTAGCCAGAGCTACACTTGTGAGGGTATAGACGGTCCTAGTGCGCTCAACTTCACGCGCTGGACCAACTTCAGCGACGTTCAGATAACATTCGCCCTATCGGATAGTCAGTTCGTGGATCTTACCTTGACGCAGTTCTGGGAAGGTTTGAAGGAATCTAAGAACAAGACTGGCTTTAAGCATGAGGGTAAGGAGGGAGAGTACAAGGTTCCGCAGGAGCGACACGTGGGAGAAGCATACAGAGCATGATAAGCGGTATTTTGTTAGGATGAAGACTAGGGAGTTCCCGTGGGATAGGGCTTATGTATACTTTGATTTGTAGGATATGTCAGTAGTCTTCTCTCTAGGCTTGGACCGGGATTGCTTTGATGGGGTTGTTTTGTGTACATGGGTGTTATTAGGCATCTGGGAGATGTTAAGGGCCTCGGAAATTCTGTAGACACTTCTTGTGGGTACTATTGATAACATGGTTGGCAAGCGAGCGGCCCACGCAAGCGAGCGGCCCACCCCACCAACTTTTGCAACTTCAAAGCGATACATCTCAACAACGCGATAATATTATTGCTAGATATTAATACAGTAGATTACTCTATATTAATAGTATTAGTGTTGCATGTGCGTGAGTTGTGCCCAGTCTCCTTGCACCTGGTGCAGCGCCTTTGAGCCCGCTGGCTGACGCCTGATCGTGCTCCTCCTTGACGCTCTTTATGAGCAATCTGCTGGTCAGCCTTATTTTGAGCCAGTATATCCTCTCCAGCTCCTTTTGTAAGTACTCTATGCTTCTGTATACGCCTTTTAGAGCGCCGCCTACGCGCTGACGCTGCGCTGTTGGCTTTCTCAAGACTAGAGATCTAATCCCGCATTAGCTTAGAAGAGAGCATTATTACCTCAGCGCCTTTCTTTAGCTAGTCAATTGCTATAATAATTGAAGCTGGTGATGAGCTCTTGTGCTGGCGCACGCGCTCACGTATAAGGCTTGACTGAGCCTTAAGCTCACGCGCGTTGCTCGGCGTTTGAGCTACCTAGGGAGCCTCTGGTAGAGCTGCTGGAGGAGTAGGTGTACGCAGCTGTACATCTACCTTTGATAGAACAGCCTCTGGTTGTAGAGGAACAAGGCCTGCGCCGCGGAAGGCTGAGCAGATGTTGGCTGGCGTGAAGGCGCGATTGAATGCTATCTTAAATGCTGGCAGAAACTCTAGCTTAGTGATGTGGTTGATGTGGTTGCGCATAAGGCTCTCCACCTCACGGCTGTACGCGCGCTTCAATGGCGAGAAGCAGCTAACATTAAGCGGCTGGAGTAGGTGGGATGAGTGAGGTGGCATACAGAGCGTGTAGATGTTGTTCTCTTTGCAGAGCTCCTGGAACGCTAGAGATTGGTGGCTCTTATGGCCATCAACAATAAGCAGGCGACGCGCGCCTATGCTACGAGCCTGCGTGTGAGCGTTAAAGTGCTTTAGCCACTCAACTCTAAGCTCATTATTCGTCCAGCCATTGTCGGTGACTGCGATCGCCTAGTCGCGTGGGATCTCAGCTTCCTCGTACCAGGCTGATAGGTGGTACTGGCCAGCGAAGATGAGGAACGGTGGGACTGACCAGCCAGCAGCGCTGATAGCAGCGATCAGCGTTACCTACTCGCGATTGCCTAGCTAAAGAGTCTTCGGCCTACCTCTTCTTTCTGCTCCTGTTATAACTAGCTGCGTTGTAATCTTGCCTATTATAAAGCCAGCTTTATCAAAGTTGTAGACGTCCTCATCGCAGATGCTGTACTTAGCTTTTGTCTCCTCTACAAGCTTAAACCAGGTCCTAATTAGGGCTGGATCCTCACATAGAGCTCTCTGCCTATCGTACGCTTGGTTAAAACACGTCCAAAGACTGTCTGTACGCTTGACAAAGTTGGCTGGCTACTTCTGCCCAACCTGGCCAGCGCCGCGCGCAGCTAGCAGCTTATCAGCCATATCACGTATAGCTGCGTAGGTAGGCGCAAATCCACGCTGATCTAGCTGAAGTATATGGCTGATAATCACCTCCTCTTCTCTCTGGGTAAGCTTCCTTGAGTTGGGCTGGCAATCTGCGCGCGCAGGCTTACCAGCGCGTCGGCGTCGGAGCGTCGTTCGGGGGACTTCAAATGTCTGCGCAGCATCTCTTATAGACTGAATTTGGCTTCTATTAATAGCTGAGATTGCAAGGTGTATATTAACCTCAGAAGAGGTTGGTGGGGCTTGAATTGGGGGAGCCATGATAGGGAGGAGTTTACAAGGCGCAGAAAGTTGGTGGGGTGGGCCGCTCGCTTGCGTGGGCCGCTCGCTTGCCAACCATGTTATGGATATATAGTTTATGTTTGCGAAGGTTATGGATAACTAATAGTAATGTATGCCTTCAATAGTATTACATGGTTTGAGTAGATGACATGACATCCTATCTACAGGATGAAGGGCCTGTTTCTATAGGCAGGCCCCAGCCATTTATATCATAGATTCGGCCCGCACGTCTCGACAAAGCAAGCCTACGACAGCTGCAGCGAGCATGGTTATTATAGACTTACCTACACTGCACTACTTACCAACTCGGCCGCACACGGCAACGGTAGAGTTTGTCGTTCCCTGAAGAATAAGGTATGTACGCCGGGTCTGACAGGTGCCTGGCAGTTTGCTACAGGACTATGGGTAGTCGCGGATGACCGGCTTGCATTCTTCAGCGCTGTTATTACAAAAAGAAAGGGCGAATACAAGAAATCTTAATCTCGGAGAGGTCTAAAGTATCGAACAGTCTGCACGTATAAAATCCTCCATGCGTGAATCACAACAAAGAAGTCCCCCCATTCAACATCACCCCAATCAGTGTTTCCTAAAATACAGCACCGCCCACCCCAAAACCCGATAAACAAACACAATAACTAGCAAAAACCCCACATACTTCCCTTGTCCACCCGTCCCAAACCCATACACCCCCAACACAGCCTTCCCCTCAACCAAGCACTGCTCCTGCAGCCCACTCGGATACAAGCAGTGACACCCCCCACTAGCCAGCCTCTCACAGCTATAATCCCTCCTGCCAAACTCATTAACCATCATACCGCGAAAGACGTAGGCCTGATAATCAATATAGTGAAAAACATAACGCCAGAACGGATTCAGCATCTCGGGCCTCACCATAAACCCATTCACACACATCCAGAGCCCATTCGCAAACGCCGTCGCCGCAAGCGCAACGACAAAGATGGGGATAAGACTAGCGAGGAACACAACCAGTGATTCCGCCGCTAGCAAATCGAGGAAAAGCCACAGCACCCACATCCAGAAGCCCTCGGCTGTGGGGTTGAAATTGCCAAGCCAGTAACTCACGACAGAAAACAATATAGTAATGAGAAAAAGATACGGCAGCCCCACAAAGAAATTCGCAATGGTAAAAGCGAGGGGTCCGTATAATCCATTTGCGCGTTCCTTTTGGTAGAGGGACAGGTCCTCGAGGAACGCGGGGATGTACGCAACGGCCATGAATGACATGAATGCGCCGCCGAAGAAAATTGCATTGGTAAAAGCTTGGATGTTTGATTGCAGTGGTGCGAGGCGCAGCCAGATTGTACCCATCATTATGGCTAAGCCCATGTACATGGCTATGCGGATGCCGTAGGCGACGACGTCGCGGTAGGATTTTATGAACGATCGGTGCATGAGGGTGAGGGGTAGCGTGAGCGGGTTAGCGCTGGTGCTGTGGTCTGGGAGGGCGGGAGTGGGGTGCGTGGTCGTGGTCGTGGAGCGGATGGCGGTTGATACGGAAGCTGCGTCTATGGAGTTCACCCATGAGGTGTGCAGGTGGGTGAGTCGGGTAGATGCCGCATCGATGTTGTCTGAGAAATCTGTGTTTACGAGTTCGATGACGAATTCGGCGGGGTTGGTGTAGAGAGGCATCTTTTGTTGTGGCAAAGTCAGATAGATGTTTTGCGGTTGATAAACTGGAATTGGATTGTGTTCAGTTTTGACTTGACGACTTACCTCATATCCTAGGCCGGCGAAATAACTTTTGACTTTCTTTACCTCGCCGTTGTATACCACCTTGCCTCTACTCAGCAACATGAGCTTATCGAAAAGCTTGAATGTCGTCGTCGACGGCTGGTGGATGGATGCGATGACAAGAACCTTATATTTCTTGGCCACGTCCCTTACAAACTTCATTACCTCGTAACTCGCCGCAGAGTCCAAGCCGCTAGTTGGCTCGTCGAGGAAGAGGATCTTGGGGCTAGTGATGAGCTGGCTGGCTACACTGACGCGACGTTTCTGGCCACCTGATACACCTTTGCGAATCGGCGTACCGATCAACGTGTTGGCCTGGTTCTGGAGACCAAATGACGCAAGGAGACTAGAGATGCGCTCTTTTCGGGCTGCTTTGTTGATGGAACTATCGAGCCAAGGTCAGTCAGGGGGCAGAGTGAGAAACGCAGAGAATACATACCTTGAAAGTGCGAGTTGCGCCGCAAAGTACATTGTCTCTCTCACAGTAAGAGAACCGATAAGAGCATCTTCTTGCTCGACATAGCTGCTCAGCTTTCGGAATGAGGCTAGAGTTGTGGGTTCGTCATTGATGCTGAGATGGTGCTGGATTGTGGCTTTTGGCATGGCAGCCCGGTGGGCAAGTACGTTGAGTAGGGTAGTCTTTCCAGATCCACTCGGTCCCATCAAGGCCATGACTTCACCAGCTTCCACAATGCCACTGACGCTTGACAAGATATCAATGGGTTTTTTCGAGCTCCGGTCATTGACAGTGACAGTGACATCTTGCCAGCTAAAACTTTGAACAACATTGTTTGTTAGATGTGCAAATTCTGTGCCTATAGCGTCCTTTTCAACATCGTGAGAGTTGTTTGATATCGACATATCTAAAGGTCAAGGTGCGAGACGCCAGTCACAGATGTGACAAAAGTAAAAGACGAACAGGGGTGATTACGCAAGGTTGTAGGTAGTACAAAATTAAGAAGACGGGCTGAACATATGAAGTGTATGCACGTCTGATACGTATATACATACATCCTGTCAACCACCAGATCTACACTCCTCAGGCGTCCCGTAACGGTCCGGCTCATACGCCCATCGGCGAGCACAATCCCCCGTAAGCGGAGACGAGGAACAAGAAGACTCAGAGCTGAGATAGCAGTCTCCAGATTTCAGGCCAAACCACTCTCTAAAAGGAAACGTTGGGTCCTGAAGTGCACACAAAACAGTATCAGCTATTACATGGCTTGGTAATAATTGCGCTCATGCATGTAATACCCAAGCTTCGCGTGGGTTGATGATGACGGCCAGTAATGCCTCGCTATTTTTACCGTTGAATGTGCTCGACTGCGCATGTCCAATCTTCTTCGGGGTCTTCGAGCATGTGCCCAGATGCTCCGCGGCTTAGCGCTGGGGCGTCGACTGCCTTTTATCACAAGCGGGCAAGACCTCGCTTGCGGTATCTGAATTAGACAGACGCACTCGTCGCTGCAGGGGAAACAGAGGTGATTAGATTCGGGGAGTCGTGACGAAATGCACAGCACACTGAACTTTCTCTTTTCCGTTGATCCCTTCACACTCTCCCATTACGCGCTACTGATGTTCCAAATTTCCCAATCCAAGACCCTCTGCATTTAGGCGTCCAGCCAAGGAACTGACATAATAGAACATGCATGATGTGACGGTGCGGTGGGTGGCATGATTGGATTCGCTCAGCTGAAGACCGCCAGGCTGGTGAGGCTGAGGTCGCCGCCCATCCCTGTTCTGTCGGCGACTTCTGGAAGCGCACGGGCGCCGCTCGTGCAACATCGCCGACTGTTTCGAAGCAGAGATGCAGAGACGTTGTAAAGGGCATGTTACAAGAAGTTGTATCGTGTGTATATATCCAAGTGCAATGGGCACTCGTATCGCATGATGGCTTTGCGAGTGCTTGTTCGCCTGAGAGAGACGCTGTGCTCTAGAAATGCTGCAAAGATATGCTGACCTAAGCTTTGCATCCAAAGAATCAAAGCCTTGTATATTCTAGGCTAAATGGGAATAGGTGACGCTGACCATGAGACAGCCCACGGCTAAAGAAGGTGATGCAAACATTCGAAAACGATTATACTACATATCTTACTGACGATTTCCGTCAGTACATAAACTCACTTATCTCCAGCAACTGTGCATCCAGAGCTCTCTTCGCCTGAACACTGGCCTCCCTGTTATCACCATTGACCCTTTCCTCGTAGGTCATTTGTAGTAGTTTCTTGACCTCTGCCTCTCCAAACCTGTCTCCGGGCACACCAAAGCTTCTGCCATACTGTTTCGCCCGAGCAATAATCGCATCTGGGCCTGCAGTAAACAAATCAAAGAACAGAGCAGCATAGGGCAGGGTAGCTCCATCTTCGATATTCTTCAGGTTCTGTTGCAGAACAAGAATGTTGAGCTGCATTAGCGCACACCCATTCGTGTTCATGCGTTCTATCTTGGAAGTACAGAGACTGAAGAGGTAAGTGTCCATTAGTACGGCTAGACCACGTGTGATGTGGCTGTATGATGTGACAGGGATATACGTTGATACTGCGGTATCGAAAGACACGAGCGTCGAGTTGAGGGCGAGGATTGCTGGATCGGGATCGCTAAGTAGAGTATCGATGTAGATGCTAGGTTGTGTGCTGGCGTTGAGTGAGTAGAGGATTGTGGCGCGAATCGAGAGATGCATGGTGCGCAGAACGCGATTGCTGAGGGATTTGTAGGTTGAAACGACTGCATCAAATATGCTGCGACATGTTAGTATACAAAGCATGTTTGGGAGAAAAAGTGCTTACGTGGCGGTTTCCGCGCTAAGTGGTAGATAGACTGCGGCGCCTTCCGGTCTGGGATCAGAAGAGGCGAGCTGAGTCCACCGCCTATTGTGTCTTTGGCCATTAGATTCTGCACTGTTTGGGTCGGAGGCGCGGTCGCTGATGTGTCGTAACTGCGCCGTCTTTGTAGCTAGCCATTTCATACTTGTGTATAACAAGCAGAGGCTGACAATGGTCTTCTTGTCCTGAATCATGTCGGCTTGATCCAGGGGCTCATCTGCTTCTACAGCGTCAATAAGGAGAGCAACCTCTTTATCTATAGCTTGTTTCAGATTCTCGCGGTCAGAGGGATCTGTGTGTATCAGGCGAGTGATGAGCTCCTCCATTTCATCCGACTCAGCCCAAACAGCTGGTGCTTTCAAGCGGCGATCGCTGGGTGTGGGCTTTGAGCGGCTCACAAGGGCGTTGTACCAGTCCATACATTTCTGGGCATATGTATCCATTTGGTTTACGATGAGTTGAGAGAATGCTTGATCGTGTGGGAGGTTGTCAAGCATCTTGCAGAATGCGGTGATGAGGGTAAAGAATTGCGCAGTGCCCTAGATTGTTAGCATGGATACAGTTTGTTGGATAGACGCCTTACCTTGAAGATTGGCTTCTTGGAATGTTTCGTCCAGTGCGGATCTTCGGTGAAAGCGTCAAGCTCCATGAAGGTCTGAGCACAGAGCTCTATAAGAGTCTCATCCAGCTGTGGATGGAAAACGTTCACTAAGAAGTCATCCAAGAAGGAAGTCAAGGTACTCATGCTGATGTCGGCGTTCGAGGGCACAACTTCCTTCAATCTGTTTAGGAAGTCTAGGGAAGGTGGTAATAGGATGCCCATGTTGAAGACACTTGGCTCGACAAGCAGCTTGTGCCCAGTTGCACTTCCGTCGAGGTTGGCAGTTGTGTTAGTAGTTACCTCTTCTAATCTCTTTGAGTCGGAGACTAGCCCAGGCACAGATGTCTTCAAGATGAGTTCGAGGTCTTCCCGTTCTTGTGACAGCTCAGGTGCTTTGGTGTCTACGTCGGACAACTTGAACATGCGCTTGTTCCTGTCTCGAGGCGCACGCGAGAAGGCGCTGTCAGCAGATGTCTGACCCGGGCCGTCCCGATAGGATGCCTCGCCATCAGTGGCAAGATAATCGTGGAGAAGTGATCGAATCTAGGTCTCATTAGTGGAATTCCGAATGTTATGCTACGAGTGGCTCACTTCGCTTTGGTATAGCTTCCACAACTCCTTGAAGCCACGAGTGAGTGCCGTATTCGATGAAGCTCTGTTCTCCCGTCTGAGGATGCCCGCAACAACGTCGTGTACAACTCTATGGCTTTCCGCAATGGCTTCGAAGCGTGCATAAAGAGTCCACATCAAGTCATTCAAAAGAGTTGAGCGAACATCTTCACTTTCAATCTCAGTCTTTGACTTGCCGCTCTTCTTTGCAGAGTATGCTCGCAATATGCTCGGATGTCGTTGGGCTACTTCGTTGTTGGACTTGTCAACAACCTTGAACAGCTCGACAGGTAGCCTTTGCTCGATGGTATCTACCGCCAGGTCTAAGCGGTTCATTTTGTTCAGTGCTTCAATGACAAGCCGTATGTACTGAAATGTGTCGGATTCAGGGTTATGGGCAGAGTCGTCGGTCATGTCTTCGGAGGTATCAAGACCATCGAGGTAGTAGTAAAGTAATCGACCTCTGGCATCAGCCTGGGCACGCTGGGAGAGGTCTCCCTTGATCTGGTTTTGGGCATATTCCTTCCATCTATCCTCGCAGTATGGTGATTTGAGGTAAAGATGGCTGTGGAGCTCCTCGACCAGGATGTCTGTGAGAGAGACTTCCTGGTTGCTCAGATATGTACGAAGGTCAGAAAGAGCGCCAATCCTTTCCATTTCCGTCTTCCGAATCATTCGTAGAGCGTCTTGTAGGATATCTACGGCAGTCAGAAAGCGCTTTTCTGATATGCGAGCCTCGAGCCTTTCAGGGATGAGCTGTAGCTTTTCGATTGTGTCGAGCATTTGCAACATCTCATCGTAGTTCTGGGAGGTAGTTGCAAACTCTCTGAGTTCAGGCTTGGCAGTGGAAAGCTGCGACTTGGCCGCAACGAGGGAGCCCTTTAATGTCCTGACGCGGTGCTGGGAGCTCTGCAAACTGGACTGAATTTGGTGAAAGGTACCGATGGAGCTATTGAAACCCTGGTGGTGCTCGTTGACGATGCCCTTTAAAGCGTTTTGCAGTTGATCGTGCGTCTGTTGGAATTGGCCAGCTTGACTTGCCAGGCCAAGTGAGCTCGAGTCCATGAGCTTCAGGGCTACTTCGATGGGCACACATTGGTCTTTTGTCATAAAGTCCCATTTCTGCTGGATGTATTGCAAGACTTCCTCGATAGCTTGACTTCCCGGTCCAGGATTAGGACTCCTAGGTACTCTGCCATTCTGACGTTCTCCACTGCGACGTTTGGCCGGGCTGCGGTCGAGACTGGTTGGCCGCATTACCTGACGCGGGCTCTCGTCGCGGGCTGCATATCCGCCTCCTCCATAGCCCGTTGGCCTACGCTCTCGTTCGCCGCTAGGCCTCCTATCCATCTCTTCTTCTTGGGCGAGACCCCCGTATCCTCCAGGCCGGCGGGGACGGTCATTGCTAGGTCGGGAGCGTTCGCGTTCATTGCTTGGGCGCGGTGCGTAGTCGTCTGGCGAGGGATTCAGGCCTCCATAACCTCCAGGTCGCCGTGGTCGCTCCCCGCTTGGGCGACCGTCATAGTTTGGGTCGGAGGGAGGAGCATATCCATTGTATCCCCCGCCATTATAGCCACCGTTGTCATTGGCATAGCCTCCATTGGCACCCGCCCGCGAGTAGCCTGGATTGCGCGACATGGCAGATTTAGATGTCGCGGCGTATTCTGAGTCTTATAGGCGCACACACTTGGGTCATCGTGTGTGCATCGGAGGTTTGCGCATCGTTTGGGCTATGGGGTGTGAGTGAGGACTGTTGCGGGGAGCTCGGGGGTGTAAGTTGAAGTAGCAGGGATCACCGGGCGTCGCGAATTGGGGATGGTGACGGTGAGGTTGATGCAGCAAACGGTTCATACACAATAGACGTCAGTGACCATGTGAGTGGCTGCACCACGTCAAACACGCAGTCGTGTCTTTTCTCGTATGAAAGTCGGACCAGCATCACCGTCGCGCCAAGACATTGATTCCGCACGTCCTCCCGGTTCCGCGCTCCCTGGACGCAGCTCTCACTCGCGATTCTTTGTCACATCCAAACACAATCGCAGGCTTGGGTTCTGCCTCGCGCCCTTTACTCGCCCACGCTCGACTTGATATGTCGCGATAAAGGCCATTGCCTCTCCCACTCGATTCGCCAATAGAGAACCCGCACGTCGCGACTTGACTTGTCCTCATCATGGCCGGAGGTCAGGCAAACGGCGCGAATGGCGTAAACGGCGCTGGCACCATGTTCCCACCACCACGATACTCGGACGTGCCCAGTTCTATTACCATCTCGGTCGCCGATGAGGAAGGAGGCCAGCTGGATGTTGAGATCCCGCTCGATGACCAGATCCAAGACGACCCAACCGAGTTATGCGACATTCTCGAGGCCGAGAAGAGCGCGACATCAACGTGGGTGCAGGTCGCCGTCGCCTATGCAAAGCACAAGCGCATAGACACGGCCATAGACGTGCTGAAACAGGCCACGGGCGTCTTCAACCGCGCCCACAGTGAAGTCCGCCTCAGCATCCTCAACGGCCTGTGTTGGCTGTATCTGCAAAAGTGTCGCGAAGCACCGCGTGTGAAGCCCCGTAAGTCTTTGCATCATTGCACAGTCACAAGCTCCGAACCAGCACTGACGAGTAGGTAGAAAATGCAGATGGCGACACCAAGCTGAAGGACTTCTGGATCCAATCCGCTACCGGAGTGCTCAACGATGCCTCGCGAATTAGTCCCTCGCACCCTCCCTTGTTTCTGGCTCGCGGCGTCTTATACCTCCTCAAGGCCTCCCTCCAGGGTCCAGCCACAGCCGCTGGCTCGACCGTTAGTCCAGAGCGCATGGAGACGCTCAAGCAGGCCGCAAAGTGCTTCGAGGACGCGCTGAGAGCTTCTGGTGGAAGGAACCTCATGGCCAAGATGGGCAAGGCGCGCGTGAACTACTCCATGGGCAAGTGGGCAGACGCTCTAAAGGGCTATCAGAACATCCTCGAGAGTTCGCCAGACCTCCTCGACCCAGATCCACGTATCGGTATCGGCTGCTGCTTCTGGCAATTGGGCCACAAGGACGAAGCTGCCACCGCCTGGCAAAGGTCGCTCGAACTCAACCCAAAGTCTAAAATCGCCCTGATCCTCCTCGGCATCTACAACTTCCAATTGACTGCTAACCTGTCCACCGCCGATCCCAAGTTTGCCGCCTTGATCAAGAAGGCAACGGGCGAATACATCCAGCCTGCGTTGAAGTTGGATAACCAATACCCTCTGAGTTGCGCAACAGTCGGAACCTACCTCATACTCAGGAAGGACCTGGGAAAGACCGAGGATGTAGCCAGGCGCGCCATCGAGCTTACCGACACCAACGCTATTGCCAGTGATGGCTGGTATCTCCGGGCCAAGATTGCGCACCAGCAGGAGAACACGACCCTCGCAGCAGAATACTACTCCAAGTCCGACCAGGCTCGCGGAGGCGAAGAGCGGGGCTATATACCAGCAAAGTTCGGTCTGGCTCAGATGAATGTCTTGATGAGCAACTATGACGGTGCCAAGTTCCGTCTAGAAAAGATCCTCCAGCAATCACCCAACGTGGAAGCGCAAACATTGCTGGGTACTCTCTATGCTGAGGATGTATTTGCTGCTCAGAACAGCAAATCCACAGAGGACAAGTCTGCCGAGTTGAGAAAGGCACTCAAATATCTGGAAAGCGTCCAGAACGCATGGAAGGACCCCAAGAAGAAGGTCATACCTGACCAGTCCGTGCTGCTCAACCTGGCTCGTCTCTACGAGACGGATCACCCCGAGAAGAGCTTGAAGTGCCTCGAAGAGGTGGAGCAGATGGAGATTGATGCCATTCCAGAAGAAGACTACCCAGAGGGCCTGGAAGAGGGTGCCGAACTCAAAGCCGCACTCCGTCAACTACTGCCACCACAACTTCTCAACAACATGGGTTGCTTCCAGTTCCAGGCGGAGCGCTACGTCCGAGCTCAGGAGCTTTTCCAGGTCGCTCTCAACGCTTGTGTCAATGCCGAAAACCGTGACAACACCATCGATACAGATGCACTCGTCACTTCCATCAGCTTTAACCTCGCTCGAACCTACGAAGCCGAGGGTGAGCCAGAGGAAGCCAAGAAAGTCTACAATAGTCTACTCCAACGACACCCCGACTATGTTGACGCACGCATTCGTCTGACCTACATCGCCCTCAAAGAACACCCTCAAGACGAAGGCCCAAGGGCAATGAAGGATCTCTTCAAAGAGAACGAAGACAACGTCGAGGTCCGAGCGCTCTATGGATGGTATGTGAACAAGTCGAAGAAGAGGACGCAGAATTTCGCGGCCGACGAAGAGCAACGCCTTTATAAGCACACTCTACAAAAATCGGACAAGCACGATCGGTACTCACTCATGGGTATGGGCAACATTCATCTTGCCATTGCTCGTGAAATGCCTCGCAGTTCAGAGCAAGACAAGGAGAAGCGCCGAAAAGGTTACGAGCGAGCCGTCGAGTTCTTCGACAAGGTGCTGCAACTGGACCCCAAGAACGCATATGCAGCGCAGGGTATCGCCATCGCCTTGGTTGAGGATAAAAAGGACTACTCGACAGCTCTGCAAATCTTCACAAAGGTCAAGGAGACGCTCAAGGATCACAGCGTCTATGTCAACTTGGGTCATACATACTGCGAGATCAAACAGTACGCTCGAGCCATTGAAAATGTAAGTCCGCTTTCTCTGTGAAGATGAGACAGCACTAACACATCACAGTATGAAGCCGCTCTGTCAAAGAACCAACACAATAACCCGAAGATCTTGGCCTGCCTTGGACGAACCTGGTACCTTCGAGCCCGACACGAGCGCAGTGTAGCCGGTATCCGAACTGCACTCGACTACTCAAAACAAGCTCTCAAGGCTGCTCCATCAGATCTCAACTCCCAATTCAACGTCGCCTTTGTCCAGTTCCAGATCGCTACCATGGTTTACTCTCTCCCGGAGCAGCAGCGTACTCTTCAAGAGGTCGATGAGGCTGCCACGGGTCTCACAGAAGCCATCGAAGCGCTTGAGAAGCTCGCCAAAGAGGAAAATCCGCCTTTCCCACGCGCGGATATCACATCTCGTGCAAACATGGGTCGCAACACCATGGTCAGGCAATTGGAGCGCGCCCGCGAAAAGCAGGCTGCATACGAAGGCGAGAACGCAACCAAGCTCGACGCAGCACGCCGTCTCCGCGAAGCAGAAGTCCGTCGACGAGAAGAAGAGAAGAAACGCGCGGAAGAAGAAGCTCTGGAGAAGAAGCGCAAGTACGCCGAGGAACAGGAACGCCTTATCCGTCGCGACCGCGAGCTCATGGAAAAGCGCAACGAAGAAGAGCGCAGACGTATGGAGGAAGACGAAGACAAGGAACTTCGCAAGGCGGAGCGCAAAGCCCGTGGGCCCAAGGGCCCCAAACGCAAGAAGAAGGACGCAGACTCTGATACCGACGGTCTGCCCTCGGACGACGATGAGCCCCGGTCAAGGCGAAGGAGGACTACGGCTAGTGCCACGGAAGATCCATCCGATGACGAGCGCCCCCGCGAGAAGAAGAAGAGGAAGCTTGCCCGCAAGAGCGAACCGGCTGGGAAATTCAAATCCGCAGAGTTTATCGACGATGAGAGCGACGACGAGGAGCCTGCACATGATGCCGACAAAGCTGAGGCTAACGCTGCAACTGACGATGCTGCTGCTCCGCGTCCCCGCAAGGCCCGCGTCGTAGACGACGATGATGAAGATGACGATGCTATTGCTGCGCCCAAGTCAAACGGTGATGTCGCTATGGATGACGATGAGGATGAGTAGTATCGTGCTCCGTTGGCAAGTGGTCAGCTCGTTTGAACTCTCTTTCCACCACATCCACACACATGACAGCGATATTGCGGTTGGCCTCACTCTGACTAAACGCTGTGTTGAACTCGGCGTTGTGGAAACACGCCTTTCAACATATTTGTGTAGAGTTGTGCTGCTTGCTCTTCTTTATCTTATTCTTTTCTTTTATACAACCATAAGCTTGCTTTCCGAATCTACACCTGCATCAGCGCCATGGCGTCACGGAGGGAGGGAGGGGACAAAGGATAGGTATGCGGGTTTATCAGTAGCAAGCAGCTAGTTAGGTTTCTATTAGCTGCCACATACCCTAAAAAGAGAAATTTGTATAAAACGAGAGCACAAGGCTGTATTGCATACATGGATGAACGGACTTATGCCGGTCGCTGTCTTATCTTAGTAACATGTGTACGATATAAGCTAGCCTTGATTTCATTTGAGCCAAACAGTCTCTCGTTTTCGTGTCTTAACTCGTGAAATGTAACCACGGAATACGTATTTATGAAAAACATGATATTCGTTCAATATAAACCACGAACGCTTTACAAAGCCCACTCATCCTTGTTATCCGTTGCGCTGATAAACGGTTCATTGACGAGTTTGACCGCCAAGTCGCTGCATAACACACTGTCGAAATTGTTAGTAAAATGCAGGTATGGTAAAAGCCTTCCCCATAGTCCAAAGGGGAAGAGAAAAGAAGGAGGGTGAGAAACATACCAACTACTCCCAACCAGAGCATCCAACTCCCTAATCGCCCTTTCCCTCCCCACACCCGTCTTAATACCCTTCTGTACCTCAACCTGCAACTCCGCAATACGCTTGCCCCTCGCAATACCCGCAAGCTCAACGACCTTTTTGGCCAAGCAATCGCTATGAAACGCATGCTGGCAAGGAAAGACGAAGAACTGGCGAGCCAGCAGCGGCAAGCCACAAGTATAGCAACGCTCACCCGGTCAACGATAGCATAACGCTGCTCCAGGGCCTTAATATCCTCCTTGATATGCGTAGCCGTCGCCTCAGAGTCATCCATTTCCTGTTTGAGGCCATCGATTTTGCGCGAGTAGTCCTCGAGGGCGGCGCAGATTTCTTCCTTGAAGTCGTCGATGACGACAAAGTCGGGGAAAAAGGGTATGAGGTCTTCGATGCGGAGAAGGTCGACGCGCCGCAAGAATTCGATTGCGGTTTTGATGCCTGAGGATTGCGAGATTACTTTTTTGGCAATTGCGAGCCAGAGTTTTTTGCGGAGGGGCGGTGATGTGTTTGATCGGTCGGCGACGGTGCTGGCGAGGTCAACTTGGTCGTATTTTAGGGCCAGGTCGACGGCTTGTGCATATTGCTGCATGGAACTGTAGATGTGCACGCAGGATTGGACGCGCTTGTGTTGGATGCAGAGGCGGAGAGCGAAGTCGGCGTCGTAGTTTTGCTCGTGTGCGAGGGATTGGCCTTCGAGGTAGGCGAGAAGTGCTGATTCGTCTTTTGTGGGGTGTGATGCGTAGATGGAGATGAGCGTGTTGTGGATTGCCGCGTCTGTCGAGTTGTGCTGGTTGATCTCAAAGAGCAGGTAGCGGACTGCTTGGTTCTGGTTCAGCGAGGCTTTGGTGTGGTTGTTGTAGTTCAGGAATGCCGGGATGAGCTTTTGAGCATCAAAGGTTGAGTGGCGCATCATAACGTCTACGAGCTCGACTGGTACATGTGCCATCAGTACACTGCTGTACTTGTAGAATATCTCGGGGTCGGTCTGCTTCTTGAGAACGGCTAGCGACTCTTGCCATCTCTCTCGCTGTACCCAGTATGACAAGACGTAGTTGTAATCGTTCACCACTGTGGCAAAGAATAGCAGTTCCTCTTCGCGACCATGGCTACTGATGATCTCATAAACCGTCTTGCGGTCCAAATCGGTCTTGTACCTGGTTACAAAGTCTTGGTATTCTTTCCTGATGACCGATAGCTGATCGTGAGTCTCGGCAGTGTTCATGCTTTCAGAGAGCTCTGCTTTTGTCGTAATGGTGTCGTCGAGGGTATTGAGCTTTGCCATGTAAATCTCAATCAGCCAGGTTGCCACCATGGTCCTTTGCATGATTGAGGATTTCTTCAGCGTCGACAGCTTAGTCACAAGGTATTTACGCAGAGCGTCTTGTTCACCATTGTCGATAAAGGTCAAGGCGACTTGTTCGAAAGGCTTTGTACTTCGGCCGTAGACTGTTGCAGCTTCCATGTATTGGTTCTTTCCGACGAGATAGTCACCAGATGCTGTTGCGACTGCGTCCTTTTGTGCTGGTGTTTTGGCATACTGCGAAGCCGCCTCGAACTGTTGCGCCTTGAGCATGATCTTCCAGACGTCTCTACTCTCATCTGTAACCACCACTTCGAAGATTTCCTGTGTCGTGAAGAGCCAATAGGTGTTCTTCTTCAGATCGGCTACGAGGCCAAGCGCACTTTGTCCAGGCTCCAGTACAACCTGGTCAAGGACAATGGTGTCGTCGAGACGATTGATGGCAACAATCCTGCCTTCAACGAGTTGCAAGATGTGCCACTGACTCAGTATCATGGAGCTGACGGCGTCCTGTGTCCTTCTTGTACGTCCACTAGCTGTCTGCGAAGGTGGCACCTGCGATCTAGGCAGCATTTTTGAGTCGCCAAGAACCTTGCCACCAAGCTCAGACGTGTCTTGTGACAAATAAAGCTTGCCGTGGAGCACTCCCTGCGACGTAAGCCAGCCAAATATCCTCTCCGTGTGCGAATCATCACGGTTGGTGGCGTCTTGGTGCTCGGGAGAGACGGCAAGCAGCGAAGTTGCGGTAGGTGCCACATTTGAGACCTCATGAACAGTCGCAGACTCACTTTCGAAGAGCTTCGAAAAGATAGAACCACTTCCTTCTTGTCCCTGGCGTCCAACCTTGCCTGCGAAGTGCAGAAAGGTCGAAGGTGTCGCAACGATGATACGCCGTAGATCTGTCCTGCCAGGCACAGTATCCGTCCACAAGCCTGTGATAGGGCCATCATTGGTTCTGTATACACTTTTCAAATACCTCTCCTCTCTCCGATAGAACTCGGAAGAGGGCTCGATGTATACCTCATACACGTTGCCGTCCGAAGCTCCTACCAGTATCTCGCGGGTCGATGCGGTAGGCTGCGATGGATTCCATGATATGCTCTCTATAACGACACCCTTCAGCCGCGACAAGGCCTTTGGTGTTCTCGACTGAGTGTGCAGATAGTAGTTCTCGGCGAGCGTAGTGGTTACGATTAGGTGGGATGCGGAGGGGTCGAGGAAGAGGCGCTTAATGACGCCGATTTCCGAGGGCTTCTTTGGCAGATCAATGTCTTTGCAATAGTAAGTGATCAGTTCTCGCGATACCAAAGGACCCTGGTGTACTCTACGAACCGTCAATGTCTGCGGGACTATCCAGGTCTATTCGCAGAATGCGCCCGGTGGAAAGGGCGAGTATTAAGACATTGTTCGCTACCGCAGCGGCTACAAAGTCGGAGGATATGTTGAACTGGAGTGATACGCGCTCTATGTTGAACATGGGGAGTGATGCATCCTCTTGCATGTTGCTTGTGCTAGGCGGTGCATACCCGCTGGACGTGTCGTAGGCCATGGCGGGCTTCCTTTTAAGCTCACCGCTATCGCAGGCCTGTAGTCATTGTTCGCGCGACGTTCTGAAGCTCCGACAACCTCTTTCGATCTGTTGCCGAAATTCGCTATGAATGTGAGCGCATCACGGCCGTCTACGCTGACGCTGAACTGGGAGCTTGGACATCGGAGTTGGGGCGGAGATAGGCCGACTAGCGTAACCATCGTGAAGCCGCCTTGCAACCACTGCATCACTAGCACATGAACGGCTGATATTGGCTCTAGTCTTCTAAAGTATGAGCCGGATGACTTTCACATCTCTTCCTGTCATGTTTCGAAATATCGTTCCACCATTCTCCCCTATACACTTAACCTCACTCACTTCACTTCAACTTTCTTTGAATCTGCAAGCTTGACATGATCACAACTCAAAATAACGACATCACTGAAATTCCAAAGAAAAACAATTCAAAAAATACGCAAGTCGTAACTCGTCACCCTTCCAAGCCCCAACCTCTTCACACTCCCCTCCCTCAAATCCTCCCCTCTCTAATCATCTGCCTAATCTCCGTCTCCGTGAACAACGTCACATCAAACCCATCCACGTGATTGCTCCAAGCCCCACAAGCCTTATACTGACAACTGTAAAACGCCTCTCTTCTCCCCAAACGGTCCTGTTTGTTCTTAGCCACAAGCCTCAACTCCGCCGGTGGACTACAGTGACAATATAGCCCTGGTGTCAGACCGCGCGTATCGGCGAAGCCGTTCCAGCTGCCGCAGCAGCTGCATAAGCGGTATGCACGGCCGGCATTGAGGGGATTGCTAGAACTGGTAGAAAGCACCTCGTTTTTGGCTGAGCAGTTGGGGCAGTAGGTACCACGGGGTGGGGTGGTGACCGCAGTGGCGGTGGGTGTATAGACGGGAGGAGGGGCGATGGATGAAGATGGGATGGTCAGGTTGGTGGACTGCGTTGAGGTGTTGGACGATTGAGCCGAGGTATGAGTAGACTGAGTAGGAACGTTCATCGGTAGTGGGGAACTTGTTAGCCCGAATACGGCAGTCGGTGCAGGCGCACTTGACGGTACTACCGCTGAACTTCGAATGGGTAACGTAGTAGTCTGTCTCGGTGTAACACTGTCCTGTGAGCTACGAGAGAGCCCGAAGACAGCAGTCGGAGCGGGAAACGCAGTCGTAGTAAAGGCCGAGGACGAAGTAGATGCTGGTGCGAAAGAAGAAGAGGGGAAACCCTTGCTTGGGAATTGTAGGCCACTGTTACCAGCAACGAATACATATGGTTGTGAGGGAGCGGGTGGTGGGAGGAAATCCACTGCTTTCCCTAGACACGCGACCGAGTGTATGTCTTTGGTCTGGTCCACAATGTCTTTGCTCTCTCCCAAACCCGTCTTTTCTGTATATGGTACAGTTTTTCCCTTGTCGGATGAACGTTCCAACGATGTCTTGGGTTCATTACGCTGGGGGAGCGGCTTGATAGCACGTGGTTTGATATCGCTCGATTTGCGATGAGCCTCTGAAGTGCTGTCCAGTACGTCTATATTCGATAGAGCCTCCGGTACGGGCGACGAAGTATCTGCAATGTATGCCGGTGGTGGTGTTATCTCCTTGATCGGCTGCGTAGTCTCGATGGCGGTTTCTTTGTTTGTCTCCTCGTTCTGTTTCACGTTTTCGGTGATGGTGTGATGTGGAACATATGCGATAGCGTCAGTCTACTCTGATGAAAATTGCAAGCTTATTGCGAAACTTACCGTGGGAATAATCGATACTGTAGCTGCGTCCGCGATGCCTGAAGCAGCAACACAACACACCAAAGAAACCCATCTTGGTCGTCGCTGGTACGAGGTGTGAAGCTTTGTTAAATTGAGGTTAGTTCCGGGATGTACCATTAACTAATGAATACAGGCTAAAAGATTCCCGAAAAGTTGTTCCTTTGTATAATATATACTCAACCATCTTTGTCTCACAAGGCTGAACTTTTTAAACCCCGCCTTGAACCGGCATTCTATCTACCTACTCCACGCTTACTCCGCCCCAAACCAATTCGAATAGGCGAATTTCTCCCCAGGCAATACAGGGCTGATACATTTCGTCTCGGCGGCACTCTCCTCTCCAATGAGAAGTATCCTGAGGAGGCCTAGCCGCCGGAGGGTGAATGGGTAAGCGAGTACGTGGCTTGGCAATAGTACACCACAGCCTCCCACTTCCGCCTAGAGAGATTGAAAGCCTGAGGCATAGTCGCCGATTGAATTTGAGGCCTTCGGGCCTTTTATTGTGGTTGGATCTGGCGAGATGGGAAGAGTTTGGGTATCTGATCGCCCTTCGTGACGCCGATGTGATGAGTTTGGGCAGCATGCATGGGCGTGGCTTGGGACTCCGAGTCATGGTTTGGGGGCGGTGTTTTTCTTTGTATGCGACAGTGTGGCTGCCTTGTAGCAAGTTGTTCAATGAGGTTTGCTCGCCAGTGCATGATGCAAGTCTAGGTAGGTAGGGTTCGTCTACACTTTTGGTAAGAACAGGCGAGTCTGAGATGCCAAAAGATACATGGATCCACATCGACCAGCACTTCCGCTGGGGCGCGCATATCGGCGTTGCTTGTGAGACAAAGTGAGCCACCAGCAGTTCAAAGTGAGCTATGAATGGATGGAATCTCTCGTGATTTCTTGAAGGCCTTCCCGGGTGTCTGTCGATTGCTTTGTCTATCCCACCAATTAATCGACATGTTTCAACTAAATGCTATTTGAGAAGCTGTATGTGCCACGACAAAAGTGACAATGCCTGTTATCAAGCACAGCAATTCCTTGGAAGCGATTCTGCCTCCTTAGTACCACGTGTTTGGCATTGCATGTCGTTGAGTCAAAGTCTTGTTTTAACGCCGCGATGATTGGCAGATAATGTTAGAGCCGGATACGAGCTAGTGTTGGCTAGCTTGAGCACGGTGTAGGGTATACTCTTTGATACGGCATATAGTATCAGCTGTCGAGACAAAGACCTAGTGACTATTCTGGGGATGAGTATGAAACCTGGGCTAGAAGCATATACTTTCGGGAGACGTCGTGTAAAAAAGGTACAACCGCAAAGTGCAACTTGGAAGATTTGTGGTATAAGGGGTGATTTCGGAATTCGACCAGAAATGTTTTTGAAGTACTGTTTGAATACCAGCTAGAACCCTACTCGGCCTTCAGTACCAGTAAGCTGCTCTTTGTGTGAGGATCAATACGTAGAACGGAAACCTGCAGTAAATCTGCAAGTATGCGATCAGATTAGCCATTTCATATATCCAGGCAGAGCTGGCAGGGTCCTACCAGCGAAGATCTTGTGATTTATACCTCAGTTTTGCGGTAACCGCAGAAAGAAGCCTTGGGAAACAACATAGATGAGTACAAGTTCAAGTTGCAATTGGCATACCATCATGTCAGCATCCGACTGTACACACCGGGACGTGATCGGTAGAAAGAGGAACGTTTGTCGTCCAAATGGGGGTGTGATAAGGGTACTACATAGTACGGTTGAATATAGAAGCGAATGGGTGGCTGTGAACTGCACAAGTAACACAAAGATGAATTTCTTCCCCCTATACCGGGATCAAGTCACAGAAGGGTTGCTCATTGTGTACCCGACCTTTCAAACAGATTACCAAGTCCCTAGGTGAGGTATCATTGTGTTCTGGCGTCCATTGTAAGAGCGCACCGAATATAATCCTTCAGATACAACGAGCACCAGTGTTCTGGAAGTGATACTGTTGGGACTTTGCGCGGTGAAGGCTTACGGACATGCCGAAAGGTGTAGATGTTGATACCCCGGCATGTTACATGTCGCCTACCTGTGGCGTGGGGGAGCACCATTTGATAGGACCGGCCCCTGATAGATCCAAGGGTTAGTCATTGTGAGTACTCGATGATTGACACATTGGTGACATCCGCCGCCCGGGCTACTGCTGCTCGCATATTGAGCACGTACTCAACTTCGGGGTTTGCCGTCGTGGTAGAATGTAGTACTCCTCCGTCGTTCCGAACAGGGCCATGAGACTGATACAATGCTCAGCTAAATCGTTGCTAACTTGAACATGCCAGCTGTAGATGAGCGGCGTAAACGCTGCGGCCGATGTCGGCTGCCCTGAGCATCCAGTCGTGCAACCGTCGCGCATCTTGCATCTACCGCAATCTTTGCATTAAGAGGATATGCGAAACGTATCTCGCATTGTGGTGCCCTAAATTTCCGGGGAATTATCTGCATGTTCGACAGCATGCCAGGTGTTTACACAGATTGGTCGAGAAGGGCGGTAGTGTAACGGTGGCCAATTACTCGGTAAGGCTGATGTACATATGCGCACTTGGCTTCAAGTTCGGATGGAAACGACGCTCGACCTCTTGGGATGGTTTCGCATCTAGGAGAGGTCAGCGAAGATAGCGTCTGTGTCTCCCATGCGGGCGCCCTGGACATTGCTTCCCGTATAGCATGCAGCCACCAGATCTGAGACAAAGCGGGAGGCTTGGTAGGACAAAGTGGTGGTGTATCTGTGCAGTGGAAACTTGATCTCCAAGCCTTCACGATACAGTCCACATAGGCTACTTGAAGATGACTATGACCACAAGACGCAAACTGGGCTGAGTAACGTGACACTGAAGGTGTGGAGTTGCATCCGAGGAGCAAGATGCGAGACGATGCAATCGAGAAGCTCCTAGTGCAAAGCGTTGGGTCGCGGTACGTGAGCTGACGGTTGGGCGGCTGTTCAGGCGGCTGGTGGTATTATTCGATGCTTGCACGATTTGAGAGAGAGGGCGGCAGTCACATGACTGAGCCAATAGGGCGGGCGGTAATGCCGACACGCGAACCAAGCTGCAGTCTGCAGGTTGACGTACGAGCGGGCAGTCGGGCATGGCTAGCCTACATAACCCACACAAGAAGCGGCAAAATGCAAAATCGGTGGCCCATGTCTCAGCCGCCATGGGTGCCGGCACGCTGCAGCTGCACTGCGAGCGAGTCTGGGTGCAGTTGATGCTGCTTCATGACGGCCATGTTTTTGATGGTGGCGGTAGGCGCAATATTTGCACGTGCCTTGCAGCACGAAGTGCGGGAATGGCGAGGAGGGGAACACAAGCGTCATTAATAGTTTGCAACGATGTCGGTTCCTGCACGTCTCGCCCGATGGGGCTTACGGGCTGGAACGGGGTTCGTGTGTGTTACCCGCACCGAGCAGTCGTTCACACCGGCCAGTGGCCGGCCAGTGGGCCCTCTGATCCGACGACGGCCGTGGGCGACAAGCTGGACGACCTGGTGCAGCGTGCCGAGCGGACATGGAGGCGTGCACACGGGGTGGAGAGGCCATGTGTGGGACCAAAGAGCAAGCAGCGAAAGAGAGCGAGAAAGAGAGCGAGAAAGAGGCTGAGCGGGTGTGAGGAATATACGTCGCACACCATACTTCTGGGACCGGACATTCGGCTGTAGACGAGAGAGAGGGGAGGGGTGCCAGGACCAGGGCGCGAGCGAACATCAGCTGCCCTCCAAGTGGAGCTGCAGGCCACGAGGGCGGTGCTGGGGCCTGAGCAACAGTAAGGGGCAGGACTTGGAAACGAGGCGGGATTGAATTGACCATGCAAAGAGTGTGAAGATGAGGGTAGTAGTAGTAGTAGTAGTAGTAGTAGTAGTAGTAGTAGTAGTTGCATGCACTGTAGTCTTGGACTGCACTGGGACAGTCGACAAACAACGACTGCGGCTATCCACGCCTCGTACCTACTCGACATGTTGCGCATCATGTCCAGTGCCCAATGTGCCCCCAATCTTTGCGGCTGGATTGACGGGCGGTGGTGCAAACAGAGACCAGGGCGCGGTTGCTCACACTGGGCGCTGCATGAAAAGGCTGCGGCCGGGCTGGCAGAGGTCCGTCGCATTGAATTGGCTGCAGAGGCCAATGGTGAGCATGGTCAGGCCATGTTAACGGCCGCCATGGTCTGCCCGTTGTCGCATGTCAAACGGGCAGTTTTGCAAGTAGTCTTGTAGACGACTCGTCGTCGTCGTCGTCGTCGTCGTCGTCGTGGACGTGGTTGTGGTCGTCGTCGTCGTCGCCATGTCCAGTCATGAGTAGCCAAAGTCATAATGCAGCTTATTCACAGCTAATCTTATTTCTTATTCCACCCGGCATCACTTGCTTGGTGCTGAGCAAAAAGACAGTCCGACGGGCTCACGTGCAGGTTGCGGCCGTGGCCAGCCAGGGCCGGTCACGTTGGTGACGAGGCGTCGCATCGCAAAGGCGGCGCCTGGGAGAGGCCAGCGTGCCATGACGCCTGCGCCTGCGCCTGCGCTGTCGTGTGCAATTTCTAGCATTCTACGGCAGCCGCGACCGCTGACGTCTGTTTCAACAGCTATCGGCCAGGTCGTGTATGTAGTGCATTACTCCACGCCCATTTACTTTAATCCTCTGCTCTGCTCTGCTCTGCTCTGCATCCCATCCCGCCTTCTCCTGCAGGTCCATAATTCCTGCACCAGACTATTACCATATCGTTCCTCAACGCTCAGACGCAATTCCACTGGCCTGCGCTGACCAGTACGTGAATTGCAGGCCTTCTGATCACGTTGGCACCCAATTTCGCACTAGCAGTGCCCCGCCCTTAATCCCCAGCACTGCCGTCACTCAACCCCATCGTCGCCTTTCCTCGCACCTTTACAAGTTGCATACTCTCCCGTTCAATTCTTCCTCGCTCCATTAAACTCCCCGCCTGTTGCCCCCTCCCCCGCCCGCCGCCCCGGTCGTCGTTGCTTCACGGTCCGTCTGCGCCTTCCTTGCCCACTAGCTCCGTCAGCCACAAGCCCATCACCTGGTACTGCACAGACGGCACGCGGGACCACGCCCTCTTCACCACTCGACCTCGCGCCTACACCGACAACCTCATCCACTACGGCTCCTCTCCACCCCCCACCGAAGCCCTCTCGCACTCTGCTCAGCTCCAGCCCGCCTCACTCTCGATAGCAATCCGCGCTGCGCTTGCGGTCCCCCCTCTCCCATACGCATAACGCCGTACAATGACCCAGAACCGGCCATCGGCCTTCTCCTCGCTAAGAATGGGTGGTGAGTCTTCCCCCCCCCTTCCCCCGCTGCCTAATTGCACCTTTGCTCACCCCCCGACCAGAAGTAATCCGCGAAAAGGTCCAGGACGGCCTGACGGGCGACTACAAAGACCTCGCATACACGCAGTGCAAAATTGTCGGCAACGGCTCCTTCGGTGTAGTCTTCCAGACCAAGCTGTCACCCAGTGGTGAAGATGCTGCCATCAAGCGTGTGTTGCAGGACAAGCGCTTCAAGGTGCGTGTCGCGCCGCCCCTCGCATGCAATCGCCCTCACATTGCTGACCTCAACAGAACCGCGAACTCCAAATCATGCGCATTGTCCGCCATCCCAACATTGTCGAACTCAAGGCCTTCTTCTACAACAACGGCGAGCGGGTATGTGTCTGCAAGCAAGCGCATGTGTGCCGTTCACGTAGCTAACCGTTTCAGCCACAGAAGGACGAGGTCTACCTGAATCTCGTGCTGGAATTCGTTCCCGAGACCGTTTACCGGGCGTCGCGCTACTTCAACAAGATGAAGACGGTCATGCCCATTCTCGAAGTCAAGCTGTACATCTACCAGCTCTTCCGCTCGCTCGCCTACATCCACTCCCAAGGCATCTGCCATAGGGACATCAAGCCCCAAAACCTCCTTCTGGACCCATCGACTGGTGTGCTGAAGCTGTGCGATTTCGGAAGTGCCAAGATCCTGGTAGAGAACGAGCCAAATGTGTCGTACATCTGTTCCAGGTACTACCGCGCGCCCGAGTTGATATTTGGAGCGACAAATTACACCACCAAGATCGGTATGTTGGTTGCATGGTGCTTTGGATACATAGCGTGCTAATCCTGCGTGTAGATGTCTGGTCCACAGGTTGCGTCATGGCAGAGCTGATGCTCGGACAGCCACTGTTCCCGGGAGAGTCGGGCATCGATCAGCTGGTAGAGATCATCAAGGTGCTGGGAACGCCAACGCGAGACCAGATCCGCACCATGAACCCCAACTACATGGAACACAAGTTCCCGCAGATCAAGCCTCATCCGTTCAGTAAGGTATGTCGCTAACTCGGCTCCGTGTCTCCTTCCCATTCGTTAACCCCCTTGCTCAGGTTTTCCGGAAGGCCGACCCTAGCGCCATCGAATTGATCTCCAAGCTGCTCGAATACACCCCCACTCAGCGTCTGTCGGCCATCGATGCCATGGTGCACCCCTTCTTCGATGAGTTGAGAGATCCGAACACGCGCCTGCCAGACTCGCGCCACCCCAACGGGGCCACTCGTGATCTGCCTGAGCTGTACAACTTCACTCATCATGGTAAGCCTGCTTATTCGACCGGCCAGGACGACAGCTAACGTTCGCAGAACTCTCCATCGCTCCTCACCTCAACGCCCAGCTGGTCCCGCCGCACCACCGCGCGACACTGGCTGCGCGTGGTCTTGACTTTGAATCGCCGAGTTTCAAGCCATTAACAAAGGACCAGATGATAGCAAGGCTAGATTAAGTCCTGCCTGCTATCACACGAAACGATACCATTTATTCATGCGGCAGCTTCTGATCCTCTCCGCTCGTAAGCGCGAAGCTTTTCCGTCCGGAGAGATGCAAAATGGAGTCTCAGTTGGGCGTCGGTTTTATCAGGTGTATACTACGAGGAGCACACCCTTTCCTGCTTAATCTGAGCGCGTCTGAAATGATACCGACATTCACGTTTACAAAGAATGACCTGGCTTGCTTTTCTTTCGGGGCTACTGGCCTCCCCGTTTACGCGAAATGATCATGGAACGGCACCGCAACTGATGTTCCTCAATTGCTTTTGGAGGTGATGAGTGGACACTGAGGGTTGCACAATCAAGGGAATGAGGAACTGGCAAAAATCGGGTTGTACTGGGTATGGGAAGCTGAGGAAGAGTCTTGCTCATCCGATTTCCGACGCTTCAACATGGGTCACGATGCGTCACCTGAGTTGCATGCGGGAGTTTTCTTTCTGTCCAAGATGTTTTCGGTGGGCTGCACATCGGGCATGTGGGGCTTGTTTCACAATAGGGTGGTTTCATTCTACTGGAGAATGGCCCTATATGAGAGCATATGGACTGGCGACCTGGATTACTATTAGAGCGAGGGGCTGCACTTCTGCAGCGGAGCGAACGCTTACTTGACAATGATTAGCCTGCTGTATCACCCGCCTCTAAGCATATCCCATATGACGGTTAGACCTTTTTGCATGCCCTTTTTTTGTTGTGCTGCCCATGTTCGTGATATATGTTTGGCTGAGATTGTGCAATGGATTGACTTGGCGTGAGGTAGAGTATTATTGATCTTGGGAAAGCTGTTTGTCCGTACTTGCCCGACTCTGCAGGTGAGAGAGGCTGTATGATGGCCTACCTTTACGTGCGGTTCGAATAGCTGGTGGGCAGGTCGGTGGTTTATAAGTAGCCACAGTTGTAATTTCACCTTGACCTCCTCTCATCACCCTCTTGATCAAAAGTTCCCTGTCGACTGATAGGTAGTATCCAAAGCAGAGACAAGATACTCGACATTGAAGGCCAAGCTGCAAATGGCAGCGTAACGGATGTTCGGGGTGACGCCATGGAGATTGAGTCTGGAACCGCCTCATCAGATACACGGGGTGTAGTTACAGCCAAAGATGCTCACTCGTCGCAAGAGCTAATTAGTTGAAGCCAACATGAATTCACTAGTGCTTGATCCGCCTATGGACGTTGCTATGCCGGATGCAAGTGCTGTGCGCCAAGATCGGGGCTCAAGCGGCGCTAACCCCATTGAACGGCAAGCTCTCGCGGAAGCTCCAGAGCGACTTCCGCGAATCTTGGACAATTCACGTCCGCGACCCGTTGCACAACACCGCACTCGACAAGCGTTAGACCGCCACCACGCTTCTTATCATCGGCGCGGCGATTTCTATCGACCACTTGCAGCAGTATACTACGACAAAGACGACCCTCCTGCCCACCGTAACTACAGTCTATTACGCCAGCGCGACGACTCCCCAGGAAGGTTGAAGCAAAAGGCACAGACCGGATTCGTTGCAGTTATGGCGGATATGGACTCTAGGGAGGAGCGCGATGATAGGCGCGACGACAGGCGCGATCGGGGTGGCTATCGAGGCGGCAACAAGCGCCGTCGCGACGGTAAGTTGCAACTCTACTTGCGCCTGGGTTTGCGCACCTGGCATAGGATGCGCTGGATGATTCAAGACACCACGCCAATGATATATGGTAGAGTGGTGTCCAGAACTCGTCTGGCTTTGTTGGCGTCATGTTTTTGAATCATCTTCACATGCCAGCACTAACACCAATGCGCAGACGGCGACGACAACCACTATCGTGGCGACGACCGCCGAAACACGCGACGGCGCAATGATGATGGACCTCGCCGCCGATACGAAGAGCCCCCATTCCCCAAGCTCCGTAGGCTGCTCTTGAACATTGCCAGTTCCACCAAGCTACCGCAAGACGAGGCCATCGACATCGCCAAATTCTTTGGAGAACACTATGACGATGAGCGCCTTCGTTCCGACTTCTTCGATGTTTTTGTGCAACTGTGAGCATCCACCAAACTCTACCCAACATTTGCGGTTATACTTACCTGCCACAGCATCGTCGAGCAACCCTTCAAGATTCCTTTCGTCGCAGCCGTCGCCTACTACGCAAACGACGTCAAGCCAGATATTACCGCCGAAGCCATGAAGCGCGTTGCAGACCGGGCACAGGAAGCGCTCAATGCCGGCGAGTGGAAAGAGTTCAAGCTATTGCTGAGATTCTTTGCCTGTCTACAGTCGCTATACCCGGATGAAGGCGTCTTCCCCTTCCTCGGACAGTTGTTTGATACGGTTGTGGATCTCCAGAGTGCGAACGAGAATGATGTAATAGATACTCGCAACCAGCTATTGTGACTCCGCTAACAAAACTAGGTTCTCGGCATAGAGCTCGTCAAAATCATCCTGCTCACTATCCCATACGCACTCGTTTCCGGGGGTGAGAGATTCCATGAGCAAGCACAACAACTGCTGAAGAACACCGAGATCGTGGCGAGCAACGCTGTCCCTATCGAGAGCCTCATTCATTCATACGTGGGCGATTTTGAGTCGAAGCCAGTCAACTACAACAGTGTCATCGGCCTTCTTCAGGCACAACTTTCGGTTGAGGCTGAGAATGGATTCGAGCTTAGGTGCATTCCGCGTGTCGACGTCGATGCTCTACGTAGGATGATGGCCAAGGATGAGGACGCCCTACCCACGGCCCCACAGACTCATGCCTTCCCTACATTCATCATCCCATCTCCCGTCAATCCCGGTCCTCGGCCGGTCTTTCCAGAGGCCTATTTCTCCCTGTTTGCCGACCAAGAAGTCGACACCGTTCCCAAGACCACAGATATTGCATCATCGCTTGTTCGAGATGCTATCGTCGACACCATCAATCAACTGGACTTTAACCGTGAGATGGTTGCCAAGTTCCTCGTAGATGTCGACTGCTACTGGTCTGTTGACATCTTTGCCAAGCGCGGTTCACCGTTTGACAAGTTCCGCGAGCTGGTTGGCGACAAAGTTCAGTACAAGTCCGAGGATATGATCATTGATGCAATCTTCTCGCAGCTATTCAAGTTGCCTAGCGCAGAACACAAACTTGTGTATTACCATGCCCTCATCACCCAATGTTGCAAGGTTGCACCTGCCGCCATTGCCCCGTCACTGGGCCGAGCGATCCGTACCATCTACAAGAATCTGCCCATGATGGATCTTGAGCTAGGCTACCGATTCTTAGATTGGTTCTCCCATCATCTCAGCAACTTCGAGTTCAGGTGGAGGTGGACTGAATGGTAAGTCGATATTGTCTCAGTGCATAGTCAAACTAATTCCACCTTAGGCTTGAGGACCTCGAGCTCTCTAACTTGCATCCGAAGAAGGCATTCATCCTTGCTACACTAGACAAGGAGATCCGGCTTTCATTTGCAAAGCGCATTCGGTCTACACTGCCAGAGCCGATGCATTCTATGATCCCCGAGCGACTTGATGCAGATAACAGCCCTGACTTCAAGTACGACAATCAAGGTATGCTCAATGAAGAAACTAACATGACCATTGCTGACATTACAGTAGACACCCCATATGCTGCGGAAGGCCAGATGTTGCTCACCCAACTCAGGAAGAAGGCCACATCAGAGGAAATCCAAGCCACTATTGACAGCATCCACGAGAAAGCACTCGAACAAGGCATCACTGAAGTCCTTGTGCCGTCAACAGATGCCTTTGTCACCGCCATCTGCCGTCTGGGAGCCAAGTCACTGTCTCACGTTCTATCCTGCATCGAGCGAGGCAAGGATCGGCTGCTGGAAATTTCCCAAAACGAGGTTGCACGTCGTCAGATCGTGGCCAGCGTTGTTGAGTACTGGAAAGACCAGCCTGGTGTCGCAGTCCGTATCATTGACATCTTGCTCAACTACACCATCCTTGCGCCTATGACGGTGGTGCAGTGGGTGTTTGGCAGTCACATGGGCGCCGGTGAGGCGTTGACTGAGAGCTGGGTATTTGAGATGGTGTCCAACACAGTCGCCAAGGTTACGAACCGTAACCGTCAAATCGCATCTGCTCGCCTCCAAAAGGGTCTTCAGCAAGAGCAAACCGAAATGGTAGAGGCCACGCTTGCCAAGGATCGAGACAACGCACGGGAGTTGTTCAAGTACATTGAAGATTCCATGCGCGGCGTAGCAGAGGGATCTGCTGACACTTTGGTCGAAAAGTCATCCAACGGCGAGCTCACTGACGAGGAAGTTCAACTCATCAAGGCGTGGGGCAAGCGCTGGCACACTGTCTTCATCCGCAAGGCACAGGTTGAGGAATCTGTTGTTGGCGAAGAGGCTGTCGAAGCACGCATCAAGCTCCTTGCTGCTGAACCCGATGTGGTTGCTGAGAGCATGGAGCAGGACGGTAATGGCGTTGCTGAGGCCATAAACGGCGAGGCACAGATGTCACTTGGCTGAAGTAGCCAGGTTTGAAAGTGAAGTGGGCGGGTTAAAAGCATAGCGAGTAGCGTCTGCATACATGGAGGCGTACTGGGGTGCACATGGGAAAATCTTCGCCGTCCAGGCTCGAACAGTTTACACGACATGGCATCGAGATGGGTGGGATAGTGTACGATATAGCTATATTTCACCTTGTGGATCTGTCTTGACTCGATTTGTGTCTTGCAAGTGACGTGGTACATGCCCGAATGTAAAGGACCCAAACTGGAACGAGTGTTTTGGGAAGGGATATGCTAACGCGATGCATGAGACAGATACTGGAGCTTTCTAGAAGTAGTGGAATGGTGAGGGAAAAAGAAGGAGCGCAATGATGATTATCATCCTGCTTTATAGGCCGCCCAGCCCTGGAGTCGTCAAGGACATGGTTGTGGGAAGGCTCAGGACTTTCAACTAAGGTACAAACCAAAGTTTCAGCGTGACAGCACTATGGCGGCTTCATGCGAGGCGTCAAAAGTCGGGGCTGATGTCGTATGCAGAGTGACGGTTAGCGTGGGACAGCATTCATGGATGCGTCTGCATGTCGCGCTTGGATCGCCTTGTCGTCATGTGAAAGATATCCCGAGAAGAACCCTGCAAACGTCGCGGGAGCCGGCCCAAGCAATGCTGCAGTGCACCGCCAACATTTACCATACTGCGCTCACAACAAACATGTCGCCCTGTATTCCTTGCCTTGGAAAGCCGATATAACGTTACGCGTGCGTTGTTTGGACGCTGTACATAGTCTTTCCGTCTTACCATCACCAGCCCCACGAGCCACCACACGCTCGGTTCAAACTTCCGCGTCACGACCCGCAACCCGACCGACGCAATGCATATACCCCCCACCCACGTCGCTGCTGGTCCAGCGACACCCATAACGAGCATAATACCACCTAATGCCTTATCATGGATCGCGAAAGACAGACCTGGAACCGGAGATGGATACACGGAGAACTGGAGCAGTCTTATCGGCATCCTCACCGCGATAATAGGAAATGTCTTGATATCTTTTGCGCTCAACATGCAGCGGTATGCGCATATACGGCTGGACAGAGAATGGCAAGAAAAGGAGCGACAAAGGAAGAAGAGGAACGCCTCTAGCTTGAGCTTGCAGAGGCTAGCGGACGAGGCCACCAAGAATGCTGGCCAGCGCAAGCCTCAGCACCATGAGGATATGGTTGAGCAGAGAGACGTGGCTGGCCGTCACATGGTCGAAGCGACCGAGTCGGATCCGCTCATTCCACAATCACAGTCGCAGAAGAGACCAGGGGTGGAGAGGGACGACAGCACAAGGTCGGGAACCGAAGAAGCGGCCTACAAGCAAACATCATACCTCAAGTCGCCCTACTGGTGGTTTGGCATAATCCTCATGACTGTTGGAGAATGCGGCAACTTTTTAGCTTATGGTTTCGCGCCCGCGTCCATCGTTTCGCCTCTTGGTGTAGTCGCTCTAATCAGCAACTGCATCATTGCGCCGTTCATGCTCAAGGAGCCTTTTCGCAAGCGGGACGCCCTTGGTGTTATTATCGCGGTTGGAGGCGCTGTTACCGTGGTACTTTCTGCAAACGACAACAACCCCAAGCTGGGCCCTGGTGAAGTCTGGGATCTCATTAGGAGATGGGAGTTCGAGACTTACTTGGGCATCACTGTTGGCGTCATTATGGTTTTGATGGTTGCGAGTAATCGCTATGGAGAAAAGAACATCTTGATCGATTTGGGCCTTGTGGGACTATTTGGTATGTTGATCTCGCCTTCTGGACCAACTGTGATGACTGACATTAGTTCTAGGTGGATACACAGCGCTCTCAACCAAGGGGGTCGCTTCATTACTCTCGTACACGCTCTGGCGCGCCATCACTTTCCCAGTCTTTTATCTACTCGTTGCTATCCTTGTTGGCACTGCAGTCATGCAGATCAAATACATCAATAGGGCGCTCCAACGATTCGACGCCACCCAGGTCATTCCTGTCCAGTTCGTCCTCTTCACTCTTTCCGTCATTGGTGGATCCGCCGTACTCTATCGAGACTTTGAAAGAACTTCGGCAGAGGATGCTGGCAAGTTTGTCGGTGGATGCGCTTTAACATTCTTTGGCGTCTGGCTCATTACAAGCGGACGGCCCGGGCGGGAAGAGGAAGACGATGAGGACGATCGCGAACCAGAATCGGAAGAAGTTGTCCATATGGCTGGCGAGCGGTACACAGATGAAGTCGATGGAAGGAGCGACCAAGTCACTACAAGTACCCGACGCTCATCAACAACACGTCCACTATCGCCACCTATCGAGATCCATTCGCGCTACCGTGACGAGGATACTCGACCCTCAACACCAAATATTAGAGTCATACCAGAGCCAATTACACCTCCAAATCCAACTCGACCCGCCACTGCCGACATCATGTCATCCATCATGGCCAACCCATGGGCCCAAGGCAACGAGCCCGAGTACCGAACACCACCACTAAACCGTCATACATCGACACCTGTGCTTCCATCTGAAGCCGCACCTCCACCCCTAGTATCCATCTCCGACCCCAACCGCGCGGTCCCAGAGACACCTACGCGTGGAAGATCATACAACGAAGCGCCCGTCACACCAGGCTCGCAGCCACCACTTCGCCGTCTACGAACCGGAGACCGCGTTCAGAGCGCACGTAACAGCATCGCCGGTCCGCTACTCGCAAGCCCTCTAAGCACCAGTCTCAGCACCATGGTGCAAGATCTCAAGCGCGGAGGAAGCATACGCCGGCAGCACAGTTTACTCGGTCTCCGAGCCAGAGAAGGGGAAGATGTGGGCGGCATGCTCGTACTGGGCGAGCCGCTTACTAGACGCCAAACAAGGGAGAGTATCGGCCCTTCAGATGGCGGCGCCGTCACACCTGCTAGGATGGGCAGAGGAAGAAGTCTCAGTGGGACGCTGAATGGTATTTGGAGGGGAATCAGGGGTCAGGGCAGCAGAGAGGATTTGAATGGTGAAGAGGTGGTAAGGGATTTGGAGAGAGAAAGGTAATTTTTAGGAAAGATGAATATTAGATTTTTCTTCCTTCTTGTTCATATTGGGTTTGTGTTGTTTTCTGGGTCTTTTTGTTGTTGTTGTTTTTGTGCCGGACAACCAGTCAACCCCCTTGCTATGATGATTTGTAATGTTGAACGCTTTAGATGTCATGTACATTGATACGATAGATCGAATGGCCTACGGTAGTAACGAGCGAGCAAAGAAAGTGAATTTAGATATGAACATTTCCCGACAAATTTGCATGACGAGAATACTTTTTCAGTGATTGCCAAAGTGGGAGAAAGTGTACTTCATATAACTAGTTATACATTTGAATAAATAAGTGTGGTGTGGAATAAGATTTTTACCGGCGAAACTAGGCGCTGGTATAACTAGCCTTAAGGATAGAAAATATGCCAAGTGCTAATGTAGATACAAAGAAGAAGAGAACAAAAAGAAGGGAAAAAAGTGTTAGAAGAAAAGGAGAAACATGAAGAATCAAATAAACCAATCCCATCATCAAGATAAGAAAAATCAATAACCCACAGCCATCACTACCCGATCACAGTGAATCAGGCAGCCAGCCTTACCCCCCACCCACCACAGACACACGTGTGGCTAAACTTAGGCAAAGTTACCACCAGCCGTAGTCTTAGACTCCGACTTGATCCCCACATTCTTAACAACAATACTCTTACCATCCGTACTCGTGACCCTCACATCAACAGCATCCGTGCCAAAGCCCGCGGGATTCTCAAAAAAGTTATACGGCTGCCTCTTGGTCTGTTTCCATGACGCACCGCCATCAGTCGAGACCTCGAGCTTAGCAACGCCTACGTTGGCATTCATAACCTGCATGCTGAACCAGAACTTGCTGGTGCCGGATTTGTTCTTGAGAACAATGGGGGAGGAGATGCCGCAGGGGACAACGGCCCAGTCGACGGTGATGTTGCCGGCGTTGGGGCTGGCGAGGGCGGCGAAGCCATCGGGGAAGAGATCGAGGTGGTTAGGACCGCAGCCTGGGCATTGGTCTACGACCATCGCTTTGACTGTGTTGCCCTTGGGGCCTGTGACGCTCACACAGGTGCCGCACGCGCCGGCAGTGTCCCAGTTGAAGTCTGAGATTGCGGTGCCGTAGATGCCGGCCGGGATCGTGTAGCCGACGAAGGAGCAGGTACCGCCGGAGAGGTTGCCGCCGTACCAGGTGGCGGAGCCGCGCTTGGTGGTGCCGGCTTTGGTTTGCGTGGTGGGAGGGGCGACGGTGGCGGCGGTGGCAGAGGGGGATGCGGAGGTGGAGGTTGCTGCGGCTGGGGAGGGGGTGGACGATGTGGGCTTGAGGGCGGCGATTGTTGACATGGTTGTAGTTGGGCGTGGGGGAGGGATGGGAGTGTGGGTTGCTGGAGCAGAGCTCAGGAGCTGAGAGGGCTTGAAGAGGGCGACGGTGGTCGAGTTGCTGAAATAGCCGCCAGATGGGTGGACGCTGCCAGATGGGTGGAGAGTGACGGTTGTATATATGTCGAGGGTGGACGTTGAAGTAACGTCGATAGTCTTGACAGCATCGGGAGTGACATAGGTACCAGAAGTGTAGGTGACCGTGACATATACCTTCTCAGTCATAGTGACTGAGACGATGCTTGGTCCGCAAGAGCCCGGGCTGGTGGTGGCATCTGCAACAAGCGCAGGTGTTGGAGTGGCAGTCTTGTAGACAGTCTCGACTTCAGTCTCGGTAATCGTCTCGTCGGGCTCAGCAGGGCAAGCCGACTCCTGAGCGAAAGCGAGGCCCACAAAGGGCAGGATGGAGAATATAGCACCCTTCATTGTGGATGATCCTTAGCTGATGATGGATATGTCGATATGATGTTTTTTCTAGAAACTGGCAACGAAAGATGACGAGGATAATAAAGAATCGTATCAACGACTTCTGTAAGAAAACCGAACCGACACAGCGGCTATTTTGCAAGATGCAATTATGAAAAGGAGTGACTAAAGTTCGACTTTTGCGATGCTGAAGGAAAAACCAACAAAACAGCGTACCCTCCCAAGTACATGTACTCTTCCTGCGGCACAGCCATCTCATTACACTAAACCCGCGGCACCCAAGTGACAGCGCCACCGGACAAACAGTAGTGTGGAAATTTGCGCTTCGGAAGCCCTGGAGATAAGCTAATTTCACGGTCCACCACATGGGAAGACTCTGGCGTTAGCGAGACTACAATTTAAATCCCTACAAGAACACGAGGGCTGTAGATGAAGAGAGGTAGAGAAGTCTTTTTCTTTCTTGGTCTTGGGACAACGGGGTGGATCCAGATGAAATCCTTGGAGAGAAAACAAGTGCGTTGGCGCAATACGAAAGACGAGTGTGGAAACGGAAGATCAAGCATTCCCACGATATGTGCGGGTCGTTGGTCTTCGGTTAGTTGAACCCGGGCCAGCATCACGGCGAAGCGTAAGTATCACGAAACTTCGTGCCGTGCGACGAGCAAGGCCCATCCCGGTTTCAGCCAGAGTAGACAGAGTGAATTTCTAGGATAATCCGCTGGTCTAGATTCGTTTCACCCAAAAAAGCTTGTGTGATGCTTGTTGTGGCGGGCATGAACGGGAACCGTGAGGTTGTGTGATGAAAGAAGCGGGATGAAAGGGACGCGCTAAGAAGGAGATCAAACATGTGCGGGAGATGACCACCACCCCAGGCCGCAACACACAACAAGTGATCTGATCGTGTTGCTATTCAAAACACTCTAATTCATGTTCTACAGACTAGAGAATGCCATATTAGTGTGGTGCAAAAACCGGGATCGGTAATGTATTCCAAGAAGAATTTCTCCGAGAAACGGGCGCGAGCGTGCAGTATACCGAGACGAGCTGTCTGTTCTGAAGAGAAGGAACGACTGGGTAACACCTCACGTCATCTTATTGGTGGGGGGTAACAAAACTGTGCCGTGCAGCAAGTACCGGCAGCGGTCCAGAGCGTCAACACAGGATAGTGGTTTCGCCGAACATGGTTCCGGTAACAGGTGTCGAAATAGAACCCAAAATGTGGCCCCGTTAGCGCCAAGCCTGCCATTTACTTTTTTGCTTTCGATATTGCTGGCGAGAGCAAAGGCAGTAAGGTCTACTCCTCTCGTGGTGCTCAAATAGGTGTAATAGCCTGGCGTAGGCCCGATTGATTGATTGATTAGCCCGATTGTGCGATGCGTACCAGGACAACGTACGGCACTGCCTTGATGAGAAGAGACTGTATCGATTGAGGTAAAGATACCTAGGCATTCCTTCAATACCGAAAATGAGGCGGACAACTCCAAAAGCGCGAGGTGGATAGCAGATGCAGAATGAACCGTTGACCTTCCCTGCATCCAAACGTAGTTACCCGAGCGAGCGTAGCCTATTCAGGCCAACCCGCGGCTACAGCGCTCCAAATACCTCCATCATCACCACCATCAACATTCCCCTCATAACCAATACATGTAAAATATGCAATGTCTCTTCCTTCTCTAATAAATATTCGGTCCGCCAGGTCGCCGTTCTTAACCCACCACTGTACTAATCTAGGTACTTATCTCTCAACATCACGCACCTGCATATCTCACAATCATACCGAGAATCTTTGCAAATGAAGCTTGAGTCGTACGAGGTAATTCTATTGGCATCGAAAGATTGTTAGTTTAACGGGGTTGTACGGGCTTCCGTCGGCTCGTGTGATGCGTGGCTAGTCTCTGTTGTTTTGTCGTGACTGTTCGGTTGAGGTAAGGGGGTTTGCGTAAAGCTGTCGTAGGAATATATAAATCACTCGATTGCCTTTTTCTCTTGCCAGCGCAAGTAGTCTGAGGGTTAGAATAGTACTTAATCGAGCTATACGCAGCACTGTCGTAGGATGGTGCATTGGTTGGCATGAATATAGTTTTATACCTACGAGTGGAGTGTCTTGTAAGTTATTGCAGATTCTACAACTTAAAAAAGCTGTATGACAGCGTGCGAGCTCAAGTCTTGAAAACAAATAACTCAATTTAACAGATCTGAATAGGCAATGATTCCACATCCCTGATCGTTATGGTAAGACCTGTCTTTCAATCACAATTGTCAAGATCCCCATCAATTACAAGACACATACGAACATAAAGAGAAGCAAGCCAATGTTACTAATACACTATCCCTATATACTACTGCATTCAACGGATCAGATTACCACATCTACCCCTCTGTTCCAGACATTTCATCATCTCACAATCCCACAGCCAATCTACAACATACCCAGCGCAAAACCAAGAGCCCCAATTCCGATGGCGGCACCCGCAGTCTTAGCCGGAGCCGGGTTGCTCGTCGCACTCGCACCCTGTGTGCTTGTGCTAGTAATAATAATAGCCACACTAGTCTTGCTCACAACGTCCGTCTTGGTTGTGCTAACAGTATCGGTGCTGATAGCAACCGCGCTGATAGCCGCCGCGTTGTAGGCCGTAGTCTTGAGGGAGCACTCTGAAAGGATGCTGGAGACGGCCGTGTCGTCGTTGTTGGACTTGTCCGACTTGAATTTTCCGATGCAGGCGGAGCAGAGGGGGATTAGGTTAGATGCGTTGTTGGCGCTGCAGACGCACTTTATGGCGGCATCTTGATCGTCTGTGTAGTTTGTTAGATGGGTGAATGTGAGGGAAGGAGTGGATGAATGGTGGGTGAGCTTACTGCTGTTGGTCTTGCATCCGTTGGAGATACCGGAGACTTGAGAGCAGACGTCTTTGCATTCGAGGGGCAGGTTGTCGACGTTGATAGTTGTGTCGGCGATGGCGACGGCGGCAAGGCCGGAGAAGATGGATAGCTTAGTGAAGAGCATTTTGGCGGTTTGTGTATTTGACCGAAAGTGATTGTAGTTTAGTGTAGTGATGGTAAGTGAAGCCAAAATGTAGATTTGCTGTGATGATGATGATGATGGACAAATTGACATGTCGACTACACTCGTCTTTATACCTTCCCCTCTCTTAGCTACCCTGACCCAGACTTGCAACATCATCTACCCAGACTCGGATATAACGGATCTGGCTCCTACGCTTGTTCGAGCGGCTAGATCTTCGCACAGTCGTTGGCGTCGGAAGTGCATGTTCGCTCCAAGTTATGACAGCGCCGAGACCCAATCAACCACTTTTTCATAGCGTTGACCCTTGTTCCATGGATGGTGTGGCTGAACATGCTGCACTGGGTTCTGGTCCTGGTCCATTCCATGAAGTCTGATTTAAGGTGTTTATGGGTTTCGCATCTCCTGTCTCCGGAGTGTAGGTAGCATGACGTAGGTTTGCCTAGGTAATTGCAATTCCGTTGTTTCTGTGTCCATTTAAACTCATCCAGGATGACATATACAGGCTACTCAACCTGTTTTCAGTCAAGGTCAAACTCTTCAATGCTGCCATAGTACCGTGGTTACTGCTTCGATTCACACTACTAACATGCATCCAAGCTATTGATCGTGTGGCACACTTGCGGCACTAGTCATTGTCACTGCCACATGCTAGTTCGCGTATAAGACTTGGGCCAATGAGGTCAGTGAACCGGCGTTTTCGACGTGCTAAGATACCGGTTTGTGAGTAAACGCGGTCCCGCAAGTGCAGTGGCGGAACCAAACGCTCGTTGTTGAGCCACAGCGCACGGTTGACTTTATATTCTTGACGCATGGTGAGTGATGGGTGGCGAAGGCGTCGGCGACAAGGGCAAATTGGTGGTGAGTCTTGATGGGGAGAAAGGGGGGGGGGGCTCAAAAAATTAGTTGAGTTGTCTAAATCATGGCAAGCATTTACTCCACCACCCTGAGAGGAAGGACCAAACATCAACGTACCTACGTCACGTCAGAAAAGCAACTACAAACCTCATCGATCTCGTTCCCGCGGCATCTACCGCTCAGCCACCTTCAGACGTTTCACCACACTGGACATGCAACTTGGCCGGCTTCTTCTCCGCAACTGACATGGGTATTCAACTCGTTCTGGGCTCACAAATGGATCAAACACTACAAGCTTTTTGCCCGATCGCCCGGCCTGGCACGGCTCGGTCCACTTCCCTAGTTGCCAAGACTCCAATGACAGCTGCTTGGGATAACCTCCGAAGTAGCCACTAGTCACTGTGCTATGACCACCAGCTACGTACGCACCTCTGCGCCCCGAGGTTTGTGGCGTGAGGTGTTTTTGGCTGTATGGAGGAGCAAGTAGGCGGGTTGGGATACGAGAGAATTGTGCAAATTAAACACTGTTCTTCACAGGAAAGAGAGAGAGAGAGAACGGCATCGGCATCCTGTGTTTGCTGATGACAGTTTGGTTTATATCGTAATAGTGCATCATAGCGTTTACCGGTATCGAGGCTGGACATGGACCCTACTTGTTAGTTAGAACAGTTAGAACAGGTGCAATCCTGTTATATCCACCTCTTTCAATTTCGTCAGTCCAAGTTGCTGCGCGATTAATGTGGGTCTGGAAAGATACTAATGTCTGTCGAACAAGCTTTAAACAAGCTTCATTGCAGCTACTTTGGCCTTTGGTCTACTCACGTATGTCGAATCTGACCCATAGCCATGCCACATGCATACATGCAAATCGCCATCAACTCACTGCTTGTCAAGTCATGCACCATGTGTGCTCATATTCCGGGTATCATTGCTTTTACATGACTGTACAAACACTTCCAGGTGCAAGCTTCCCAGGCCAATAGTAAACCACATGTTGGAAACATCTTTCAAGCAAATGAATAGCAAGCAGGTCATTCGTTTATTCATTCCACATGAACATGGACCCACAACTTCCTTCCAACAAGCCATATCCACATATTTTCATCTATCGTGGTTGCATAGCAGGAAAGTATCTTGGACCCGAATATCCGTGGAGCTGAACGCTTTCGATGTCGATGTTGCCGTCATGTTTCGGGCTCCAAAACTTCAGCAGGACATATCTCCCCGAGCTATTGGAAAAAGTCATTATGAATTCAACATATCATAGTAGAGAATTGACCACTTACATGGCAGGGTGGAACTTGATGGTGATTTTGTTTTTGTTTTTCGCAATGAAGAACCTCGCATGAGGCGGGATGAGTACATCGGTGTCTGGTGAGGATTCAGAGGGTTCAATGCGACTCGGTGCAGCCACACGCGAAGCGCGGATAGGCTCCAGATATCTTTCTCTTCTCTCCCTCCATTCGCCCATGGAAGTGTAATCGAGGGCTGGTGCTCGGCGGAGGGGTCCCATGCGTGGAATGATTTCATCGTCATCGTCATCACTGTCGGGACGCCAACGACTTTCTCTCCGGAGCCGGTCCGCCATGATGGCAGCACTGGGTTGTTCCTCATTCGAGTCTGAAGATTCCTCCTCACTAGCAGCAGTGGTGACGGTGAAGGGCGGCGGAGTGGGTGCGGAAACGCCAGCAGGACCGCTATAAGACTCCTCTCCCGCATGATCGCAGTTGTCGCCATCTGCTTCGTCTTCATGTTCCACCATCTGGCGCAAGATCCGACGCCGTTCCGAGTCGGAGCGCAAAGACGATATCAAGTCAACCGATTCCGCGTTCAGCCTCTCGCTGCGAAGTCGGAGATTCTCGATGCGTTCCTCCATGTCTTCTTGAGTGCCTTGATGGGAGTACTGCCATATCGAGGGGTCTTGCAGGGCTTCCCTTAGTGATATGTGTTCGTTGTCTTCGGTTGGAGAGCTGGGCGTAGGTGACATGAGCGGGGACCGATTGTCGTACCGGAGGTTGTAGGCTGATGTGCCGGCGAGAAGATGGTCTGCAGACATGGACACGAAGACAAGCCCCTCTTGAACGCTGGTGTGATGTTAGCAACGTGGTTCTAAACAAAGAGCAGATATACGTACGGAGCAGTGAAGCCACGGTCCGGGGCGCGGATGACGACCTTTTCCAGAGCAAACGGAGCCTCCCCGATGTGCTTCAACAAAAGGTTGCACTGGGAGCTTTCACTGCAATAGACGCTTTTGTCGTTCTTCAGGACATTCTGGACCCTGTACAGGCCTGGCGGATTGTCTCTCCGGTGCTCACCCCCGTCGCAGCTCACAATCTCCATCCTCAGCCGTCCAGACACGACCTGGCCCTTGTGGCCATACTTGAAGCACATGTACTCGGGCGCGGCGCTGGAGTCGTGTTGAAGCTTCCTTCGCTTGTGGCGGCGCTCGCTGTTGACCTGCACAATGGGGCTCCGGGGACGGGACTGGGCATACGAGGGGGCAGTGAAGGGGTTGGTGATGGGGAGGTCGCTCAGCGAGTCGAGCACGTCGTTGGGCGAGTCCATGTCGGCGGAGCGCTGTTCCCTGATGCGGGCTTGAGAGCGGCGGAGGTAACGTTCGCTTGGCGTGGCACGGGGACGGTTGGGGTTGGCCGTGGGAGGGCGTCTGGAGAGGTTGTCTACCGCGTCGCTGTCACGTGGGGGACCAAATATGCGGTGGAGTGAGCCGCGTCTGGTAGCGTTGCGGGTGCGCCTGGCCGTGGGTCTGGGTGCGGGTTCGGCATCGTGGAGGGCCGGGGTGTGCTGGGGGTTCGGGCGCAGGGCACTGCGTGAAGCGCTCGTGATTGTGGTACGGGAGACGGTTGGCGGCGACGTCGAGGCATGGGGAAAGTCAAAGCCTCCGCCTGTGAAGGAGAAAGAGGCCGGCGGCGGAGACGGGGACGAGGGCGGTCTGGGCATTGGTGACGTCGGCGCTCGCTCCCATTGAGGAACGAGATGCAACGGGAGGGTTGTGTGGGTTCTGTGTTTGCAGGAGACTATGGACGATTAGGGTGGTTAGGGTGAAGGGTGGCACTTTGTCGATGTCGATGTCGAGGTCATCAGGATGCGGCGGTGGCGTCTACGTCTTGGAACAATGCCGACCGTGGCAGTGGCAGCGATGCCTCGTTCGCGGGGGATGTCAGGCTAGCGCGGGCCACCAGTGAGGGCCCTGCAGAGCCGCATACCGGTAGGTACTAGGCAGGTATAGCTACCATACCAAAACAGCTAATGCCGTCACCACTAGCTGCCTTTACCTCGCGACTGCGACTGCGACTGCGACAGCAACAGCAACTGCGACCGCGACCGGCTGGCTTGCTGCGAGCCGCAAGAGTAAGCCATTCTATCCATCTAATTCCTTCTCCTCTATCGCCTAGTCATTGATTGCTGTTGTCACGTCTGCCCACGTGACGCGACGTGAACAAAGCCATTGCGACAAAAATGGCCGACATGACCGAGCCCTCCGCGATTCCTCCGCCAGCAGCCAACGGCGCTCTGCCTGCAGAAGACGCTGCCGGCCAGACAGTGGCTGCCATTGCTGAGGCGGACAAGATCTCTGCGGGTAAGCGCGGCTCAGTCGCAAGTCAGTCAATACTAACCCGTCTGTAGACGAAATCGCCCTCTACGACCGCCAGATTCGTCTCTGGGGCGTTCAGGCACAGCAGAAGATACGCACCGCAAACATCCTCCTCGTCTGCTTCAAAGCCCTCGCCAATGAAATCGCAAAGAACCTCGTCCTTGCAGGCATTGGCTCCATCACCCTCGCCGACCACCAAGTCGTGACCGAAGATGACCTGGGTGCCCAATTCTTCCTCACCGACGCCGACGTAGGCAAGAACCGCGCTGAAGCAGCTGCCCCCGAGGTCCGCAAGCTCAACCCACGCGTCACCGTCAAGACGCTCACGACGGACATTCGCAATGTGCAAGATCCAAACTTCTACGCCGCCTACGACATCATCATAACCACCGATATGGACTTCATGTCCACCACGGCAGTCAATGCCGGCGCGCGCATAGCAAAGAAGCCCTTTTACGCAGGCGCCTCGCACGGCATGTACGGCTACATCTTCGCCGACCTCGTCGAGCACCACTTTGTCATTGAGCGCGAGAAGAGCAACCGCGACACCCAGGTTGGTCCTGAGAGTACGACGCGGAGTGTCAAGGGCGTGCAAGTCAAGAAGGAAAATGGAAAGGTGGTGGAGCTGGTCAGCAAGCGCGAGGTCTACAGCCCACTCATGCTAGTCAAAGACAGTCCGCTCCCCGCCGAAATCGCAAACAACGCGCGGAGACTGAAAAGAGTACACCCGTTACTGACATGCGTGCGTGCGCTATGGGAGTACCAACGCAACGGCCACGGCATCTATCCCTCGCATACCCAGCAAGAACTCACGCTGTTTACCACCATTGCAAACGTAAAGCACCAGGAGCTCTTGCTCCCTACCGACTCTCTCAAGGCTGACGTCCTCCGCAACTTCCTTCAGAACCTCGGCAGCGAGCTAGCACCCGTGACTGCCTTTTTGGGCGGCCAGCTAGCTCAGGATGTCATCAACGTCTTGGGTCAGAGGGAACAGCCAATTCAGAACCTGATGCTGTTTGATGGCGAGGACAGTGCAGGGCCTGTATATACCCTTCATCCCATCTTTCCAGATACACCGTTGCCGATCATCCAGAGCGTTCCCGTTGAGGCGTCTATCACCGTGCTCTAGAGTTGTTTGGGACGGCGGACAGGAGTGCATGGAGTATGTATGGTTTGCTAATGTCTTCGGCGGGTGATTGGATATGGCCAACCTAAACCAAGATAGCAGCATGGAAGCATGTAGAAGTCGTGACGGTACACGCGATGAGAGATACCCTATAACAGCATCAAGGAAAGACAACATCAAAGTAGTAACCAAAAATGTCCAAGCCCACAGGAACATGTGCTATTTCATCTTTTACCCCCCTAAAATTTACTGCACCTTCTTCTCCCCTCCCTCCACATTCCTCCCACTCCCACCCCTCCTCCCAAACAAAACCCAACACAACCCCACAAACGCCACCAGCACAATCCCCACCGTGCCCCCCTCAACCCACGTACTCCTCCCCGTCGCCAAAACCGGCACCTTGATAAACTCCACCAGCCAATCATCCCCAACCAGTAACTTCTCCCTGATAAGTTCCTGTCCCTTGGCATCAACATCGGGCTTGGGATCCACATGCAAGAACCTCGTCTTGGGCCCAAACAAGCCCTCATACCCCAGATGCGTGCGATCAAACGGATTCGACGCATGCTGCGCGCCCGAATCAGCGTGGCACGCCCAAAACACAACGGGCCAGGGCACCGGCACAGTGCGGTATCCCGTGTGTGAAGCAGGTAAGTAGCGAAGGTGGAGTGGGATACTAATATTCCAAGTTCCCTGACCTCCTCCTCCTCCTCCTGCTTTCGCGACTTGCGATTTCTTGGGCACGGCAAGTTGGAACAGAGCGGCCGAGCCCCATTCCTCGACAACCCAGTCTGGGGCTTCAAGGTCGGTGGCGCCGGAGAGGGAGCGCAGCGACTTTATGTTCTTGGAGGCGAGGAAGAGGGCGTCTGTGAATTGGTATTTGTCAATGAAGAGGTAGGATGGGAGGGTTAGGTGGGCGTGGAGTTTGCACGAAGGGGCTGGGGGGGTCAGGTGGGTGGTGGGGAGGGTGAGGGTGAGGGTGGGATGGAGGCCTGTGGGGCGGTTGAGCGACGTGGTGTAAGTGACAGGGTGGGGTTTTGGTGGTGCGGTTGGGTTGGTTGTTGTGTTGAGGAGGGGGTAGTGTCGGGTTGGGGTTTGGAAACGTGTTGCTTCTGGTAAAAACGTTAATTTTCTTGTTTGATTCTTGGACTGTGGAAGTGGGAGATGGCGTACTTGGCTTTTGGTCTTGACCTAGGACGGTGAGGAAGCCTCCAAACTGTATGTCCTCGGGGTCTGCATTACCCTCGTGACTCAGGACGCCGATCTCGACTGTGGAGTCTTCTGTGGGTACTTCGTTGGGAGATAATCCCCCGTGTTTGATCATCCAAGCTGAGGGTAATCTATGTGTTGAAGTCCAGCCCTTTTCCTTCTCCCACGACTCCTTTTCAGCAACCGGCCAGAGAGCTGTCAGGACCACTGATCTGGAAATAGTGTCGTAGTCAATGTCAACAGACCGCGCCGTGGAGAAAGCATTCACAAGTTTCTCGCAATAAGCTTGCAAAGGCCCTTTCTCACACATGATACTTTGCCAGGGGCCTTTATAGGCGCCAATGTTATCCAGGTAGGCGTAAAACTGCGAGGTAGCAGACATTGAGAAGCGCTCAGAGAGAATAGGAAGCTTAGTGGAGGTCGATGATGTTGTTGAACACTTCAAGTCATCCCGGGAGACTTCAGGCGGGATGAGCCAGTGGAGTTGCGAGCACAAGGCATCTTCGGGTGTGTTGGACAGTGGAGTGAAGAAGACATGTAGACCAGGCGAGACACGTGATGTGAAGGGTGGAATGCCTGCATGAGGTTTTGGAGATGCCCAGCGCACATGTAGTTCATGCCACTGTTGGAAGATGTTACCAATCTGTATTGTATTAGATTCCCCTCATTCGTTTAGCAACTTGGGAATATACATTGCTAGGCAGCTCGTCTAGCCCGAGTGTGATACGGTGTTCCTTTGCAGCTTGAACATTCTTCAAGGCGAAGCGTGGGCCGAGTTCATCTTGTGTGATTTCGATTTGCTCGGGAGTGAACTCTTCGGGTTTGTGCACAACGTAGGTTATTCGCTGTTTCATGTTGCTGGGAGCGGTGTTGATGGCTTCTACGCGCGATGCTCGCGATACTGTGAGTACCAGTCTAGTCCAGATTTGGTGTTAGCGCAAGGGCGTTCCCGGTGGTGCCTCGGCGGTACGTCATTGCCCATGTGGCATTCAATGGTCCAGCTTCTAGAATCGCCGTATTAGTATCGCCACTGTGTCTTTGGTCGTGGCTGAGTCGCCAGCGTGGCCCTTTATATCCATTGCTATCTACCTTCCTTACTGTGTTGTTCTTCCGCCGGCAAACATGCATCTTGTCAGCTTCTTGTATCCTGCGCTCCTGGCCGCGAGCGGCGCAGATGCCCTACGTTCCGATAAAGTCAAGCTCTCCAATATCCAGAGCCTCACGTTGCGCAAAGGCCTACAAACCTCAGCACGGCGCGTTGATCCTATCCCTCAGGTACGCGACATCACCCCACTGATACATGACGCTCCGAATGCAGACAACTAACAAACCTCAGCTGAAATGCGTTGGCGGCTCCGCTCGTGGCCTCTATGAACCCGAAGTAATGCGATGCAAGAACAGTGGCTCCGACTACGACGAAAACTCCATACAGTGGACCTGTACAGCCTCGCTCCCCGAAGAATTCAAGCTCGGTTCCACCGATGTTATCTGCGAAGGCTACGACTATCCCGAAGACCCATATATTCTCAAAGGCAGTTGCGGGGTAGAGTATCGTCTTATCCTCACCGATCGCGGGCGGGAGAAGTACGGCAAAGGAGGAGGATGGAGTGGTGACGATGATGATAGACCTGATGGTCCGAGGACCACAGGCGAGAAGATTGCAGGGGTACTCTTCTGGATGCTGTTTGGTGGTGTTGTGCTGTGGATGATATACTCTGCGCTTAGAAACCGCGCACAGGGCCCTGATGGTGTACCGGGCGTCAACAGACCTGGTTGGGGTGGCGGCGGTGGTGGTGGTGGTGGATGGGGAGGTGGCTACAATGATGACAACGACGACCCTCCTCCACCATACTACCCGAACCAGCCCAATAATCCCAATAATCCCAAGTCTGGGTATGGAACCAACCAAGGCTGGCGTCCTGGCTTCTGGTCTGGTGCTGCAGGTGGCGCTGCAGCTGGATGGGCAGCGGGCCAATTTGCAAACAGAGGAAACAGGAGCAACCAAACCGGTGGTTGGAGAGATGGAAACGGCAGTGGAAGTCGTTGGAATAATGGCGGAGAAGGAAACTCGAGAAGTTCATCTGGTGACAGCTTCTCCAGCACAAGACATGAGAGTACTGGATTTGGTGGTACCTCGAGACGATGATCCGGTCGTGGTTAGAATGAGAGAGATATTTCACCTTGGCTAAAAATGATACCCCTACTATTCGAAAGTATAACTGAACTACGTTTGTATATTTAAGCGCTTTTTCCATACACTCTACATACTGGATATAGTGCTGCTGCCAATTTCGTTGTCGATGTTGTTGCCAGAGTCGTGACAGGGCCATGGAGTACTTATTCCTCGTAAAATCCCTCGTCGCGATCGGTACTGTCGCCATATACATCGTCCATAGCCTGTGAGGCTGCAGTACCAGAGTTATCAGTGTTCTCTTGGTGGCTACCCCGGACAGCAATATCACGTGAGTACGATACGGACCCGTGCTGGGGAGGCATCAATACCGCCTCGTCGTCACCGTTTTCACTATGCCCTGATGAGCCTGAGCCGTGTCTGTATCACCGCTGGGTGACTCCAGCGTTCCGCTCAAGTCAGGAATGAGGACTTGACCATGAAGGTTGTTACGCTCGTTCTCTGGAAGTTGGTATTCGGAGCTCGATCGCGCAGGATCGACCAAGGAGGCAAGGGTGAACACCGACTGGGTCTTTAACTTATAATACGGTGCTGACGAAGGAGGTAATCCTGACGTGGACTACGGGACGGTGGTCGCTGCGGCAGCCATGAGGTCATCTGCAGACTTCTGCAGATCTTCAGCACTCTCCAAGAGAACGCGAGGGCTGGCCAATATGGACTCGGAAACGCTCATCAGAGCGGTCATAGAAGCGGGGCTAGACTGGCACTTTCAAGGCTTCCCATGAGACGGTGAACGGCTTCGTTTGCGTTTTTCAATGTTGAGGTTGAGAGTATCAGGGATAGAAATGAGTTCAAAAAAGGATTGTCGAGCAGTGGACAACCAGAGTGTCTAAGTGTGTATGAGTATGGAAGTGATACCAAAGGCAAAGTGCTGACTATATACCTGATAAGTGCTCCAAGAGATGCGATGCGATGAAGGCGCAACGCAGTAGTGTGGTGAGAGTTTTTAGCAAACTTTACCCCCTAAGACGTGGTCCACGAACCAGTGACGGGGCGTGCTGAGAGATAAAGTTAGAGGGAATAGCCTATGGAAAGGACATAAATTTCCTACAGTGGCTTACAGAGTGATACAAAAGGATTGAGCATATAGTAAAGGCCACCAAAGGCATTGAGTTAACATCAAGGCAATTCTGGCGCCTGCGCGTCTGCCTTAACGTATTCACATTCTTCGTTAAACCAATAAGCTGCCTATCTCCTCATCTGCGGCGGTAGCGATTTAGCTTCCCTCACTGTCCCAAAGGGAAAACTGCATAGATCGCAGTGAGAGTTGACCAACACGACAACTGTCGCCAGCTGACGTACAAGCATGAGGTAGAAAGAACCACATGCCTTTCTTTATCTCGAATATCTCAACGATCTCAATGCGGCGGGAATTGGCTTGGTCATGGAAATATTCCAGAAAGTATGTTTGTAGGTGAATGTAGAGACTGTAGCCTTTGGACGTGGTGCAACCACCTAGATGGCTCTACCAATGACTGACAACATGCTTCCGTGCACTAAGAATGTAACTAATGACGATTCTCAAGATTATACAAAGAAGTTGTCTGTACACTACATAGATATAAAGTCGACAAATGGATGAGCTTCCGCCAGCTCAAAGGGTTTTACCATTGCGTAAACAAATGGCTGTAACCAATGATACCTCCTTAATCTTTAGCATTCTTGGATAATGATAACCAGAACATATTCATGATTCAAAAGCCCTATTATACATTTTCGCATGTAAAACCTCAAAGATAGACACGAAAAAAGATTCCACAAAGCTAAACGTTGATCAGGAGTTTGGAACCGATACTGAGACGAGCCATGATAGTCACAAGGTAATGGAATAAGGAAATATTTGATACTACGTATATGAGCTATCGGTATGCCTACAATAAGATACACGATGTGTAGTCACTGTATGTATTATAACATGTCAGATCCTCATGTCAGTGATCTCGAAGCGTATTTGATAGAATAAGAGGTTCCGAAGTGGTAAGAAACAACTACATAGCCTCATTTAACTCGAGTGTGAGACTATGTAAATGCTTCTATATATCGTCATTGTTATATCACAAGGACATATCTCGCCCCGGGCGAGCAGACTCCGCAACAATCAATCGGATCGGCATGATTGATTCCTATCTAGGTTAAAGGCTGCCTAATAAAGTAACTCTTTAACCTATATAGGAATCAATCATGTCGATCGATTGATTGTTGCGGAGTCTGCGGGCGAGGAAGCATAAATTCCGAGACAATAGCGACGTTGCATTCAGATAAGGCGACGCGGCTGTCTCTGAATATGTCGTAATAGTGTGGTTAAGAGAAACAGAGACGCTAGGCTTGGTTACAAACTGCAACCGCATTTAGATTCTAGATGTTGCTCACGGCCGGCATGAAGTGACCAGATGGGAGGAGTACAGGCGACGCGATAGACCACAAAACACTTCAGCGCGGCTGGCTGTATGAGGGATGATGCCAGCAATTGGTCTGAATCGTTTCGGCTAGCGAGTCATGCCCTGGAATGAAAGATCGCGTCGCTAACACTAAAGTAGATGAAGTAATCATTTACGCTAAACCTCAGCTAACTGGTCCAGCTGAAAATGTCGCAAAGTGGGGTAAATACTGTCTTTTTTTAATACGCCTTTGGGAATCGGTAGAATTCCAAGTGAAAACGATGGGAATCTATCGCAGGATATTCCGGCCAAGGTGATACTTGAACAAGGTTGCGGGTGATGTCATGGTCTTACAAATTCAGACGTCTGCATCCCGCGGAAGCCTGTCCCACACATCCCTAGCACGAGAAGGAACAGTTTCCAAGGTCATGAACCACAAAACCTGAATAACCCCGGTTCCCCGGTCTTCTGTCATGCAAAACCCGTACGATTTCCCTTCAATCCTATCAAGTCCCACTGAGGCTAGCTCTACGGTCGTACCTTCCGAGCAATGGCCACGTCCATGGGAGCGCTGCTAACGCCGCCGTCGCCTAAATCTGACCATCTCCCGCCGTCAAAGTCAGACGATGATTACGCCCCCAGCAGCCTTGCATACGACCTGATAAGGTATACGCCAGTGCCTACAGTCATCCTGGACGCATCACTCTTCGTCCGCCATGTCTCCGATTCTTATGTGAATATCTCCGGCGCGGGTGATTGCAACTCGCTAGTAGGACGACATGCGGATGACGTATTTGACGGCAACGTTACTATCCCAGCGTTCACATCTGCCTGTCTGACCGTGAGAGCAGCAAAAGCCACTGGGAAATCACAACACCGAAAGATCGTGACCGGTAAAGGAGCCGCTTGGAATCTAAGAGCTGTACCCATCTTACGATACGGTAACCTACGCTGCATCCAAATGGAGTTCCTGGACGTCACCGAGGAGCATCAACGGCAATTAGAGTTTGAAGAACGCTCTTACCAGAACGAAACCGTCCAGCTGTTAGTCGCAACCATCCGTGATTATGCCATCTTTATGCTTGATCCAGGCGGCCACGTCGCAACATGGAATGCTGGGGCCCAGGCCTCCAAGGGATACACACCGGCTGAGATAATCGGCAAACACTTTTCAACTTTCTACAGCCAGGAAGATCGTGTCCGGGGCAAACCAGAAAGGGAACTGAAGGATGCGCTTCGAGATGGTCGATGCGAAGACGAAGGATGGCGGTTGCGTAAAGACGGTTCTAGATTCTGGGCGAATGTCGTCATCACGCCTGTATACAAGGACAACATTCTCCTTGGGTACTCTAAAGTAACGAGAGATTTGACGGAACGACGCAAGGCAGAAAATAGTCTGATCGCCGCCTACGAGGAGGCATCGAAGCTCAAGTCGGAGTTCTTAGCCAACATGAGTCATGAGATCCGGACACCCATGCACGGGATGTTGTCAGCCTTGACGCTGCTCCTGGATACGAAGCTGGATGATAACCAATGCGAGCTTGCAAGGATCATACAAGAGTCCGGCGACGTACTACTTCAACTAATTGACGATATTCTGGACTTTAGCAAGCTCGCGTCCGGTAGCTTCTCAATCAGCCAAGACATCATCAGTGTCAGGGAGATCATACAGTCAGTCTTCCGGGTGCATCAAGCGTGTAACAAGCCCGAAGTTAAGTTGGAAAGCTTCCTTGACGACAAGTTGCCTAGGTCTGCTGAAGGAGACCCACTGCGGTATCGGCAAATCATCCAGAACCTGCTCTCGAACGCGACTAAATTTACCGAGAATGGATATGTGCGAATCGTGGCTCGTCTGCATAACGAAGACCACGAGCAATTCACAATACTGACAGAGGTCATCGATTCTGGTATCGGGGTTCCAGCAAGCGGCGCACACACCTTGTTTACACCGTTCACCCAATTCGACAACTCCGCAACCAAGAGATACAAAGGTACAGGCCTAGGTCTCAATATATGCAAGTCGTTAGCAGAGCTAATGGGTGGTCAAATTGGGTTTCGGCCAAATCCTGAAGGACGTGGTAGTATATTTTGGTTCACAGCCAAGCTCAAGAAATGCAAACAGCTCAAAGCTCTCGAAGTCCTCCAAGAGAATATGGCTCGACAGAAAATCCCGTCACCTGCGCCGATAGATCCTATCGACACCATAAGAATGGCCGCTGCCAACAAGCGATTGCTACTTGTGGAGGATAATATGATTAACCGAAAGGTCATGTTGAAGATGCTTGCGGGTCTGGGATTCGACAACATGGACACTGCGGTAAACGGGAAGGAAGCAGTTATGAAAGCACTACAGGAACCAGGGTACGATCTTGTTCTGATGGATGTCAACATGCCTGTTCAAGATGGTGTCAGCGCCACTAAGGAGCTTCGCCAAAAAGGGCTACAGGCCCCCATCGTTGCCATGACTGCAAATGCATTGAAGGGGCAAGCTGAGTCTTACATTGCCAAAGGCATGACCGGGTATATTGCGAAGCCAGTGGATAGGAGCCTTCTGGTTAAGCTTTTGCTTAGCTGTCTACTACCCAAGCCCGGTACTTGAAGCGGGCTCGTGGCTGAGGGAACATATCCAAGAGCATACTCTACAACAGTTCTTGGGTAAATCAAAGTAGAAGTCTCTGTAAGCGGTAAAACTTCCTCTTAGTTTGGATACCACTAACCATCGATAGGCAACATCAACGCAGAAGATATACACGCACACGCATACATCAATAAGGCGTCATCATTCTGAAGTCAACAATATCTTGTGAAATTTACACACTAGCAATTTGCCTACACCAATCATAGTCCTCAAAGCCGCTGTCATCATGCTGACATACGAGGCACAATATCATCTCCAACTTGGATATGCTACCAACATTCAGCACAGCTTTCTCGCGAATTTCACGACCGCAATCTAGGTTCTATCCCCATTTCAGGCTGGGCGAGAGTGCAAGGAAAGATATCTCATAATTTGATAGAAGGGAGCGATCATAGAGGGACTTTTACACGGCGTCTTGTAAGGCGTTCGAACGACGTGACGAGCTGTAATAGAAGGGTATACGTGAAGGAGTCCGAATAGCTTTTTTTTTGCATTAACCCAGTTTTAACTGCTTTCCAGAGGCTCTCAAAGAGTGAGGTAATCGGCCATCACGCATATCGTCCAAAATTTGCTTTCTTACCAAGGCAAAAGGTCGATGGAAAGCTAGCACAATACAGTCAATAAGTCCTCTAAGTAGATCTTCACTAAAGCGGCTAACCTCTAACTAACACTCTTGAACAAAGTAGAAAAAGCCCACCCCAGTGATCAGAAACAACGTATAGCTCGGGTATCCTATTCCTTGTCCTGCAAAAACTCGACAACAGCCTTGATAAACTCTTCGGGCTTCTCACTAACAACCCAATGTCCCGCATCCACATCCACCAGTTCAAACCTAGGGAAAAACCTCCCGATGATCGGTAACGTCTCATCGCTCACATAGTGACTCTTTGTGCCCCTAATGAACATCGCCCTCTTGCTAAACTGCGCCTCATCCGGATTCTTAAACGGGAAATCCGCCATATGATCCAGCGCTTTGGTCAACGTACCCACAGGAACACGAAATCTCAGCGGCGCACCCGGCTCCGTGCGCATGAGGTTTGTCAGAAGAAACTGGCGGACAGACAGATCCTTGGCATACGGCTCCAAGAGTTTATCGGCTTCGTTTTGCGACTTGGGCTGCGCTTTCTCCACATGCTGCATGCCCTCTGCGTACTTTGGGAAGTCGCTTGAGAGGGCTGCGTCGACGGGTGCGTTGTCGACTGGTATGATGTTTGCGCAGCAATCTGGGTTCCTGAGCGCCATTGTCATTACTGTTTTTGCGCCCATCGAGTGCCCGATTAGTGTCGCGTTCCTCAGCGAGTGCTTGTGGAGAAAGGCTTCTACGTCTTCGGCGAGGGCCGTGTAGGTGTGGACTTTGTCGTGGGGAGATTCGCCGTGGTTGCGCGTGTCGATTGCGTAGACGGGGCGTTTGAGGATACGCGCGAAGGCACTGCGCATGGTTCAGTGATTTTCCTTTGGCATGTATGATGTGTGGCATGCTCTTACTTTCCAACGCTCTGGTTGTTTCTCTTGCTGCCGAATAGGCCGTGGATTATCACGATTGGGTCGCCCTTGGCCTTGCCTGAGTCGTCGTGGAGTCGGTACGCGAGGTCAACGATGCGAAGGTTTGCCGAAGCATGGAACGAGCGCGTCCATGATGGAAATGCAATCGCATTCGGTATCTTAATGCGACTTGCAGGCCGTGAGTGCACAAAAGCTGTGGATAAAGGTTGTATACTTCGGATGAGTGGGTGCATGTTGAAAGTTTGGTGACATGCAATTTCGGAAAGCTTCCGAACTTTTTCTATCGCCAAGACCGACGTCATGCCGCCTTCGCTCACATCTACGAGGAACTGGTGAGGAAGCCTGATGTGGATACCTGAAATGTCAATTCAATGGTACGTTTCGAGATGACAAGCTCAGACACCCAGGCTTACCAGCCTTGTAGAGACCTTGAAGCACAACTTGATAATCAGTGCAGAAAGAGCATTAGATAGTACAGTAGTCTAAATCCAGCTCTAGAGCTTTCAAAAAGCTGACGAATATACGCTAGTCTGGCACAGGAGAATCAACATGTCTTCCAATAGATGCGGAGTTGCCTGGATGATATCTTCTTAGGATGAAGAGGAAATTCTTGATCGTATACTGCTTGTATAAGTTGGCTGGGAAGCTGCTATTACGTGAGTCGTCATCGTTGAAATAAAGGTCGTCTCCGAGGATTCCGGGGTAAAAACAATGGGATAGGCTGTCAGACTCCGCAACAATCAATCGGATCGGCATGATTGATTCCTATCTAGGTTAAAGGCTGCCTAATGAAGTAATTCTTTAACCTATATAGGAATCAATCATGTCAATCGATTGATTGTTGCGGAGTCTGTAGGCTGTAATGCGTTGAGACGGCTACCAGGGATTTGAGCCTACTGGCACAGTACATCTCATGAAATGTCCAGCTGTGCGTGAACCATTGATCGCATGTGAGATTATTAGCAAATTCGAGAGCACACTGTAGTACTTGCGAATCCCCCGGTTTCTCGCCGTCAAGATATTGGCTGGAGTCATCGAACAAATTATCTCTGACCACGGCAGTCACAAGAATGGCAATCGTTCGACTTGTGTATCATCATTGTTATGGATCATAGTTATTACTCTCGAGTCTAGCAACTCGATAGAAGAATCTTGAAAAAATTCCGGTAAACCCTAACAAAATAATCTCATCTCGCATGATCCCGGTTGTGTGAATGAACGAAGGAAATCCCATACCCCATAAGTTAGTGAAACAATTCCTTGACGCCCGAAATTCGAAAGCAACGCCATTGCCCACTCATACGTTTCTTAGGATTACATCTTTCGACATTCAGTATGCGTAGTTCCATATCTCGGAGAGAAGCGATTCGGTACGACCTCGGCACTTTCTTCACGACCATTTAAGACCTTTCTTCAGAAGGCCCCGTCAGAACACCTTCAGCCGCCTTTTTCAGCAACTCGCGCTCTTCATCGCTCATGTGGTCCACCTTTTCCACCAGCAACTTCTTCAGGAACATATTCTCTTTTTTCAAGCCATCATTCTCCGCTTCCAGCTTCTTGGTCCGGGCTTGCATCTCACGAGTTGCCTCCATGAGCTGTTGCTCACGCTGCTTCTTCTTTTGACGGAAACGCGCGGAAGCGGCTTGATTGCGCTTTCGCTTATCTTCTTCAGCTTCGACAACTACGGGATCGTTGAGCAAGCTTGCATTGGTAGGATCGGGCGATGTGGCTGACGATCTAGATGTGGCATTGCTGTCGGGGTATTGCGTGCGATAGGCGTTGATGTTGAAGCTTTGCGTGACTGGGGAGTAGCCTTGGAGATCGTCCAGACCGAGCTGAAATGTGTTTTCGTTTTCGTAATGATGTGGGATGTGGCTCGTCATGGTGGGGGACGTGTATTGCAAGCCTTGGATTGCTGTTAGTGACTATCACACGATATAAAAAGGACAGCGCAAATCTCCTTTCGATGCAGCCATTTTGATCGATGACATGCTAACCCTAGAAACAAGCGTCTGTGCATCGTTTGCGTAGGCACCTCCCTAGACAGGTGTATGCAGTTGCGTGTACTATCGCCGCGTTCGATCACGTGCAGCTAGCGAAGCACGCCATCCCATGCCCAACAAACGTCATCTGGAACCGGCAACTAAGAGCTGCAGAAATCGCGCCCCCAAGAAGGAATGGATATATGTAGGACAATGATGAAATATAAGTCAATGGAGGGGTACGTTACTTACTCGGAACTGATACACCACCATTGTGCAACGCGAAGGCAAAGCGCTCACTTTGCGCATATGCATCTCGAGATGGTATATGCAATGAGTGCAAAGGCTGGATTCCAGGATGAGAGTTTTGTTCGTGATAGCTATCTGTAGCGTCGAGAATGTCGAATAGATCAGCTCCAGAGGAATTCCCACTCGCATGCGCGTCGGTGAAGGTCGGCTGCCCAAAAGGTTGCTGACGATAAGTTTCCGACATTTCTCTCCATCTGCAACATACGTTCCCGCGCAATCGCGTTCTCTTGTTTGGTCGTTTCTCTCGATCAGCGGTCTTAGGTATCGTATGTTAGTTGTTGAGCTTCGCGCCGGCGCCTTTTTGGGGTGTCGAGGATTGACGTTCGTCCCTGCATGAGCGATGGTGTGCTGCCCTATAAGAACTAGACAAATACCCACCAGCGTGCGCTTATGTGGGCAACGCACCCCACTGCCAGAATTCCCTTCTGCCAGCGACCAAGGCTGCAATCGCGTTTTATTGCGCCATATTCCTCATATCATCACCAAGGGCCTCCACGCTTTTACATAACTCACACCGCGGAGGAGCATCGACTGCTCATTGGATGGTATTCCGGCCCTTTTCTCACCTGACTGGTGTCCAGGGCTTCTTTCGAGACAGATGCGCGTGAGGCGTTCGTATGAGCAACGCACTCCTTGCCATGTGTAAATTTGCGACGTGCAAATCAGACTTTCTCAGACGAGCTCAAGCCTCCGAAGACCACACTCATCACTTGTATTCAAACGTCGTTCGCTCTTGTCCAGAGTTTGTCTTCTTGTATGTCTTAGACATGTCTTGTGCTATGTCTCGTCAGCAATCGTAGAGAAACAAATGCAGAACATCATGTTTGTACACTTCACTCGCGGGTACAAAGTAGCTCGTGAGCGCCCGGATATCATCACAGGATAATCGCGTGCCTCGTGACATGCTAGTCAACATGCAATTCCAGACATACTATACGGCTCTTAGCCTCGCCCCCAATGCACCTCCAGAGGTCATTCGCGCTGCGTACAGAGCGCTGGCGCTAATCTACCATCCTGACAAGACGCTAGAATTACCAGCTTCAGAGCGTGCAACACATGCTGCGGTATTTCGGAACATCCAAGAAGCATTCGATGTGCTGAGAAGCCAGAACGAGAAGGTCGCATACGATGCTGAGCTCGAGAGGGGTGGTGGAGAGATAGACGAGAGAATTTCCACCTTCCATCATGCAGGCTCATCGATGTCGAGACCTGGGACAGCTGTGAGGCTTACGACACCAGAAGAGAAGGCGGCCATGATTGCCCAAACACGTCAGCAGCTTGACCATGTCCGAATGAAGCGCAAAAAAAGACATGAAGACGAGGCATCCTTGAATATTGCTGAGCTGAACAGCTTGGTACGGATCTGGCTTGAACTAGCGGATGAAAACGCAAACGATCCGGTGATGAAGGCGCATTGCCACATTCGTGCTTACGAGTACCAGGAGAAGATCCAAGTCCGCGAGCAAGAGCATGAACATTGGCTGGAGAACTTGTCGAAACCTAAGAGCACATCAGCAACACCCGTGAAACCCACGACGCCGACAAATCAGGGCCATCGTCTCATCACCCCAGATGCGCCTTCCAAGTCGGCTACTATTGCGCCCATCTCAGCCCAAGCTCTTCGTAGTGAGACACGTCCTTCGCCTACACCATCTTCTCGCACGAACCTTCGTGCTGCTAATCGTAAGCGCGCAGAGGGGAAGCGAGCGGAAGAAGCCCAAACGCGAGCGGTAGCCCGTAGAGAAAAGAAGGCGCAGATTGAGGCAGCGAAACAGGCAAAGATGGAAGAAAGGGTAGCCTTGGTCCGCGCAGAAAAAGAGAGACAGAGGGCAAAGGTCCAAGAGCAGGCTCGGCTTGATGCTGAGCGTATCGCGAAGGCCCGAGCCAAGGTTCGTGCAGCACCTATAGGAGCCAGCGATGTCCAGAATAGTGTTATTGCTCTCAAAGCAAGTCAGGAGTTGTCGCGTAGGGTCGATGTATCCGACGAAGTTGTCGAGGAACAGTCGCAGTCGCGTGCCAACGTGGCTTGTGTCAACTGCAATCTCCAACATGGAAGTCTTCGCGAGTGGAAAAAGTGCGGCATGGGAACCTTAAAGGAAGGAAATGATGGATTGTGCCATCTTGCCTCTTCGACACTATTGTAGGGTGATGCGGGCATTATGGTGAAGCGTCGGGCCATCCTCTTCTCCTCTTGTGTGCTAGTCAATGTACCTAGTCTTTGTAAGGTATGCCTTTTAGCCTCGTTCTCACCAACGTACATATCCAGTCATCGTCGTCGAGAGAGTCAATACAGGGAATTCCACTCCGAATCACTTCCTGTAACGTACAGTGCAGTGAGAATAAGGTTGAAAGGATAAAGAGGGCCACCGTCGCATCTGTGCGAAGACGCCCAATGGAAAGCGTGCTAACATAGAAAAAGGTTTAGTGTCGCCCGCAATCTTCCCCCGACGAGCCGAGGTCAACCACGGATCGGCGCTGCACGACAGGTGTCAGTCGGTCCTGTTTCTAACGTTTTAGTGGAAATCTTTATCTTGACGTCTTGATCTGATGACTGCATTTACGGAGCGACCCGTCTCTAATCGTGGCCAAGTTCGCAGGACTTCCAGACCACACCAAGCTCAAATTGGTGAGCGTTGCACGCCCTGAATACAATGCATACGGAGAACACCTCGTATACGCACCACTAGGATGGTGGAAATACTTCAATTCAGTAATCGAGAAAGTCCACCACTGTATTGGGCTGTACTTGGAAGCATCATCGGACTTATTGGAGTAGGACTGCGATTTCTTTTGTCCGGTTCAATTGCAATCTAGCGCATTGAAATGTAGATCAGATTATCCTCTAGGCATGAATCAAGCCGGAGTTCCGTGCCTTGGATCCGCTACACCTTCTCTATTAGTCTGTGTACCAAGATGCCCTGTCAGAACACCAAGATCTATGCGACGTTTGAACAACTCGACACTACTGCCATGACTGTGAGTGATCAATTCTAGGTTGTCTGCATTATACGGTAGGCCCATAGTTATAAGACCCATCAAATTCATCTGCCTGCTCGCCGGCTCCTACTAAGCCTTGAAGCAGTGAGAACATAGGAACTGCCATGTGCACCCTGTTTCCGTTTGTCAAATTCCTGTATCTCCGTGCACCGACCGCCGAGCGACAGAAGTTCCAGGAGGAGCTGGGTACGGCACCCACCGCTCCCGAGTACATCGACTACGGAATCACAACCGGGATTCGTTTCGAGTTGCTAGACCATGAATTTGACCCAACCGTTAGTATCCAGCATTATATGGAAGAGAACATGGCTAGATCTTCGCTGTTCATGTATGAGTAATAGCGGGGCTATTCGTCCGAGGGCAATCCGCCCTCCCCCCCTCCGCCATCACCACCCCGCTTTCCTCCTTTAACAACGGCTTGACCAAAGCAAGATTGCGCGGATAAAGACGAAGCTGGGCAGAACAAAGAACTGCAGATGTCTAAGTAGGCGTATGGAAAAACACGCCTCGAATATAGCGTCAGTGCTGCTCAACTCCAACTGGCGTGGTGATGATGACGTTTTTTATGCGTGATGATTTGACACTGATGCAAGCCTTCTCACTGGTTTCTAGGTCCCGGGTAGCCATAACTACCGTACTAGCCGAAAACTCTGTTCTACTTATTGTGCTTGAACCCAGGCAGAGGGCATCTTGATATTACGTTTCGAAATCCCACGTGCCAGATTGGCCATCTTCTTGTTGTGGGATTGTTGACTGAGTGACTGGCGTAGCTGATTTCCCAAAACATGCCAGCGACTCACGAATTTTTCAGCATGTGACAAGTTTGGCCCATTGCGTTGCCAGATTGCTCATCGGCTATCCCTGATGCTTTGGAATGCGATACAACAGCCTTCGAATCATGTAAGATCAGAGCTGGAGTGTGCTGTCAAAAGCTCAGAGTTATCATAGCGGCTTGTGCGTAAGCGCAACAGATACCAGACTCGCGATGCCAGTGCCGGTGCAGGGTTGCTCATAATTATCTCTGCTCAGCCGGAGAGATATCAGATTTGCCGTCAACGGTGCTATTTTTTCGCGCTTCTATCAGCATTAGGGATGTGGAGATGCTTGAGAGTAACCTTTTCGTCCTCTTTCACAACCAAATCCGAGCTGATGTTAAATGCCACTGTATCCTAAGGCACTCTGCACCCTTCTCAACACAGGCATCTTCAGTTGCCGGGTTTTAGAGCATGTTCACGTGTGAATTCTGCCGAATTTCTTGCAGTTGGCATGCCAAACTCATGCAAACCCAGCACGTCATGCTCATAAACAGCTCGAAAAGCCAAAAGACCAGAAGGACAAAGTTTCGAACTCTTTCGACCAGTAAAGCACCAAGACGAGCAAAGAGAGTAGAATAAACTCATCAACGCGCGATTGCAATGTCGTATCCACGTCATCTTGGCGGTGGCTAACTTGACCTGGTGCAAAAAGTGAAAACCAAACCTAATAATAAACGCTGCCACCCAGACTCTCTCGCGGGCAGTTTCGAATACCTGACCAAAAAAACGCTGCCTCCCAGACTCTCTCGCTGGCAGTTTCGATATCTGTATTTCACGAGTTAGTTCAACAGGTGCCATCACACCCGGACAGAAATTTTTAAATAAATTCAGTATATATAGTCACTGAAAATATCATCAGCAGGGTTGCCAAAGGAGTTTTGTCCAGGGATCATAATGAGTGGCGTCAAGCCAATGCGGCAAAGCCGAAATGATGGCAGGGTCCAGGAGTGGTGTGCATGGAAAACCAGCCAACGAGAACGAGCATCTGCTCACTTCTACCGCCTTCTACTTTTCGGCTCTTACCGAACTTGCACATTTCTGTATTTGGTCGCAGTTTATGTGTGGCTGCAGATAGTACAGTCCCTTTCGTGGCAGCATTACCTCTTGTGCTGCAATGTGCTCGTATCCAGCAACAAGCAGTCGCCATGCATGGCAGTGGCATGTAGAGGGACTGCGTTCCTGACCAAAACTCATGTGTAGATTCGGAGTGCGTTCCATCCTCAAAGGGCGCTCCAGGTGGCCCTTTTCCCCGTGCTTCAAGCCATTCTGTAGCCATTCTGCAGCCAGTCTGTCGCCATATGGGAGGAAAACATATGCTCTTCGACCGGCAATGTATTATTGCAGCCTCCCGATACCGTAGCTATGGCCCTTGAGCATAAATAGCGACTTTGCTCATGCGTGCGGCAGTTTTCAAAGCTGCAAACCCTATCAGGATAGCTTCCAGACCTCTGCGTTACCGTCTTCCCAATATCTGGCACGGCAGAATATAGAGAACAGGTACAGATCGTGAGTGTTCTGGTAGCAGATAACTCTTCTGTTGGTGGCTCCCAAGCGTGGTTCTGGTGTTGAAGCATCCCGAGCGTCTGGACCTCCACGGTGGCCACACTTTCCCATCTCCTTCACCCCCAGCGACAGCCACCACCACGACGCAAAAACAGAGCCATCATGAGGTACATAGGAGACACTGGAGATGTGTCAGGATCTCCGCTTTCTTCATCGCACCATTTCTGGCATCGCTGCAAGACAATCCAACAATGAACCATACACACACCAAAGTTGCTCAACAAGTCTCCATGGCCGCCATGTACCGCCGTCGGAGCTACAGCCTCAGGGGCCGCGACACATTGACATCGACCTAGATTGGCCCGTCGAACTCGCGATTTTACAATAGTGTCTCCCTGCAGACGACGGAAAACCGCCGAAGCAATCGGTTTCAGAAGAACGAGGCCGGTTTGCACGCAATCGGACAGTTTGAAGCACCTCCGCACCCCAAACAGCGAACTGTCGTTGGAATCAATTCGGTATCAGCACAAATTTGGCTACAGCACTGTGCCACTCAAATCTCCATGCAGAATACCGAAGGAAGATTGCGACTACAGGCATGAGAAGCGTGGGAATGCAGCGAGAGCATGCGACCACCCAGGGACACATTCTATGCGAGCCTACCGCATTGTAGATATTCGAGCCGGCAACGATATACCACAAGGAGAAGAAAGTAGCGGTCATCGTCATTGCGACGAGCGGGAGCGGATCTAATAAATCCACAGCCTTGCTGAACGTCCTGATGGCCGATTTATCGACCAGGGCGCACCTGGTTTAGCTGGACAAATGGTCGCCCGAAAGTTACTTCAAGTCGAAAGTCTCCATGATGATTGAGATTGATATTGATAGCGATAGCCCGTTATGGATCGCCCGAGCATACAGTTACCCTCGCGAGACACCTTGGAGATACCAATCGGCAACCAGTTGCACAGCGGATCGAGAAACCAAATATCGAATGGCGACATGAAGGACTAAGCGGTTCCCATTGGACAATACCATAACAACTCATGAGCCCGAGCGGTGGATAGATGTTGTCGCATCTGCAAAGATTGACTTGTGCGGCCACATCTCTTCGCAAACTAAACATGGCATGAGTGTCAAATGGTACTTCTGTTCCATGTGGTCCTAAACATGGTGGCCAGCTAGACGATATTGGAAAAAACAGCTACATGCGATACCTGTGTGGCCAGGTACATCATGACAGGATGCATAAGACCTTCCCCGTAGATGATACTCCTGAGTTTCTCTCCAAGGAGCATGACCCGGCAACAGAACCCCCGTGGACAATAAGCTCGGGCATCAAGACAAGGTGCCAAGAACGAACCCCAGAAGCATACTCTGCAGCAGTCTGTTGTTTTTCTCCAGCATGTTGGATAAATGTTCGGTCTCATGAAAGGAAGTGGAATAATCTCATGGGCCCAAGTTGAATGAGAAAGAGTGTTGAGAAAAACGAAAAAGATTTTGCCCGTCTGAGTCGCGCCCCAAAATAGCGGCTGAGCCGCTAGATCATGAGACATATGGAAGGCAATAGCATCGGATATCAGCTTTTAACACGATGCGTCATGGGCCTGGCTGTAAGATCCTGGTAAAGAATGTACCGTGAAAACATGCAGAACCTCAATAGTTTGATAGCCGGACTGAGGATACTCTAGAGCCGGATGTCATGGTGTCCAGAGGAACATGTTGCGGTATTCCCAATCGCGGTCCTTGACAGAGCATTCTGGCTCCGACGTCGCAAGAACGCCAAGGGCGACGACCAGCTCGGAGCTTCTGTGCAACATTGAAACATGGTTTGCCAGCTGCAGCAAGACCAAGCGTATCGGAGTTCTGTTCATGTTCGATCCTGAATCCGGCCAACATTGCGATAGCAACTAGGATGATCCAAGCTTACACCACAAGGTGAACGACACATTGTCGTGAGCCTGCAGGCGGCCTCATCACTAGTGCTCATGTCTGCCATTCGTTCGACATGGTGGTTGCATTGACCAACAACGTGTGTGTGCCACCCGAAAGAATGTCATCTGTCGGACATGTTCAAGGCGGTAGTGGGGCCCACACTACGTTTCAAAGTCTCATATATGTCAGTCCCGAGCTTCCCAGTCTTGAGCTCATTATCGCTTCCCGAGTTTATTGGGATTGAATGGTGTAACACGCTGCTGATAGACTCTTGAGGCAGTCATCTTGCGTTATGCATGTCGTGATATGTTATCCTTATCCTTGTTGAACTCGAAGACATGGAAGGTGTTACAATATATCAGCTTCGTCTTGCATGACGAATGTCAGCCTGGAGTCTTGAAGGGTGTGACAGCCAGGTGATATCCATGAGTTCATCACACGCCGGCACCGGCGAAGGTGAGCATGATCTTACCAACGGTGAACCGGGTAATGTGTTGTGGCCGAAGTTATACCAGAGCTGTGCCATGCCTGCTCACATACTCACATGTGCCGGATATCTTCTCTTGCCAGACTGTTCTGCATCAATGCTGAGTATAGATCCGAGATGGAATAGAAGCCACGCTAGAGTCTGCGTGTCTGAATCCCGTGTCTGAATCCCGTAAAGAATGTTGTGAGTGCCATCTGGACTGCACGTCATAGGGAGGAGCCGTGGCCATGGCCGAGTGGGCTCACAATTGATGTAGCGATCTCGATTTTATCCCGGGCCGAGTCTCATTTGTGATTTCGGAGAAGTTCATGATAGACATAGCCCAAGGCTTGAGCCCCTGTCATCGGCATCTCGGGGCTGGTCTGTTGGGTTGCTGATGAGGTCCGCTGGATGTCCGCACCCATCGCAGGAGCCAGAAAGAATCGCCAGAGGTACGGCAGCCAGAGATGATACTGGCTAGTGCAGGTAGGCTACAGTAGATGTGTCATCGTCCTATAGCCAGGCTTCGCATGTTGCTGTGTTCGTGGTAGTGGATGGGCAAGTCACCAAGACAGGCGCCGAAGAAAGATTCTGCTGCCGGGGCACCCTTGAGCGAGCTGCCTTCCATAGAGGAAGACTTGAGCCACCGATAAAACGCGTACAATGCACTGGCATTGTAAGCTTATGAGGGGACAATGAAGACCTTGGTGTCGTTTGATAAGAGCCTTGCTGAGGTGTGTCAGAGTGTTGCTGAGGCCCAACAACTTAGGAGTATCCAGTCTACATGCAGCAACGAGTTCTTTGAACAAGCGTATCATTGCTCCCCTGTACCAAGCTGTCATGCGGTATCGCATTAGTTGTTGTAAGATGTGTGAGGCCCGACAAAGCAGACCCCCCAGCGTGGCAGCCATGTGCATTGGAGCAAGCAGGTTCTGTGCCAGCCACTGCAAAGAAAGGCGCTGACCTCATTCATCATTGTTTTGTCTGTGTAGAAGAGGTGCGAGTGGTCGGCAGGGCATCATCGTGGGTGCACAATGTAGGAAGGAGCTCACGACTTGAGCAACGTCGCCGGCAGTCGACAGGGGCGACTCGAAAGACTTGGCCAAGTCGTGCATTCGAGCTTCTATCGAAGCATCCTATTGCAAGAGCAGCACAGCTGTAAGAGACTGATTGCCTTGGGAGTTGGTGGTTAGTGTCGAATTGTGGCTGGTGCTGAGGAGGGAAATTCAGGAACAAGAGGGTCCATGCGGACATCCATGCTATGATGGATCGCAACAAAGGATTATACTAGAGTCATGGGAATAACAACAGATGCGCTCTTGGCCTGTGCAGCTTTGAAGATTCGATGCATCAAGGTGTGTCGACCTAGTAGCGGGAGACTCGACGTCAGAAAGTGTCGGGCCGAATTGTTCACGTCATCTAAGTTAGGCGAGACCACCTCCGCGGATGCTGTGATAATGCTACACACATGAAGCAATGCAAGCGACAAATTTGTGCAGAAGAACCAGAGTCCAGGCTTTTTTTTTGACGAGGTAGCTCATTATGAGCACCGTCTGAAATGACGCGCATATCAAAATGCATATGGTGCAGCTCAGTCAGGTAAGTTATCCGCGCATTTACCTATTCACTGACCCCGGTTATTGCTAACAATTAGACAGTTAGATTTCCAGACACTTTATTATAGTACATGCAGAGTTATAATCCATAATCTATCAATACTCAATGCTGTGCACCTATCTACCACATGCAACAAGAATGTGCCAAGGCTGTGAACCGATGGGGCTCCCCCCCTGCCTACCACTTTTGCGCTAGAAACCTTATTTGCACCTCTACTCACTCCCCTCCCATCAGCTCCTAATCGCCACCTCAACCTCCTTGCGAGACTCTTCCCCTCCACAACATCTTCCACATAGCCATATCTAACACTACAGATACTGTAAGTACCCATGAAGCCACAAACCCCTGGATACTTATCTCTGCAGTCGTTGCGCCCGCTCTGTGCAGCAAGACAGCATACCACCGCGAGCATCTTCCTGTATTCCCTTTGACAACCACAAAGACTTGAGCAAGACTGCGCGCATCAAAGCTGGATAATTTCAGGATACATCATGCCATAGACAGACCTGACTAACAAATTCTGACGCATCTCATCGACTCGATAGCCACGAAGCTTCCGCAAGAGCCTGGCCTCGATCGCGAGAACAAACATCACATGCTAGCCAAAATAGGATCAAACACACTCTGTTTTCTCACGGATACAAGCGACTCTGTTTCTGGCCCTCATCTCTGTCAACCGTTGTTGTCTTTGTTGTAAATAAACATATCTGTCTTTCTACCATCCTGAACCAGGAGCTCAAATTCATGGCCTTTATCTTCGGCAAATGCATTGCGCTCAGATCGCTAGCTTGTACATGGCACTCCTCCATGGTCCGTTTGTTATGGAGACCTTTTACTGAAAGCCATTTCTACCTACGTCACTTTTTCTGTTTTCATCAACCTTCTGCACTAGAATTATCACCCACTAATAGCTACCGTTGCGACTAAGAATAATGCCAAATGGATCACAGTGGGAAATTCATGGCCTAGAGTCTCCGATGAAATACACCAATATGAGTAAGTATATCTCGTATTTCCACATTCTAATTTTCTCTTCTTCTCTTTCCCTATCTCTAACACCCATCTTCCTTATCTATAGTTGTTTTCTCTAGTCAAAATGGTCTTTCAGAAGGCTCTCAAGCTACCAATCTCCACCTCCACATAGTCATCCTCGCTCTAGAGACATGCGATAGACACCACCAATCTATCGATCATCACGGTCAACATCCCCTCTCACACCGACATTCCTGTTCCTATGCCGAACCTTTCATGGACTTCTTCGTCGTCCTGAACTACATCAGAGCTTTACTCCCGCCGGACAACTCCGCTGTATCATGTGTTACAGAAAAAATCGTCAGTCACCACGGAATATAACATACTTCAACGATGACAACGACCTGATTATCCGATACTATTGTCTTTTCATCTACACACACCGCCTATTTGCCACCCGGATCTCGCCGTCACCGCGAATTTGGGCGGGGTAGGGTGCATTGAACCCGTCACGTGTCCTCTCTGCGCACAACTATCGCGCTCCGCCACCGCCTATATTAACCGTCACAGAGGATTGATTTGCACGGTCTCTGCCAGCTGCCTACTATAAGTCTCCTCTTCTCCAGGTTGGCGCTTGCAACTGTGACCAAGATCCCAGAGGTTCAATAGCACTCTCTCACTTGACCATCGTCACCACTACCGCTCCAGAAGGCGGCTGTACGCTCAAGTATAGCCTGCCTCCAAAGTCCGCGACCAACATTGCTACTTTCCGAAAAAGCATATCGCAGTGCTATCACGGCTTGATTGGAACTTTGCGTGTCCCGCCAATCATCCCTAGCAGCAGACATCCCTTCCACATCAACACATCGTCGTTGCATAGCCAAACAAGGTATACAATCTGCTACAGGTCAAAGGCAACACCTACTTGTTTTTAATCTGCATCGTCGCTGGGTGCCACTACGCTAGCCTGCTTCCGATCCCCACCCTGATTGCTTGTGGTTCGACTGCGCACCGCAAGCCAACACCGAAGTGGATTCCTTGTAGCATAGAGGATTAACAGACGGCAAGGAAGATATACAGACTACTACGGCAAGGGACATCCATCGCGGACGTACCTCCGGTGTCTCCTGTACTTCACGCCGTTTGTCTCCCGTTGCATCAAGGACATAAGTGTGTGTCGCTTGGCTGAGCATATCGTGGGCACGTAGGCTCTCTTGGCACTTCTCATCGACGTGATTTGCCTACGTTGGAGCTTGTCAACGCTAGCGCCTCATCTCCCTGCATAAGCTCATCTCCCCGAGCTGCTCCTCCATTGCTTCTACACCAAACACAGCATTCAGGTACGTATTGCAACAGCTCGATCCCTGCTTCCCTCTATATCTACTCCCCCTATACACAGCCCTGGGCTTCTGCAAGCACGACGACAGCCTGAAAAGAGGCCCCGTTGGCTTGTATTGTTGATCTCTGGCGCTCCCCTCTCCCACTCCGCCGCAGAAACCGCGCAAAATTTTGAGCCTCTGTTCGACATCTCGCTAACAACGCAATAGAAGAACGTTTTGGTCCTCATCGATTTCTTGAAACCTTGTGCTTCGACGCCTAAAGCCTAGAAGCATTTCCAATCATCCATTCTCTTCCAGGTAAGCTCAGCACCTCCTGTACCTCATACCTTGCACATACTAACTCTCTCCAAGGTACTAGCAACCATGGCTCCCTTTCATAACAACAAGCTAAACATGGTCGGTCTCTTCGACGAAGGCGATCCTACAGCCCCCCCGCCGTCACAACAAGCAAGTATGTCCATCTACGGATCCACGGCCAAGTTCGGGAATCGCGTCTACAACCATGGCATGGACCCGTTTGGCAGTCATGCAGTTCCTGCAAACTCTGTCCAGATGGGAACTGGTTCTAACGCTACCGTGAGTCCTGCTCCCACCTATGATAGTGACTACGGCGAGAGCGATCAAGACGACTGTCGCCCATCCAAGAAGCCCAAGATCAACAAGGACGGCGCGCCCCGCAAGCCACGCCAGCCCCGTCCGAAACTACTCAAGTGGACTGATGATGACTGGAAGAACGCCCTTCTCGGCATCATCTGGGCCTGTGGCGAGAATGGTATGCAGATACCGTTCGATCAAGCTGCCCAGATTGTTGGAGAGAACTGCTCTGCGGGTGCACTCCAACAAGCTGTCTTGAAGCTACGCAGCAAACAGATCGACGATGGTCATCAGATCCCGGTGCTGAAGATGGCTTGGACTCGCAAAAACAAAAACTCTTCTCTGTCGTCGTCTGGTGCTAACGACACGACTCAGCAGATGAACCCATTCGCGAACTCCGTCAAGAAACCGACTAAGATGCAGGGTATCCAATCCCTCATTGTCACCCTCAAGTGCGCGTACCCTGAGACTAACAGGGCGCCTGTAGTACGTGATTCTCGCAAGAAGAAGTCTATGGCCGTGGTTCATGCGGAACATGCCTTGCCCTCTTCGATGCCATCCAAGGTTTCTGCACAGCCCTCGGACGGGTTCCCCGCGTACACGACTGCCACAACCCCTTTGGATGGCCGTGCCGGAGACGAGAAGCACCTTGGTGGATATAGCCCCGGAGTGTTCGAGTACACTAACACCCTGAAGATGGACGACACTGACACCACCCCTCTTCTGGGCGAGCCGTGGATCCCCGAGCATGACCAGGGCTACCTTCAAGAAGATCCAGAGGGCATTGACACGCTCACCGCCGTCGATTCGCAAGAATGGCACCCTGCTGTCGAGTATCAGACCGTCGGTTGTGTCGGTGCGTCTCTCCCCGACATGTCCAACGCGGGCTTTGCTTACGATGCCTTCTATAGACAGGGTCAAGAATTTCTTCAGGGCCATCCGCAACAAGCTCCGTCGCTTCCACCGCAACTAGACTTCGGCAACTACCTTGACTTCTCCATGTACGACAACGACGACTACGCCAACAACAACGTTGTCAACGACGAGTATGCTCAGGGTAACCTTGCCGACCTCTTCAAGTTCCAGCCCTCCGACTTTGAGTACGGCACCCACTACTCTGGCTAGACCTTGCTCGTCTACTGTCGCAAACTAGGAAGGATAAGGTTGGAATCTTTCACGGCTTTTCACGAATCTTCACGAGTTACGACTTTCACGTGTAACGAATTTCACGGCTGATTTTTTCATCGGCTTTCATCGGATTACATGGGTCTACGAACATGAGGGAGCGGGTACTATATCACTCTTCTGGATACATAAAAGGGTAGTCTTTGCAATGGCAATGCTTGATTACGGAATATGCTTGTTACCATGCTGTGATGACGCTGATGATGTGACATGTTTTCGTGTGCCTGTGAGTACGTGATGATGATGATGATGATGATGCATATAGCTTAGCTACTTACTTACAGTAGTTAGCGTACGCACGATGAGGTAAGCGCCCGGGGTGCGGAAGACTGCGGCAGCTAACGCCCGCTTTGAGCATATACGAGGGGATCTAGATGTAGATTAAGACAAGGGGTATCTTTAGGTGGATTAATGGTCAGCAGGGAGGCGAGGATCTTGCGCGATTTTACGCATAGCCGTCTATAGTGGAGAGAGAAGTTTGCGCCTGCGAAGAGCGAAGTACCTATGCTCGAGCAGACACTTTAATGATGAATTGACACATTAGTTGGATTAAACATGTTCATGTACTTACACATCTACACAACAATTCAGCATTACCATACCAATACCATCATCCCACTCATGTCACCGTCCCACACCTCATCTATATACCATGCTCATCATTCCCATCCTCATTCCCTCATACAAACATGCCATTTTTCAAACCGCTTAATACTTTGCTTCCTGAGTCTCAGTCGCGACGACAGACTCGTCATGCTGGACACTGCGCTTTCTCTCCTGGTTCTGCGCAACCTCAGTCAAGCTCATGCCGCGGCCAGCGTTCTGGTCGATATCGGCAAAAGTGACCGTGGGGCGGAAAGATTTACTCTTCCAAGCCTGAGTGACTACGCCGTAGAGTTCGTCGACTTGTTCGAGAGAGAGGCCCTTTGTCTCGTAGATCATGAACCAACTGTTTTCCAGTGTGTTAGCTACGAAATTGAGAGAAAAAGAGGGAGTTTGCCGTGTGTTGGGGGAGGGGGGGGGGAAGGACTTACACAAAAGCAATGCAGACGAAGCAGAAGGTAGCCCAGATGAAGAAGACCTTTGACTGAAGGTTTGCGTGCTTTGCATCGACCATGTACGGAGTCGAGTATGCGATGGCCCAGTTAAGCAGCCAGTTGCTGGCAGTGGTCATGGAAAGGCACTTGGCACGGGCCTTGAGAGGGTATAGTTCACCAGTGACGACCCATGCGACTGGTCCCCAGGAGCTGGCGAAGAAGAAGATGTAGATGCACACGAATGCGATAGCAGTGCGTTGGGCAGGGAGATCTGTTGTACCAGATACCGTTCCGACGATGGCGACAATGTACTGGCAGAAGCACATACCGATGGCTCCTAGAAGGAGCAGGTTGCGGCGACCGAGGCGTTCGACGGCGTAGAGACCAGCTGGGGATCGGGTTAGTAAGTTTGCATGTGTGAGCTGTGTGTGAAGTACTCACGGAATGTGGACGCGACGTTGACGCAGTTGGTGATGACCTGAATTGTGAAAGGGTTCTTGAAACCAGCGCGTTGGAAGTATTGTGTTCCGTAGTCTATATTATGTTAGAAGAAAGTTATGGCCGACGCATCTGCTGGGACGTACAGAAGATGAAGTTGACACCAGTCAGCTGCTGCAACGACTGGAGCAGGCATCCGGTGATGAGACGCTTTCCTAGTGTACCCTTGAAGCAGTCGATATATGTGGACTTGCCCAGCGACATCTCGTAGAGATGGTTAGCTTGGACTTCGTTCAGCTCTTCCAAGACAGCTGGATGATCAATTGGCAGACGGCGAAGTTTTCCCAAAGCCTTGGCCGCATCATCATAACGATCGGTTTTGATGAGATATCTTGGGGTCTCGGGTAAGAAGATTAGTCTAGAGGGTTTGTCAGCGCCAGCTATGAAATTTGAAGAGTAAAATGCTTACCCGACCACAAGGATGATCGACCAGGCGAATTGGACAGCAATAGGGATACGGTATGATCCAGAGTCGTCACGGTCCTTGGTTGCGTTGTTCACAATAGATGCGAGGAACAAGCCAATGGTAATGGCGAGCTGATATGCTCCGACAATCGTTCCACGAATCCATTTGGGTGAAGTTTCACTCTGATACATGGGGACTAGAATTTATTAGCTACGATTCCGTCGCAAAAGTTCGCCGCGAATGGTTATAAACATCATATCATAGAAAGACAATGATGTAAGAAAATGTTGACTTACTCAGAGCAGACACAAGACCAACACCGTAACCGGCGAAAAAGCGACCAGCGATAAAAAGTGGCTGCCTGGTTGAAATAGTCTGCAGAATAACGCCCAAGTTGAAGACGAAACCGGCTGAGATCATGAGACCATAGCGTCTGCCAAAGAAATCACCGAATGGCGCAGCGGTTAAAGCACCGAAGAAGGTACCAGCCGACAGGATTGAGACAATTAGTGAATCCTCCGAGGCTGTGATGCTGAAGTCGGGCTGTGTGGAGAAGGACTTCTTCCAGTAGTCCATGGCAATGATACCAGAAATGGTACCAGTGTCATATCCAAAGAGCACACCACCGAAGGCGACAAAAAGACCAATGATAATGGCTGGCCTTGACAAGGGTTAGCAACATGTTGGAGCATCACAGCGTGAAACAGCTTACCATGCCTTTCCAGGCGTGTTTGGCGGGGGCTTCAGCATAAGACCCATGATATCCAGGTAGGGCTCTCGATTACAGATGGGTAAATGTAAAGAAGCCTACAGCTCAAGGCGCGTGGTACCTCTTCTCCAAGGAGACGCGCGGGTCGACGCTTTATGTGCTCAGGCTGTAGCCCCGAGCATCTCTCCATTGAGCATGTGAAGTCCGAAGGACCCTTGTTCCATAGAAGCAGAAGACTGGGCATGCAGTACCCCATGACGGGTTGGCAATCCCGGTCGACTGTCTTCCAGATGCTGCACTGACTGCCCCCGCATCGACTTGTTGCGACAGCATGTCTGTGGTTGGCTCCTACCCCAGATTCTTAGTGCGCTTACTCCGTGCGCCCCCTACGTCGAAGGCTTACAACGCGAAGAGACGACGGTGAGGAGGTATATGCTAGCCAATTGTGAACCTGTCAGCAGGTCAAACGGAAGCGGCGCGTTACGAGGCGCGAAGCAAAGACCAAGACGACATTCGAGGCCAAGAGCAGCGCGGCGCAGGCGGCATGTAATCTTGGCGAGCTTGCTGTTCACGGCATAGGCTCGTGCGACTCTTGATGATGGTTTCGCAAGGAAAGTGCTTGTTTGCCGAACCTCAGTACTTTTCCAGAATGAAACCCTTCCAAGAGACCGGTTGACTTGCTGCAGATGCTTCGCGCTGCGGTCCGACTCTTGGCCTGTAAACGACCCGTCATCTCTCTTCTGAGAGGTGCCTTCGGTACAAATTTCGGTGCTGCACGCTGCGCGATACCTCACAGGCACACCCACACACCCACAACCATGCTGGATTGTGACTACGTTACCCCAGACGCTCGCATTCAGCTCCAGCTGGTCTTGCCGCGGATGCCAGAATGCGGCTGTGGAACGACTTCTCGTGATCATCACGGCTCTTATCTTCCTGCTTCCACTTGGCACTTGCAGTCTCGGCATGCTTGCCAGGACAAAGATCGGCAGGGCATACTGCGGGCTGATGGGTGGCTCGACATCTGACGTGTTGTGACATCCAACCCCAGTACTGGGGTTATTGCACGGATGCCGAATTGTGCCCTTTGATGGTGCACGGAACTGGGGGCTCTCCGGGGTAATGTGGAGTTGTAAACGGCCCGTTCAAGGCACAAAGGCCCCGTTGCCTTCGCTTGCACCCGCGAAGAATCTTCGTCGGGCTATGACTTCTTCTGCATCCGGTCCGTTCTTGAAGCTGCATCGCGGGATTTTTGGTGATGCGTCAAGGGCACCTTCTTTCGTCCCCGCATCACACGTTGAACCTAGTTCTGAGGTGTGGGTGGGGTGTCGGTGGTCTGCTATGGTCGGCTTGTGCAGGATTCAACGCCATAGTAGACTCTTGGCGATTGAACCAAGACTGAAGACAAGAAATTGCGCCAAATTGGCCGCCGCTTACCTGCAAATCAGGATAAACTTCGCGTAATCATGTTACCATCCTTCCGCCGGCCGGCACACCCGTCGAATCGTCTGGGCTCTTGCGACACTGTCCTATGCTCTGCACATGCGACAGTGAAGGCGACCATGGATAGACGTTACTATAGAGTAGCAAACGACCATGTGGCCCACCGAACTAGTACAACTAGTTCATCTGGCATGGCATTGTCAACTCCTGCATACCCCAGTAATCTGCCGTCGCCTTAGTCATGTCACTAAAACTTTCGATGGAACATGGAACATGGAACATGAAATTTTGGATACTAGAGCATCCGTCCTCAACTAGTCAAAAGTAGACTACGCCTTGCTCTTCTTTTCGCTGCTCTTCCTCCTTGCCTTTTTCGATTCGACCGTGACTTCCTTTACAGCGACGCCATTCGAAGTTGCAGACTTGGCAACCTCAACACCACCGCCCTTCTTCTCTTTCCGACCCGCCTTCTCCTTTGTGGCAACACCGTTCTTCTCTACAGGCACTTCCTTGGAAGCCTCTTTGGTGGCTTTCTTAGTAGCCTCCTTTGCCTCGCCATTAACGCTCTTTTCGCCCTTTGGCACAATCGCCTTGGGATCTCTACCCTTCCTGCGCATCGTCTTGGCCTGTGCACGCTCCATATACTTCTGATCCTCGTCGTCGTCGAAGCCACCAAAGTCTGACTCCTCGTCGCTGTCCGCGCCAATGGGAGTGCGGTCGACGACTTCAATCTCCGTGGTTGTGCTCTTGGCGCCTCCGTTACCATTAGTCTTAGTAGCCTCGTTGACTCCTACAGCGTTGGGTGGCGTAGGCCCAATCTTCTTGAATTTGGCGACGAAGAAACCGTCGACATTGTACGTGTGTGGGTAATATCTTCTTGTCATCTTCATAGATGGGTGAAAGATCTTGCCCTGGATCTTTGTGAAACCTTCTTTGCCAAACGTGAGGCCCGTCTCGACAAGCTTGACATTGGGTCGTTTGTTTAGAGCGTATTGCACTACCTGCTCGTTCTCCTCGAGTGTCACCGAACAGGTACTGTAGACTATGTATCCTCCTGTCTTTGAGGAATGATTGACAGAATCGATAGCCGCGAGCAGCAATTGCTTCTGAAGATGGGGTAACTTCATAAAGTCCGCCTCAGTCTTGTTGGTCTTGACGCTAGCGTCCTTGGCAATAACGCCAGTTCCAGAACATGGCGCATCGAGCAAGACGCGATCAAAGCCGCCCATGACACGCGGGAACTCCAATGCGGAGTAGTGAGAGACAATAACGTTTCTGGCGCCCAAGCGATGAATGTTTCCTATCAGACCCTTGGCACGATCCTTGTTTGCATCGTTTGCGAAGATGCAGCCAGTGTTTTTCATGAGCGCTGCCAAATGTGTCGTCTTGCCACCGGGCGCAGCTGCCATCTAAAGATTAACGCATTAGTTTCCTCTCGTACAAGTAGTGATTTGTCGTAGGTCCACTTACATCCAGTACTCGCTCGTTTTCCTGTGGCGCGAGAGCCATGACGGGCAAGAAGGAAGATGCTGCCTGCAATATGTAGTGGCCGGCCAGGTACTCGGGCGTTGCACCCAGAGGCACCTGCGTATCGAAGATCTGAAGGCCGACCTTGGACCACTTTCCGACTGGCTCTAGCTGGACGCCGCGGTTGATCAGTGTCTGCGCAAGCTCCCGACGATGGGTACGGAGGGTGTTTGTGCGGATGACGATGGGTCTCGGGGTCTCGTTGGCTTCGAAGAAGGCTTGAGCTTCGCGGGGAGGGAAAAGGTTGAGTAGTTTGTCTGCTAGGAACTCAGAGTAGCCGTAGTAAGCACAGACATCCTTCAATAGCGATGCCATATACTCGGCACGACTCCGACCCTCTTCGGCTAGATTTTTGAAGTCGTCCAACACACGGATGGTATCTGTGAGTCTCGTCCTCAGCAGTTGGATGTCCTGAGTGACAAGGTTCGTGACAGGCCTTCCATCTTCATCTTCACTATCCTCCAAGATCTTTGGCCGTTCACCAGCGATGTTGGTTTGCATCATGTTCTCCTCCAATTCAGCAGCTGCCTCAGCATCCTCTATAGCCTTTTGTTCATCGAGCTTTCTGGATAAGCCAGCGATGTTTGCTGCCGTGAGCTTCTCCTCGATGTCGTCTTCGTCTTCGTCATCCGACCACATGGCGCCTTTCCTGACTTCAGTGTCAGAGTCTACGATGTCGGAGTCGAATTCGTCGTCTTCTGACGCACTACCGAGCGCATCGAGACCAGTAACGTTGATACCGTCCATATCTTCGTCATCCATGAAATCGGAGTCGTCTTCCTCGTTCTCGTTCTCGTCCGAAGAGGGAGAAGCAGCCTGCTTTACAGGCTTTCCTTTGGCCTTCGCCTTCGCTCCGTTGAGCACAGCTGCGGCAGTCTTGACAGGCTTCACAGGCTTCCCCGCAACCCTTGTCTTAGGTGTCGCTTTGGCCTTGGCCTCTCGCGCCTCCCTTGCAGCAGTCCTGCTCCTCTTCTTTCTCTCCGGGTCCGCTGCGACGGGCGCATCTTTTCGCTTTCTCGTTACCAGAGACTCGTCCAAGGGCTCGGGCATGCCCTGCTTTTTCATACGGCGACCTTGACCCATGGCGACCGATGTACCGTGGGGTGAAATGGGTGTATGGAGGTATGAAAGTTGTTGAAATGCTATTAACGGCAGCGCGAACTTTCCAACTGCAGTCGCTGGTGGATTTTGGTAACTTTTTCCGCGCTAGCGGACCTCCTTCGGGTTAGCGCAGTTTGGGCCCTGGTCGGCCCTTGGTGTCCCGCACATCCAAACAGCGTCATCGCACTGCAGCTATACACAACTTTGGACAATCTCGTGAACCGCTTCTATTGTCCAAGGCATTAAATCTATCTTGAAAAGACTTATATTACACGCGACAGCGTCCTGGTTGCCCGACATGTCCGAACTCTCCTTTTGCAAATCGTTCCTCAGCGCACTCGATGCGCGCCCAGCAAAGCTATCGTCGGACCACATCGCAGATGCTCGACAATATCCCGCTCAAGGCGCTGTAAGCCTCTCCTCTCCCAATTTCTACCAACCTTTCAGGTATACTCCCTATGCCAAATGCGCCTGCTAAAACAAGCCACAGTACACGCTCCCCCGCCTCCAACACCCACCCCACCCTCAGCGCCCCAACCCAAAGACATCGACGGATAACGGTTCAACATCCACGTCCTCGCAAACCATCTCTATAACCCTTAAGCCCATGAAACCATCCACCCCAACCATCCCGCTGTCCTCCATCGACCCGGCAAAGACGTCCGTCTACGACATCAAGCAGCAGTTTGCGACACAAGCCTCATTATCAGCGGCCAAGATTAAGATTCTGTACAAGAAGAAACCAGTCACAGACTCCAAGACACTATTGGAAGTAATTGGGTCTGATGCGGGTAGTGAGGTCGAGTTTGGCGTCATGGTCATGGCTGGTCATGGCTGGTGCCGCTCTTGGAGGGGCTGCGAGTCCGGCGGCAGGAAGCACACCAGTCGCAAGTCCGCCTGCTGTTGCGCCACCAACGGAGAGTGAAAAGGGGCTTGCGAGTGCTGGGGAAACGATTGCGGGGACGGCTAGTGGGACTGCAGGCTCAGGGGCTGAGAGTGGCAAGGACATTGTTGCTACAGACGAATTCTGGGGCGACTTGAAAGCATTCATGCTCCAGAGGATAAAGGATGCAGAAGAGGGGGAGAGACTCGTCGGTGTCTTCAAAGAGGCATGGCAGCAAAACAAGTGAGCACGGAGATGCCAAACATATCCGTCACATCATGTTAGGTTAGCAGTAAGATACCAAGAATATGTCCATCAAAGACAATTTGACCACTTCTTAGCTTATGGCAAGCATACCAAGCCTGATAATGCAAAGCAAGCCGGCATCGCCAGCCCATATATTGTATATTTAACCATGCTCAATTCGTTGCATACTCTTCGCCATGGCACACTACCAACTAACCCCACGACTCGTTTCACCATATCATTACCAATTCGAATGCTCCTCCTATATTCAGGTGCGCCATGCCGACAGATGGATGAAGAGCGGCGCTTAACGGCCCTTGGAGACACGGCTCTTGATGTTCTCAAACTCGATGTCGTCGGCGTCGTTGGCTTGGATATCGGCGGCGAGACCGTTGAGGGCGCGCTTGATGGCTTCCTTGGAGGACGAGTACATCATGCGAGGCTATCAAATTTCAGTCAGCATGCCTTCTTTAGTGCAGCGCTGCACAGTGCGCATTTCCAAAACCTACGTATTGTGCGGCATCGTCCGGTGTCCAGCTGATAAAAGTAATCTTGCTCCTCGAGCCCTCACCACTGTCAAGCTCGTACTCGACATCGAAGACGGCATAGCGGCCACCGATGCCCTCCTTGCCGCGGCGGTCCTTGCTCTTGGCGTTGAGCAGCTTCTCGCGGAACACGTCGAAGTTTGCCTCCTTGGATGTCTCCTCGACAACAATCTCTTTCCAGTCGTCGCTGATCTTGTAGATTATCCACTTGATGTCCTTGCCGAGCTTGAGCTCGTTGAAGGTGCTGATGCACTCGGGCGAGACGGAGACACTACGGGTCTTGTTAGTGTATGTGGTGCGGGCTTAGGTCACGGGGTAGGAGCGTCGTGGTGGTGGTGAAAGTGGTGGGATGCATGGGTGTGCATATCGGGCAGCGACAGCTATTCGGCTTGTGTTTGTTTGTTGCGCAGTACGTACCCGGATTGAGCCTGCAAGCTTTGTCAATACTGCATCGCTAGTCACATGTCTCCAATTAGCTTACCATGATGTTCTATGTAAAGTGTAGAGGATGTTGGAGAGAGCTTGGGGCACCGAGATGCTTTATCAGTACTGTGTTGCCTGTCAGCGTCGTCATCGGGCTGCCATTGCCGCGTGCGCATGTGCAGCAGTGAACGGCTGCCTGTGTGTTGGCGGGGAGGGTTGCAGCTTACGTCAAGGGCGAAAACTGATGGCGTTAGGGACTTTGTTTGTTTTGCGGGAGAGAGGGCGGAGGTGGAGGAGCGGTGTTGCTGAGGCTGAGGGAAGTAGTGGGGTTATTTTCAACCGACGTAGTGGGGTCAAGCAAGCATGACAGGTTTAGTTGCCCTACTGCGCCGCCACAGCAACCAGTATCGGCTTATTTCCCGACCAACATCCGTCACTCTATCCGCTATTATCCACACCACATGCCAAGCAATCATTCGTACTCGCTGTTGTTTGTTTATACACTTGTTCACATTTCCTTCGTCGCTTTTTACATCTTGTCCTTCCCAGGAGAGCTTCTAGATACACCATATTGTACAATAAACACAAAAAAACAAAATGCTACGCTTTTGAAACCCATGAGTGAAGAGCGGAGACCATCCCAATATCGTGCACATAAACCATCGCCGGGAAGACGTTAGACTAAAGTCATTATAGCGGAATGGGGGTATAAGAAGAAGATAACAGACGGGTTGGGCTCCAAGTGCTTAGAAGCCCATGCCGCCCATGCCTCCCATACCACCCATACCGCCAGGCATGCCGCCTGGAGGACCCTTCTCCTCGGGTGCCTCAACAATCGCCACCTCGGTGGTACCGAGAAGCGACGCAACACCACTAGCATCAACAAGAGCAGTGCGGACAACCTTGAAGGGGTCAAGGATACCGGCAGCGATCATATCGACGTATTCGCCCTTTGCGCTGTTGAAACCCTTGTTGAAGTCGCTCTTGTACTCGTCAATGAGCTTGCCGACGATGACGGATCCCTCCGCACCGGCATTCTCAACGATCTTGCGAGCGGGGTGGGTGATGGCGTTCTTGACAATGGTGATACCAAGCTGCTGGTCAAAGTTGGCCGCCTTGACAGATCCAAGAGCGTTGGCCGAAGCCTTAAGCAGACCAGTACCACCACCGGGCAGGATACCCTCCTCGACGGCAGCACGGGTGGCGTTCAGAGCATCGACGATGCGGTCCTTCTTCTCGCCAACCTCGACCTCAGATGAGCCACCGACCTTGATGACGGCAACACCACCAGAGAGTTTGGCAAGACGTTCCTGAAGCTTCTCCTTCTCGTACTCGGACGTGGTTGGGTCGTTGATGACGCCGCGGATCTGCTCGCAACGCTGGGAGACCTGGTCCTTGCTACCCTCGCCGTTGAGGATAACGGTGTCCTCCTTGGTGATGGTGATGGATCCGGTGGAGCCGAGCATGTCGGGAGTGGCCTTCTCAAGCTTAATATCAAGATCATCGCTGAAGACGGTACCGTTGGTCAGAACAGCGAGATCACCGAGGATAGACTTGCGGTTGTCACCGAAGCCGGGTGCCTTGACAGCGGCAACCTGGAGCTGGCCACGGAGCTTGTTGAGAATGCAGACGGCAAGCGCCTCACCGTCAATGTCCTCGGCAATGATGACAAGGGGGCGGCGGAGCTGCTGGGAGGCCTCAAGAGCCGGGACAATGTCCTGGACAGCGGAGATCTTCTTCTCGGAGAGCAGGATGAGAGGCTTCTCAAACTCTACCTTGGCGGTCTTGGTGTCGGTGATGAAGTAGGGGGAGATGTAACCACGGTCGAACTTCATGCCTTCAGTGACCTCGAGTTCGTCCTCGGTCGTCTTGCCCTCCTTAACAGTGATGACACCCTCCTTTCCAACCTTCTCCATGGCGTTGGACAGAAGCTTGCCAATGTGTGTGTCACCGTTGGCAGAGATGGTGGCGACCTGGGCAATCTCTTCGCTGGTGGTGATGTCCCTCTTGTTTGCCCTCAGGTATTCAACAACCGCCTCTACGGCGGCCTGGGTACCCCGCCTCAGGTCCATGGGGTTGCAACCAGCGGCAACGTTCTTAACGGTCTCGGAGAAGATGGCGCGGGCGAGGACAGTAGCAGTTGTGGTACCATCACCAGCAGCCTCGTTGGTCTTGGAGGCGACATCCTGAAGGAGGCGGGCACCGAGGTTCTCGAACTTGTCTTGGAGAGTGATGGCCTTTGCGACTGTTACACCGTCTGTAGTGTGGTTAGCGGGCAGTCATGTAAACAATGGCGGAACCTGTGCATACCCTTGGTAATCTTGGGGGATCCATAACTCGACTCAATCAATACATTGCGACCCTTGGGGCCCAGTGTTGTTGATACAGCCTTTGCGAGTGTGTCGACACCCTTCAGCAGGGACGCTCTTGCCTCAACGCCAAACTTCAGTTCCTGGATTCTGTTAGTCTCATCTTCCTTTTTGCAAAAAACTAAAAAGCAGATTTGAACAGTCACTGTCATACCTTGTGCGCAAACCTCTGCTGCTGAAGGTTGTAGCTAGTCGACCTCAGCTTAGAGCTTGAGTTGAGGACCGAAGTCCGCGCCCGCGATGCGAAAGCTCTTTGCATTGTGAAGGAATTGGGATGTGTAGATCAAGGTACAGATGCTAAAGCTATGCTCCTAGACTCCAGCGCAGTACAAATTTACTAGGGAGAGAATTCGATGAGGAGGAGAATTGCGGAGAAATCAGTCGCTGATGTTCTAAAATTTCGGGTTGGACTTTGGAAGCCTCCAGAAAAAGCTCAGACCACATCTCGAGCTAGCCTCGGCCTTTCTGCGTTACCTCCGCCTCTCCAGCCTCACATTTCCATCTTTGTCAGCAAAATGGAAAATATTCATGTTCACGCAGTTTTGGGTACTTCTCCTTGAGCATTGTTGTCTTTGGATGCCTTGCCGTAAGAGAGGCGGTGGCTATCTTAGTGTGATTACTGACCACGACAGCCCCTCATCCTGGAAATCCATTAGAGCAGACATATCTGTAATAGTACCGCTATTAGTACTGCTTTATACCAATGACAGATACCTAGTCTATGATTCATCTATAAACCGATTGTTTCACTTGACGTAGGAGGTAATACCAATGGGCCTGTTTGAAGTCAAAGCCGGTTCGGCCTAGGTGGTGAGTATACACGATGACTTACTTCAGCAGCGGACAGAGCGCTGATACGTTCGATCAAGTCGCTGCTAGATTAGCTATAGGCTAGAAAGGTGGATACGAGCCTTCATCTGCTCGTCATTATTTCTAACTAAATAAATTAACAAACAAGAAACTGTTCGGTTGTCGTCACGATAGAAGTGCAGGGTAGTGTGTGTAAAGAACGATCTTCCCCGTATGTGATTAGATATAGAGTATATAGACCAATGCACCTTACTGACCGGCAAGTGAAAGAATACGTTCACCAGACCAGCGCACAGGCCTATCGCGACTCCAATCTTCTGTCCCGAAAGCGTTCTTATCGTGACAATGGTTTGAGCGACTCTTCGTCACATAAGAATAAACTACCAATCACTCCGGAGAATGGGTGATATGTGCAACCGCCGTTAGCATATTCCCATCAGATATGTATGCGGGTACTTCTTTCGTATTGAAACCACAATTCAACTAGAATAACCTGACTTTGAACACGACTAGCCCCACAACAACACTTCCGATACAAATTCAGCGATGAACCAACCACGAAGGTGAAGATTTTGCTTCTCTTCCTCGCTTTCCTCAGCTTGGCCTTTGGGGGCCCGCAGGAGTACCCCTGGAGCGGCATGCCCCAACTCAATGGCATTAGAATTGTAACGATAACATCTTGAGTTTCAACTGCTCTATCCAAATGTACCATACATTAATTCTCCCAGCTATCCAACGCAGGCCAACTACGTGTAGCATAGAGACCCAGATGGCATAGTCCGTATCAAACTCTGTTACCAGGACCCATTCGTCGCTACTCAAGATAACGAAATAGTTGCCGCATGGCCGACATGATATCGAGTAATTGGGGAAGCAGCCCTGTCCTATTAATCGTCACCGCCTCCGGTCATCACCAAGTCTCGGAATTTCGCCAACGTATTCACCTCACTGGGCTATTTTAGACCCTCTTCGCAGCGAGGCCGCCATCTCATCACGATTGGCTAGAACCAGGATAACAAACTCTTTGCAACCGCACACGAATCTGGACATGTCTATGACATGCACCATAAGCATCAACGTTTAGATAGGGCCACCCATGTTGTCTACACCTACACCATTGAGAATGTGGTTAGCTATTGGCCAGCTCTGGTGGGAGCTCAAAATGAGGGCTTTGACAGCAAACATATTGTGTACTAGCCATGATCTCGCTAAGATGTACGATTCTGACGGCGCGGAATTTGTGAGACTGCTTTGGCTTGTAGGCTTTAAGTCTTACTTACAATTATGACACTATCATGCACTAACCTAGCGACTGTTTTGCAAATGGAGTTTATCCTACTGTGCTCGTGCGATGTTAGGATTTGCCAGTTGGTTAAATTAGTAAGGAATCAGATTGTGATTATCACTAATAAGGCACTGGCACCGTGTCCTAAGTTTCACATCTCTGTTGGAGATGGGAACGCTATCCTGAGGGTTTACGCGTTGTAAGGATGGTTTTAGAGAAGTGCTGTCTGGGAAAAATAAGTGTTTGATCTCCAGGCAATGACTAGGTGGTAGGCAGAGAATGGGAGAAGCATTGCCCTATGGCCCTTTTGCATTACTTCGTGTTTGATGGAACAGCTTCTGGACCTTGGAATAGTTAGATACAAATATCCTTACGCTTATTATCTTTCAGCTGCTAACGTTTACTAATGTCTAACTCGGCTTCTTTCTCTATGTAGAAGATCTCGATTAACAAGATGGAAAAATGATACTAACAAAATACCTATTGGAACAAGGTCCCTCTAGTAGTATGACTACTGTGGATAACCGAGTGAGAGGGACACGGCGGGGTGGCTGCAACGTATTGTATTGACTATCGTATAGTCCAGTGTTCCAGACTTGTACTGTTGTGGTGGGTGCTATTGCCCACCGGGCAGTGCCTGCCACACTAGCATATCATGTGACTCTCAAGCACCTTCTACCCTGGACTGAACCCAGATATTCTCAACAATACCTTAGGTTTTGATCTTTTTAGTATAATCAGCAGACAGAGAAACTTGCTGAGTACCAATCCATTCCCACCATTCCATCATACATTCACATCCAAATATACTATCACCGAGCCGTTCGCATTATATATGAATAAACACAATACTTCTCGGCTATAATACAAATTCCCATCCACACTCTCTCCCATCACCTACTTACTAGACCCAGCCGGATTCCTCGGCCCATCAACAGCCCTCTCAACATGTCCTGCAATCCCATTCTTACTCGCATCAAACTGACTCCCAACAATCCCGTCCTTGCTCAACGGACCACCAATCTTCTCGCCAATCTGGCCGATAGTGCCGTTTGGGTTAACTGTATTGGAAAGAAAAGTATCTATTAGTATATCTCACAGACTACTATGGGCTTGAAACGGTATAAACATACATTGTTTACCAATTGCGCCCTCCGAAGAGATAACACTGGGATTCTCCTTTGGAATGGCATTGGTGTCCTTGTTTGCGCCGATCTTGTCGGCAGCTGCAGTTGTGTTGTCGGTCATGTTGCCGAGCTGTGTGCTGTTGTTTGGGGTGGATTGGTTTGCTGTGCCGATGCCGAGTTGTTCGAGGAGGGGGCCGGTGGATTTGGGCATTTAATTATCTTGTTATTAGACTGAGGTGAAGTGGTAGGGTTGCCAAGGATGTATTCAAGTAGTTCAAGTTAGATAGCTGTGTGGTTTATATAGCCTTCTGACAAAAGTTAGAGTACGTCACAAGGCGCAACGGCGGAAGTGATGATGATGTCATGATGAGGGAGAGAAGCGGCGTGAGGATGTCGGATCGGGACACTTTGGAAGCTGTGATGTAGCTAGTCAGTAGCCTTGCAAGTCTAAGATGGCGGGGGTTATTTTTGTGGGTTGTGCTCAGCTTTGATTTGTTAGAGGGTGGTGCTATGGCGATGTGAAGGTGTCATTTTGAACTCTATAGACAGTGCTTTTTCGCCGCTTCTAGAACTACCCGCAATATAGTAATGATGAAATGCACATGATCCTTTGTCATGCTACTTTTCCAAAGTATTATGCAGACGTGACATGGTTAGGCGTATGCTCAAAGCATGCTTGCAAGCGTAAGAAATGTAAACGCCATCCGTAGAGGCACGCCCAGAACGCCCATGGAAGATGATGTCTAACCGCTTCTCTTTTTTGCTCGCGGACCGCCTACCTTGGGGAATGACAGCGGTAATTGCAGCTTTGCGATATGGTGGTTCGCTTTCGCGGCGTTTGCAACCTTGAGGTTGGCGAGATCGGCCTGTGTGGGCGCCGAGACCTTGCAGCCCAGTTCCATGAAGTACTGCTTGATCCTAAACACTATTAGCTGGATTGCGGATACTATTTTACAGACGACCTACTCTTTGTTTTCAAGCTTGAGATCGTCTCGCAGGTCGTTGACATCGACCGCGAAGTCGTCGACGATGAGCGCTGCGGCGGCAATGTGTGTCATGAGGTAGTCAACGTTCCATCGAGGCATCTCACCACTACTTGGAAGATTAGCAACGGTTGTTCAGGACCCGAAAACTGAACAACTTACCCCTCCGGAGCAAACTTGCGTCGGATGGCCATGATGCAACCCGCAGAAGTATCTTCGCCCATTGCTTTCTCTAGCTTACCCTTGACTGGTATTTTCTTCGGTCGGGAACCACCTCCTCCAAACAAGGCAGCATTAAAGTTGATGCAGAGCAGTATGAAGCGTAGGACCTTTAGCTTCTGTATCTGCTTGTTCTTGGCAAACTTGACGATCCGCTTCGCAACATACTTGCTAGTCACGTTGATAGCTTGCTTGGCATCTGATGCTTCTACCCAGTCCTTCACTTCCAATATGGTCATGAGCTCGCTTCCAACCACGGTGTCGATGGGATAAACGTCACCGGGATACTCAGCCGCAAGGTTGGGTGTTGGTCGAGGTTTCGCGCTGTTGATAGCTTCTGTAAGTTCATCTCTGGTCGGCATGCCTTCGGTTGCAGATGCCATTTGGTTCAGTATGTTCGCAGCAACGGCTTCGGCGCCAGGCCCGCTCTTAATGGCATTCAAGGTACGATCTTCCAACGCTTTCCTTGACTTTTTCGATCCAAACTCTGCTGCGAGCGCTGCCCTCTTCTCTGCGATGGTGCTCGTCTGCGTATCCAAGCGTGCTTGCTCCTCCTGCATCTCAGCTATCTCGCTGCGCAGTGTGGCTCGTACCACGACTCTCTTTACAGGGACAATTTGCAACTTTTTGGTCGCTGGGTCGAAGATGCCAATGTAGTCTTGGAGGTAACTCTCTGAGCTTCCATCCTTCTCCTCTTGTGCGGTATAGTCGAGTCTAGGGTGATCAGATGAGTGGAGCAGCAGCTCGGTGGTTGTGCCTGAGGGTTCGACCTTGGTACGCTTGTATGGCTTGAAGGATATGTTGGACGGAAGTTTGACACCAGGTGTAACAGCTTGTATATATGCGTTAGCTGGAATGATAGTGAGGCATTTGCGACGTTCTGTCACATACCTAGCAACGGACCCAGATCTTCGTTGTTCTCTACCAGCTCGACCAGGAATTTTCCCTCTGTCGCACTCGTCGCCTTCTTCTTCGGCCGCTCTCCATTCTTCTCGCCTCTCTTTCGTTTCTTTTCACTCATGTTGGCTGAGTGGGTGCGATATGGGAGCATGTTTTGCGACAATTCTCAAAAAGTTCAATCGCGAATTGGCAGAACTAGGGCGGTGAGCTGTGAACGCTAGTCGAGCGACAGGGGTGTTGTCGTTAGCTGGGCGTTCATGACGTATGCGCGACAGACGCGTTTCTGCCCGCACCTAGATGATATGGATGTTTGATACGACGGTGAAGGTAGACCAGGCCATTCCAATTCCTTATAGGGGTGTCTGGCGCCTATAGTAGCTTCTGTATACTAGGGTGGCAACTACCTCATGTCACCCAGGTACACTTCGTACGGCAAGTGCGACCAACCGCGGAGTACATCGGTGTTGCTTGCTTTGTCAAGCTGCAATTGAGTCCAAGCGCCAGAGCGTCATGAGAAACATAGATTGCAACAGAAGCATCCTTCCTCCACCATCTCATACCATACCATCCATTGATCGCCTACTGACAAGTACTTTTCCCCAAACTGCATTTGCTCTCACACATTCAGTATGGCTACCGTTCTCCAGACCACTGGAGAAATGATTCACAATGCCGGCCATCATATCCACCATCATAGCAAGAACGTTGGAAATCAACTCGAAGACACTACCAACCGAGTCTTTCCGCCCAAGCAGCGTGAACAGATGATGGAGAAAGGCCGTGTTTACGCTCAGAAGAACCCGAAGACAGCCGTCAGTACCCCGCAAGTCCATCAACACCGCACTACTAAACTATCACTTAGGCCTTTCTCACAACCCAGGCCGTACTGGTCGGCCTCCCACTTGTCCTCTTCGTCGCCTTTGCAATCGCCACGCTGCTCGTCTCCTTGACAACCTGCCTGTTTCTTGGCCTCCTCGTCTCCTGCGCCACTACCTTCCTGGTCGTCGGCTTCTCGCTCATCTTCGTCGTCCCGACCATCATCCTGGCCAGTTGCTCGGCAGCCTTCATCTTCATCTGGGGACTCGTAGGCTACGTCGTCCTACGCAGACTCAATGAGGGTGAGGCGCCAGCTAAGCCTGGCACACGTGTTGGCGATACTCTACAGTCACTGACTGGCGGTAGATCGGCATATTGGCTCGGCGATGAAGCATCTGCGCAAGGCAGCGGCAACAGAGGCAAGGTGGATCACGGATCATCTTTACAAGGGGGCACTGCAGGTACTGGGGACATCCAGTCTCGTGTTGCAAAACACAATGGAGACGGCGGGCCTGTCAACGGAGTAAATCAGACGCATGGTGCGATTGAGTGGGGGACAAAGTGGGACGGAGTCAAGAGTGAGCCAATGGTCTTGGAGACAGACAACGTGTTCGAGGTCTTGAAGGCGGTCAGTATATATTCGTGGTCTTTCGATACATTTACTGACTACTCATACAGGAGGCTCCGGTATCCTAGCGGCGGTCCTGAGGCACACAACTTTATACAACCTCCTAGCTCTTTTTGGGTATCCTAAAGCTCATAGTAATGAAAACAAATTGACTCTTAATGTCTGCGAGATGCTCATTCCCATTTGCTTTTCGTGTGTATTGTCTTGAACTCGTAGAAATCAATCATGCAGACTGTTCGACGTCGGTCAATGTCGACCTGGCAAATGGGTAATCGGAAACTGTGATTGTGCAAATGGTTACGCCATGAAGGAAACGACATACTCTAGCATATGCAAAATGTATCCTATTCACATGTATCATTTGATATTACGCAAAGAATCTCACTTGTCCGTTCCAGATTCTAACTCATTATGACTAAGACATCGACCCAACATTTTCAGCCAGGTAGCGTCTAATCTCCAAGCCGACGACCAGGTCCCATTCCACCCCAAGTCGTGCTTGCGCCCGTGGTCCTGCCCGTACTCGGCATGTTACTTCCAGGCGCACCAGCCGCTCTTCCACGCCCCTCAACAACGTGGCCGAACCCTCTACTCTGTACGCTTCCTGGCCTGGCAGCAAACCAACGCTTGACCATGTCTGGTGTACGAATGTAGTTTGTTCCGCCGCCAAAGGTAGGCCAGATCCTGGTCAAGAAGTCGTACAAATGCGCGGCGACAAGACCGGTAAGTTGTGTAGCAGCTGCCTCCGGACCATCGATAACAAACGTCATGAAGAGCATGGCGAAGGGCAGGTATTTGGACTCAAATGTGACGATGAAGAAGGATACAGAGCGTGTGGGGTTGTCCTGGGCGAACGTGTACGCGTATGCGAGGGAGAGGGCGGGGAGGAACGTGTATGCGTTTAGAATGCCTCCAGCTGTTGCCTTTATACGGACTGTTAGCACAGGTCCATTCCACGATACATTGACATCAAGCAAAGAAGCAATTGTGAACAAATGGTGAACGTATGTAGGGAGCCAACACCGCCTAGCGAAATGGAGAACATTCGCAAAGCTTTCTCAAGTGACAATCCCACCATGCCTACACACCACACAAGCCCCTTTTGTATTTTGCGAATGACGGAACTGCATGATGTGCAAGGGTGATCTCCCTCGATTTTAGGAACCGCTTCAGCTAGGTTTGTAGGCTGGGCGGGCAGATGTATGAGGTGGTGTTTGACCGTAGTCGTCGCGTCGTAGACAGTTGTGTCGATACGATGTGCGTCTTTTTTTCTTCTTCTATGGTATGTTGCAAGTGAGTACTTACAGCTATTACGCTGCCAACGAACAGGGTGTACACGAAGAAGTCGCCAGGCTGCGAGAAGCGGCTCGACTCGCGCTCGATGGAGCTGCCGTACTGGTAGAGCAAGTATGGATCAAGCAGGATAGCGAACTTTGGTTTCGTAATTAGAAACGCAGTGAAGATGCGCCAGAGCTGGGGGAACATCCTCGTGGTGAAAACATAGTCGCTCGCAAAGATGTAGTGGTAGAGGCTGGTGATGCCTCCATAGCCCGCAGCCGACAAGGCGACAGCTAGAGTTGTTATGGTTCTGCGAGAAATGTGTCAGCAAATACTCCGACGCGTTGTTTGCGCAATAAATGTGAGTTGCAAAGTAGCCAAAGCTGTAGAAACAAGAGAGAAAAGCTTACCTAGAGACCGGCGGGAGCGTCCAGAAAACATCCATCGTGTCGCAAAGCTGTAGCAACTGTGAACGAAAGTGATGGTGAGATGTGGCGGGCGAGGAACAGCCGGGGAGCTGCCTAAAGAACAGAAAAGAAGCGGCGTGGAATTCGCAAGGTGGCTTTTGAAGGTACCGTAGCCGAGCGACAGGGATTGGTGTTAGCCTTTGCGTCATTACTGCGCGGGCCCACCATCACTTTTATAACTCGACACAACCGTGGGCAAATGTCCCCTTGTACTATTTCATCTCATTCCAAATGCAAATCTTCAATGTTACATTCAAACTATATATGAATCATGGTTCAGCGCAACCACAATGATATTACAGCAGTGTGTGCAGTGCCATTAAGTGCCGGATACTTTACCATCGGGACCAAAATCTCTATGATGTCGCTACCAGCTACCAAATCCCAAACTTCTAACACAATACTAACCTTGACTGGTACGGTTGCCTAGGGTAGTACCTCTATACCCTTATATTCACCACTTCTACTTTGATTACCCACACGTTAAGATGGATAATTCCTCATACAACCCAAGTGTACTTGCAACATCTATTCAAACCCCTTACCTTCACATTTACTTGGAAAAAATGAGGTCATTCGACTTATCACTGGCCCGCAGTATAATCTTCTTGAGTGTCCTCGTTTATGGGCAGCAGCGTTACGATCGAGAAAGATTGCTACTTGTCGACTTCCAAAAGATATCCAGTGACCTCAAAGAATTCGAACGCACGATGGATGCAATACACAGAAATAACGGTATAAATATCATTCTTCCACCCTCAATATTTTTACAATACACTCACTGATACTCAACAGAGGAGCATCTCCCACCCACCTCAACGTCCCTACCTTCGTCTTCTTCGCCTACTCCTCTACAACCTGCACCGCGAAATCAGGACTCGTAAGCTACGGCAACTCAAGAAAATTTCCATAAAAGTATAGACACCAACTACGCCTACTCCCCCTTTCCCCCGGGCCCATGAACTTCACTCTCAGCACCCACTCCCGGCGTCCCTCTCTCCTCATACGAATCCTCGTATCGTCTCCAAATCTCCATGTCTCTTGCCAGTCGCTTGTGGTGTCTGACGCGGTGTTGGTAGTTTATCATGCGCTTGTCTGCTTCAAGCATGCCCCCGAGAATCATGCCCGACATCTGAATGTATCTGTTGGGTGGTTGAGTGATCGGGCACACATCGTGGGTATGAATAGATAGAGGGGGGTTGCCTTACGTTCGGAATTGGATTGTGAGACCCCGGTAGAGAGGGGAGAAGGCGTATGCGACACCGCCTGCTACGGCGAAGAAGGCACCCCACTGGTTTTGCTGTAGTTAGTTACGAGTTCTTGGGATGTTTTGAAGTTCTTGCTGTTCTCTTTCTTTTGCTTCGTGATTGCGACTCTAGTCGAGACTTTAAAAACGCGAATACAGCACGTGAGTGCTTTCCATGTACACCACCCGCTTTACAACAATCCAAAGAGTCTTCCCCTGACCCCGAAACTACCCATATGTAGATTCACATACTCCAAAAAAACACGCGCGTGCAACATACCTTAGTCCCACCTATCAGCGCACCCCTTGCCGCCTCCCAAGCTGCCTGGTTTGTCTCCTCGTCCTTTTCCAGACTACCGTGTTGTCTCACCATGTCTTCAATCGCAGTACCATTGAAGTTCGATGTATCTGCGGTACAAAAAGATAGATGAACATTGAACTTTCCGAGCTCGGCCGGATTGATGAGGTCATGCCAACGTGCGTACATTTTCGGTGCCGGCCAAAACGCACGGACATGAGCTTGTTTGGTGGGGGTGGGTGCAGACATGCCCCATCTCACCCAGCCCGCTGATACAATCCATGCAACATCTAAAGACAGGAAGGCGCAACATTTGGGGAACTGTCGGACATCAAGTATAGGCGCTACATGTGCACACATAGTATTGGGCATACAATTCGAAAAGCTGTGAAGCTCAATTTGTCCGCTTCAATCTATGTTGGTATCATTTTAAAGATTATAAAGATCCAGGTTCCAATGCCAGGTCCGAATTCATGCATGTACTCGAAAGAAAGAAGATTCACAGATACAAACGCCCCTGCATGTGCGTTGCTCCCGGAACCAATGATTACTGTCCCACGATACTGAGAGGGAAGATGAAAAGTATAAAAAACGCCAAGAGAGACCTCTGTTGCTGAAGTTGCAGAGGTGTTATGCAAGAAGGGAAAATTTTCGATATGTACAAAAAGCCGTCGCGCGACGGGAATGCGATAGAAGGTAGATGGCTGACGAAACGGCGTGAGGCTGTTCGTTGTGCTGGTACGGTCAAGTTGAGAAGGGGAAGGAGCGTCGGTTCGTGCCGCCAAAGGACATCTCGAGCTCCTTTTCGAGAGTCGTGACATCGTAATCGACCTCTGTTCCCAGTGGACCTAGTTGTGGTGCGAAACCGCCCAGTTGTATGTCTTTTTCAGCTGTTGGAGTGCTCTCCATTTTGACTCTTTCGAGAATTTTACCCAGACTATTTGCTGTGTCTGGCCTCTCGAATTCTTCCTCATCAACATCCATGGTTGTGGGTATTCCGTTTGCGATGTTGTGATTGCGTTGAAGATACTGTTGTAGACGATACTCTTGTCTGCCCCAGCTCTCATCTACGAGACCGAGTGCGGCCTTGATGTCCTGGTCCGAGAGGCCCATTGGATAACTAGGCTCTTTTGCTGACTTGCTACTCACTTTGCTTGCGATGCGGCTTCTAACCGATGAAGACTTGGATGAGGTATGTGGGGTGACATCGTCCCGCATTGACTTGACCTGATCTTCTGTCTGCTTCAGCGCCATTTGGCGTGATTCTTGCATTGTGGGAAGATATAGAAGAGTAGTGTTCCGGTGCAGCGCGTTGACGAGATCAGTAAAGCCATTCAACGCGATGCCATTGTCCTCGCAGTACAAGTATTGAAGTGTTGTATTGACCTTGAGGACGTCTGCGAGGGTGCTCGCACCTTGTACGCCAAGTTTTTGAGCTAGCAATTGTTAGTCTTGTGTCAAGTACATGAGTCATAGAACCTTACACCTAATGTATAGAGCGCGCAAGGTTTTGTTACGTTGAAGACCGCGTAACGCACGGTTGATACCAACGCCAAGCTTGGTCGTCTCCAAACGGGAGTCTTCCCCAGAGATGTCAAGCCATTCGAGGCTTGTGTTGTCAGCGAACATCTTCTCCATGGCCTGGCATGTCTCTTCGGATGCGTCACAAGGCAACGAGGCTCGTGAGATGTCGAGTTGCCGGATCGTGTTATTGGCGGCCAAGGCAAGAATCATCTTCCGAAAATCTGCATCCTCTTCGAATTCGAGCAGACGGAGGGTAAAGTTAGACGGGGCAAGACCACGAGCTATGGCTAGAGTCAACTCGTCTAGATCTTTTTCAATGTTGTTTTCGCTAACATCCAGATGCAGCTCGCGAGCTTTCCCCGGCTCCTCTGTCATCGAGTGTAAGAGATACGCAATATCTCGCCCAGACAGAAAGCAATGATCTAACCGAAGCTCGCGTAAAGCAGATGATTGCTTGTAGTTTGTTAGGTAACTGGCGATTGCGTCGACCATGGAGGTATTGAGCAATGTTCCACTAAGGATCAACTCTTGTAGTCTCCAACCATTCAAGGTCTCGACAGAAATCAAAGACTCGTTCCCAGAGGATCGCGCAACATGCGATAGGTTGAGGCGTGTAAGATAGCCAAAAACGCCGATTTGGGAATCGAACATGCTGGGCGATAGCCTGAAGGGGTTAGACGATAGGTCTATGGCCTCAAGCGTAGCTTCTTGTGCGCGGAGTGCATCTAGGATAAGGGATAGTGCGCGGTCTGTCAGGCCACACCCACTCAACTCAAGTCCCCGTAGATGGCAAGCACGCTCGACACCTGCGGCGACGAGATAATCCAAGTCTGTGTCCCCAAGCTGTATTTTGTTCAAGGCTATCCAATCGACATTTGTTGTTTGGTACTTGCACAGTGGAAATAAAGCTTCAACAATACCGCAACCCTCATCCCTAGCGCTGCCTCTAGATTCGCCATGATCTCCAGGTTTTCGGGTAATGCATGAGGTAAAGTCCATTCTCCTTAGCTTTCGGTTTGTCAAGGCTAGAGCACGGATTTCTTGGACAAGCAGACACGATCGTTCCAGTTCTTCGACGTCTAGACGTGCGTATGTTCCTCGTTTCGTCTTGAGACAAAGGTGCTCTGCGCCATTCGCGTCTCTAAGTCCATTCAAGACGTCCAGAGACACGTCTTTGAAAGAAATGCCCGCAAAGGTTTCGTTGTATCGCAAGGCGCGCATGACAGCAAGAAGTTCCAGTACATTATACTGAGCTCTACGCAAGCCTACAGGGGGGAGAAGCTCGAATCGCGGTGCATCTTCTGGCGGATAAGTAATCTGGTAACTGATGTTCTCGGGCTGCACGCCGTAAGCAACACAGTAACCTATCAAAGTCCGATCTAGGGAGTCGGGCTCCATGGGGTGCGGACTCTCTTGTCTGACGAGATCTTGGTGCACATCCTCGGGGACCTGAAAGTCAAAAGGCCGCGTCTCCCACTCCGGCCTTAGGTTGGCTTCCACGGATCGCAACCGAACAGCAATGTCGCGTGAGGCGAGCGAAGCCAAATGAAGGACTTTGGGCCGTTCTAGTGGCTTCCTGCGAGCTGTCAGAATGTGTTCACACTGTGAAGATGAAAACATACCGGAAAGTCAATTGAAAGGTATCATCCACATGATTCACGTATACTTCAGTCAGCGTCAGAATACCATGCGATGATTGGGTATTGTGGGAGGCCAAGGCTGGAGTTGAGGCCCGCTGAGAAGGCGGCTTAAAGAGTGGGATGATGTGTACTTTATGCACGCCGATTGCAAGAAAGCATACAGAAGCAGATACTTTGGCAAGGTCATCTGACGATGACCTCGTAGTGGTCTTCCCCTGAGGTCTTAGAACGACCTTGTATATGGCGTAGTGTGGAGGTACATAGTCGCGCTCTGCTTCTACAACGCGTGCGGCGAGATGTGAGTTGTGCGCTGAGATGGGTTTCGCGTCAGACAGGCGGGCCAGGTTGGCGGCTTCTCTGAGAGTCTTGAGCCATGCAAACATGTCTTCTGGATCGCCGAACTGGAGTGTCATGGACGAGGCGTTATTGGACTCGTCGTCCAGATAGTACAGCTCGAGCGCAAAGTGTGGCCGGCCGTCGTCGAGGTGATAGACAGCGACAATATGGCGCAATGGTATTCCCTGGTGGCGATCTCCAGACGACTCCGACGCCAAAGACTGGAGCTCGTGCGACGAGCCGATGGAGGGACTGTGGCTATGCCGGTACGAGCTCAAGCGGTTTTGAGAAGAGGGAATACTAAGCGTATTAGAGCGATCTCTCTGCCCTGTTGGGGAGTTGGCGCACCCCGGGAAAGCCTCTGTGGCTTTGGAGTAGTTTTTGAACCGGATCAAATGCTTTTCGGTGAGGACCAAGTATTCCTTCTTCTTCCTAAACATGGAGCTACTCGTCTGAACCTCGCCATGCTGTAGTACCTGGCGGTCGCGCACGTCGTCGCCCAAGTATTCTCCAAAGAAGATTGAATTGCGCGTTGAGGTTGTGGACAGGGGTTCGGCGTCGTCATCTGCAGAGAGTTTGTAGCCACGGAATGAGCTGAAGACTGAGCTGGCGCGCTTTACGTTGTTCTTTGAAAGTGACGGCCGCGCCGAATCGGAGGCTTCTATCGAGTGTGTCCCCACCACGGTGCTCCCATCCGGGGATGCAGACTCGGTGTATTGCGACAAGTCGGACAGGTTGGAGAGATTGGACATGAAGGACGCAGTCCGGCGCTTTCGCAGGAGCGTCGACGGCTGCGAGCCATCTTTGCTGGTCTGAGGGGTGAGGGGACTGAGGGTACTGAGGGTGCGGCCGCCAAAGATGCTCCGCCGTTTGTCTTTGGACATGCCGAGATTCCCAGTTGGCGCGCGCAGCCCAGCACGAGCTCAGCGGCACGACTATCGCATACAGCGAGGGGGCCTTGGTAGGAAGGAGCAATGGGCGCGTCAGAAGGCACGTTTGTCGCTGACTATGGTATGCACAGTATAGGTATTGGACGGGACGAATCAGAAGACAGGCGCATCCGGAGACAATGCGCAGGACAATGGCGTCGGCGTGACGGTTACACGGTAGCGGTGATGCGGCGACAGCGGGCAGCGGGCAGCGGGCAGCGGTCACGGCTTTTGGCGACAAGGGTAATAGTTAATAATAAGTGTCTGATAGTCCGGACGTCTCATTATTCGCGTCCTGGCACCGCGCACACCTGGCTGACGTTTTGCCGGCTATCCTCCGTCTTGGTGTGAGGACGACGACGCGGAAGACTTGGCCGGGCCTGTATGATGATAATCAACAGGCCGGTTATGACAGATGACGGGGCCCTGACAGTGACGGCTACCAGCGCAATCTAATCAAGGTGAATCGACGGAATACTGTATCGCAGCCTACTGTCTACAGTAATCACTAATAAACCCCGGCGTTGCGTCAAATAGCTCCACGCGTCCTCCCTGCACATGCATACAGTAGTACGTCACATGGCTCGGCGTTAACAAACGCCGACATATTTTCACAAAAGTTATCTTGCCATGGCATATCAAACGCCACACTCGCATTCGCACCCGCCACGCCCCAGTCCTTTCGATGCTGGCTCGTCAGCTGTCGCAGGCTTCGTCATGGCACAGAGCTGGTCTGTCCTGCTCTGTCCGAAGCCATGTCCAGCCGCTCCAATTCCGCTCGTTTCGCGCCACTTCTGCTGTGTGGAAGCGGTTTCCGGCACCTAGAAAAGTAAAAGGTCGTGACAGGAGCAGCGCAGCCAAGGCGGAGGAGAACAAAGACGGCGATGAGGCTGTACAAGGCGAGGCAGAGGAAGATGAGGGCTCGGTTCAACAGTCATTGAAAGATGCAATGCTTGCCAACAAGAGGGCACTGAAGAGGATCAAGCAGCAGGAGCGAGAGGCGCTCGATATAAGCACTCTGTATCCAGACCATCTCAAATTCGAGCCTGTACAAGTTGAAAAGCCGCCGGTGGCCATGTTGTCGTACGGTCTTGACCGCGTGCTGTTCAACCCCGGTGTATACCGTCTGCAAGATCCACGCTCACGAGTCTACAACTTCGACCCGTATTTAGAGAAAATCATGCCGGCCAACGAGTTCGACTTTGAAGCCCTCAGCGAATACAAGACGTCGTCCAAAGACGAAGACTTGCTTGCCTTGAACAAGCGCATCGGCACAAAATTCACAGGCTCCACGTCGAGCATGTCAAGTGCGTTGCAACACTTTCATTACTTGCTCTCAAACTTCCGCAAACTCAACCACAACATGCTCTCTCGCCAGTTCCCGGACCCTTCGCCCAGGTTCTCAAAAACCACTCTCGGCCCCAGCGCCGTCTTCTTGCGACTCAAGGATGGCGTCTACGCAATAGATGCTGACAAGTCTTTTGACACGCCCAACATCATGAGTTGGCTTGGACACTCGCTGGAGAAGCTCCTGACGACAGAACGCACCGAATTCGAGCGCTTCCGCAGATCGAGCCCCGATAAGGCACCCGTCGAAGAAAATGCTGGACGTTGCTATCATTATTCAAGACAGGGCAACATGATGATGCGCTCGCAGTTGGACGCGGTTGATCCACGACTTCCCGGGACCGGAGTCTTCGATTTGAAAACAAGAGCCGTTGTCTCGATCCGTATGAATCACAAGGATTACGAAGAAGGCTCTGGCTACCAACTACGCCACGCCCTAGGCGAGTGGGAGTCATTCGAGCGCGAATTCTACGACATGACGCGCTCGACTATGCTAAAGTATTCGCTTCAGGTTCGTATGGGTCGAATGGACGGCATCTTCCTTGCCTATCACAACATTGCACGCATTTTCGGGTTTCAATATTTGAGTCTATCCGACATGGATGCCGTTCTCCATGGCCAGCACGACACATGCTTGGGTGACCAGGAGTTCAAACTCTCTCTCGGTCTGCTCGACGAAATCCTCACCAAGGCTACTACTAGGTTCCCGGATACTGTAAGTGACACGTCAAATTACGTTCAAGTATCTTTGGCTGACAAAACATAGTCCCTACGCCTGCACTTTGAGGCGCGTGAGGCTAAAACCAGCTTCATGTACATCTTCGTTGAGCCCGTCACGGAAGAGCAAGCAGACGAGATTCAGGAAGCAGGGGAGGCTGCCCAGCAAGAATTTGCAAGGAGCGTGATCGGTCTGGAGAATGATAACCCTGCAACACAAGCCAGTTGGCAGGAAGTTCAGGATGGCGTCGATGAGGAAATCGATTCAGACCAAAACAATATCCCGGGACTGGAGAGCGAGACCGAGGTCCCAGTGCAAGAAGAAAAGCCTCTGACCAATGTAGAAGACGCCACCGCAGATGATGCGGAAGAGACGGCGACCAGCGCGGAGGGTCTAGCGGATCCTGTTGTGGCCTCCAGCGAGCCGTTATTGGGATGGACATTGACTGTCCGCAGTGTGGTCAATGGAGGGTACGTAGAGAGGCCAGAGAATTTCAGAGAAGAAGATGAGTGGAAGATTGAGTACCACATGAAGGAGATACCGGAGACGAGATGCCGGCCGTTGTATAACGCGCTAAAGGAGCGGCGGCGTCAGCTTGTTGGGCTAAGAGACGAAGAGGCAGACAAGAGTCTCCAACATTATCGCGATATGATCAGGCGCTTCAGTGAACGCGGGCGGGTATGGAGGGCGGAGCAAGACAAACTTGACGAAGGCAAGGTCCCACTGCTGTTCCGACCGCTTGGACCCGGCTCGGGTGTTGCTCAGCCATATGATGAGGTTATTAACGAGGTAGAGGGTTTGGAGGAGGAGGAGGAATCAGCTCAGGATGAAGTGGCCGGCCAAGATGGGGAGTCAGCAGAAGAGCTCACTCACGAGGAAGAGTCGGCTCTGGAAGAAGGCTCTAAAGAGGGAGAGCCCTATAGTGAAGAGACGCAACCCAATGAGTCGCTCAGCAAAGAAAAGAAAGAGCAAGTTCTAGAAGGTATGCCGTCGGCTCCGTCATGAGAAGGGTGGTCTAGATGTGGAATGGGATGTAAATGTACATGTACAATATTAGATGTAAAAGGTTCTCATCAGTAAAGTAGGTTCACGATTAACGAATTGGTATGTGGAAGGTTTGTAGCGAATACAATTCAGCTCAAAGTAGATGCAAGGCTACCAGTATCACGTCGGAAGTAGCTGACGGTGATGTCGGCTGTTAAAGTTAGTTAGTGCAACCAGCCCTCACCCCTGCTTCTCCGCCCGCCATTAGCGACATTGCAGCTCCGCATGGCTCCTCCGCGAAGCTTGTCGTTCAATCTCCCCACCATGCTTGCTGCCATACCGCCCACGAGCGTGACTCTTGTGCACATTGCAAACTCTTCTACGCCTTATCGATACTACTAGGCGACTTGGCTTCTTCACTCCGGTTTCTGCGCTTTCCCCGAGCTTGCTTGCGCCTGCTTGCTCGCCCTCATCATACGTCAACCAACTTGACCTGCGCCGGCGCCTACAACTTTGTCACCTCCACGCTACTCGTATACGTCTACACACGCTCGCAACCATGACCGACGCAGAAATAGAAGCAAAGATTGACGACTTGTTTGCGTTTGGTGCCGGAGAACAACTTGACCGAAATGAAGTCCGGCAGCTTCTCGCGGTACGTAACTTGAGAGACGCTGCGCGCTGTGGTGGCGCATGCAGGACACATTCTGACGATGATTTGCAGAACCATGACAACAATGCCGAAGCCGCCCTAGACAAGTACTTCATCACTCTCGAACAAGGCGGCATGTCGTCACTCAAGTCCCATCTGCGCAATTCGCAAGCCAAGTGGGATGAAGCTGCCTTTGGTGAAGCCATGTATGGTGCAGATGATTCCACTATTCCCAGTACGTCGATACCACCTCATACAGCTTCCATGGGTAACACTGCTGACAGGGGCTGGTATCAGCGTTCAATATTGACTATGCTCCAGGCCATGAAAACTATCCCCATAGCAATGTAAATAGCAGAGCCCCAACGCGCCCGCCTTCTCGAACGAGCATCGCTTCCACCCAAGCCCAGGTCGGCGATGCGCCCATACAAAGTCAGTATACAAGACGTGCTAGAAGTGCTGCACTGACCGATACCCAGGCATTGAGAATCAAGAATCAGGGCTTACTGGATCCCACGCCCAATTCGGTCCCGCCACTAGGGACGACTATGTGACTTCGCAATGGGCTTTGATACCCACAGCTACCGAGATCATAGCGGACCCAGTCCCTGGCCAGCGAAAGCGTGAAGAAGGCCAGCCTGCTATCCTGAAGCCCTCATCCAATTTCAACTACCTCTCGAGCCTGATCCCTATCATCCATTCGATACCACTTTTTCGCAACGCGCTGCTATGTCCTGGTATACTACAAAACGATTACTGGCTAGGCGAAAATTGGTGGAAAGGCTGCCCGGACGATATCTCACGCACCGTCGACACCACCATGGGTCGTTCCGAGGCATATAGTCTGGACATCATTCACGAGACACAGCGACTAATGGCGTTTCTGGACAACACCGACCGGATATATGGGTCAATCAACGCTATGCTCCAGTCTGACGCTTGGAAAGAGTTGCCAGTGGATATTGATGATTCAGACGACGATCTGCTAAAGTTCCTCCTGTTATGGGGCTTTGCCTTCCAGAGTCATGTTCCGAATGCCGAGTTGGACGGTGTTCTGAGATCTACTGTGAACGTTGCTGGCAGCATCCAACATAGTTTCGTTCTCGATGCCAGTGTAGCACGCGGCCAATCGAGGCCCGACTTTAGCCTGTACGATGTTCTCGATGATAGCTTCTTCTCGTCGGCCATGGGCAGTGCGCATCTACGTGAGACCAGCAATGTTCTTATCCTTCGCCTGACCTCTTCAAACACCGAGGCTGCTGATCTAGGGTGCCGAATACCTGCAACACTCTACGTCGATCGCTATCTGGAGCAAAACAAACACATCATCGACGGCATGTATAGAGATATTCAACAGCACGAGGAACAGCTCAATGTCATCAAGACCCAAGTGGACAAGTTGAAGTACCATGTTCCCAAAAAAGGAGGCGGGAAAAAAGTCGAGGCTCTGCAACTACTGCGAACAAGCATGACTGCATATGACCATGGGGAAAACGGTACATCTCCCAAGGATACGGCAGTCTTGACTCAGCTTCAACAGCTTTGTGAAAGCATCGAGAGTAAGCTTGCGAGTCTTGAGGAGCAGGTCGAGCAAGTGCAGAAGACGATTGCTGACATCTCCGGGCGTTTCAAACCCCACGTGGATGATGGTGCTGATGCGACGAGCGACGTGGCGAATGAAACTGCCATGGAAATCACAGCAAATTCTACAGAGAAGACTGTAGAGGGATCTATCGAGCCGGCCAAGGTCAAATATCCTGAAGGCCAGTCACCAGAAGATGCGATGCAATATGCCTACCATCTCTGGGGCGTAGCCACCCGCCGGGACGTGGTCTATGTACGCCACCCCGACATACAGTCTGACATTCCGCGCGCCACACAATGGTGGCGAATGCAATATGATAGCGAGTCCTCCAACCCCGTCATAAGACGTGACCGCCTGTCTCTCCAGGAAGTCATTGAACGAGCCACCACGGAATCTGCCTCCGCACTTCTCGTATACGCAAACGACGAGGCGGTATCTACCGAGCCCATACCACTTCCCAAGCCGCTAGAAGCGTTTACTAAACGAGACAACCTGAGCTTCCTGGAGGAGTTACAAAAGGTTTCTGATGGCGACGACTGGGAGACTTTCGGTGACTACGGCAACGTGGCTCAGGGAGGATGGGATAAAAACGCAGGGTTGGAAGAAGACAATGATTGGAGCCAGATCACTGCTAAAGAGTTTCACAGTCGCACGAGAAACGACTCGAACATGAGCTCAGCGACGCTGACACCGAACACCGAGGTTGACGAGGGCCAGGAAATGGTCGAGACGAACCGCGGTGCCAGCGTAGTGGCAGGCATGATGAGTGGCGCTAGTAGCGAGACGATTGGACGCAGCGACGATGCTATGGACATTGACGCTGATAAACTCCAAAGCAAGGTTAGCTTCTCCGACGTAGATATGGAGGATGCGCTGGAGGAGCCGCGGAAGCAGCATATTGAAGCTGTAGAGAAGAAGGGTGGTTAGTACGGTGCAATTGGGGTGGCGACTATTAGCACTGGAATGGTTTGCACGAGAACATGATATTACAGGTTCGGGTTGGGGATGTGGATTGCATACATATGCGAGGAGTTCCGGGTGGATGTTTGAGAGTAGCATGGCGTGGAGTTTGTGGTGCTGATCATCGTCTTGCATACCTGGATTGGATTAGATTAGTGGATGAAGGGGATCAGCTTAATGGCCGCATGCTATACGTATCCTCTCTTGTAGTATGAAAACTACTAATGCTATCCTATACAGAACCCCTTCAATTGCAGCTTAGATCAGAGTTTACTCAAAGGCAGAGTCTGATTCTGGTGATGTTCACGGTTGAAATCTCCTTCACATACTAGTCGATCTAGGTGATTATGTTGTTAGTTGTAGAGATTAGCCAGGGCATTATTTTACCAGTGAGACTATTTAAGCTATCAAGACAGTACAAGAAAAGCGATGTAAGACGAATATAGCCCACCCAGCAAGCAGTTAAAAACCCTTGCAGTTCTATGAATAAAAAGAGCATGTGAGAATTGCAAGAAGAGGCCAAACTAGATAATTTCCTGTTGTTCAACATCCCAATCTACCCATTTTTCGCTGTTCTCGCTACCCAGAACGTTCTCGTAAGCCTCGCAGCCTTCCGATCTAAACGACTGCTTTGCTTGCAGAAAACTCCCTCTGGAAATCTGTAGGTCCCTTGGTTTGTCGCCGAACGCAGTATATAAGACATCTCGCAGCCGAAGTTGATCCCACACGTATCCCCTCCCTCGGTTCCAGAGGGAGCCAAGCCCATGTATCCTCGTTGTGTATAACATGGGTTTCCACCATGGCGGAGCCCACATCACATCTACACAAGACCTCGCAAGACTACTTCTTCGTCGAATCCTGCGCCACAATCCCTCTAACCCAAACCGCCACCTTCTCCGCCACGGGGACGCTGTGTCTAATACAGAAGCCATGCGACCAACCCTCCCTCTCATCAATTTCCATGATTGGTTTCCAATTCTCACCCACACCCTCAATTTCCTCCACACCACCCGTCCCGAACCTACCGCGATTGTTCATCAGCGCGTCTCGCGTCGAATCCGCTACCCAGTGGTCTTTGCGAGCAAACAGGAAGCGCAGAAGGGGCCGGGGGTGGGGATGTGTAGTCGCTGGCTCAGCGGCCGATGCTCCCCATATCTCCTCATCCCAAATGTCAGTGTCGATTTGGAACATCTCGTCGCGCGCCATGTGGAGCGCTTGCTGGATGCCATGCGGCGATTTGACAAACGAGGCGGTGGTGTGAGCTGCATCAGGCGGGAAGTCCATGAACTTCGCTACTAGTGTTGCCAGGAAGGATATGGGGAGAAACATGGTTATGAAGCTGACGAACAAGGCCGCAAAGACTGAGAAATTGGAGTTCTTGAGAAAGGGCTGTGTGCGCACAGATGATTAGTATTTGGTTTCTCAAGTCTGTGGAGTGAGACGAGTGTGAATTTTCAAAAGAAAAAAAGAAAAGATAAACGCAAAAACTTACAGCAGCCTTCATCCCACTCTCACTCCTCGCAATATCCACAACAGTAGGAAACAAACCCACAGCCCCAACAATCCTCGTTTCGAAATCTTCGCCCGCCATACCATGCGCCCTCAATCGACGAATCACCTCCAACGAGATATAGGCGCCGACGGAATGTCCAACAAGTATAACTCTTACATCTTTTGCTCCCTGCTCTTTGACTTCCTCAACCAGCTCAGTAAGCTCATCCTCGCAATGGCGAATCTGATCCTGCAGCCCATAAGGCGGCTGCTTGCGCCACTTCATCGTCTTGATCTCCGCACTAGTCATCTCGAAGCCGGACAAACTCCTCGAATAAACCTGAAACTCCACGTCGCGGTCAGAGGCCGTGTCATGGCTCAGCAGGCCGTACAGGTGGGTCAGAAAAGTGCGGTAGTATTCCACGAGTCCAGGGTTGCCCGTGATGAAGTAGATGATGTATGTCCGGGCCGCGGATTTCTTGCCTGGCTCTGGCGGCGTCCGGAGGTGGATCTGTGATACAGGCGGAGAAGACATGTTTGCTTTTTTGACTGGCAGACTTTGTATTTCGGGGTTTGCAGGAGCAAAAGGAGCTGGAGAGCGATTTTATGACCGCCATTTGATATCTCGGTTGCACTAGGCTCAACCTAGGTTCAGAAGACGGCGCTATGCTGACTACGGCATAGCGCGGTTGTACTGCATCTAGACCCTTGGTAGAACGAAGATCTACCTACCAGTGACCAGTCATGTATGCTATCCTGAACTTTTTCTCCTGGCAGTCTTAGCAGTGGATCAAAAATACATTCAATCGAATAGAACGGGCTTCCAAAATTGCCGCTCGCAAACGATGGGAACACAGTGAATGACTAAAAGATTGTCATCTTACATACTGTATAGTTAATTTAATTCCAAAGATCTATCATAGCTATTCGGGTATCATCGGTTCCACTGTTTATAACTCTTTACAGGCTCCGAGCAACATAATGTCTACTTTGTCCAAGTCCAAGTCCAAGTCTACTTTTTATTAATACGATCGTCACTCTGCTTCCTTCAAAAACAGCTCCAAAACATCCACCATTCTTTCTTTCCTGCTCGCCTTCTCTCTCTCTCTTCCTCCATTTTCCCAGCGAAGCAAGCAGTCTGCGAATACAACCGCATAGTTCTTCACAATGAGCTGTCGAAGTGCTACCTCGGGCACCTTGCTCAAAGTTTTTCTCCTGACCTTTGCTTGAGGACTGGACGGCATTTCTAAACTTGCTCTTTTCGAATCTGGTCTGGGTCTTGATGCTTCTACAATCTGATTCGCAATATTTTGAAGGAAGGAAAGAATGAGTAGGAAGGTGGCGTTGTGATTTGGAGCTGTAGCAAGGACTTCAAGTATAGCCATTTTCTCGTCGTCGTCTTCAAAGGCAGATGGAGGTTTAGAACGTTCGCGTCGCACAAGCGCTTCCTGGAGTTTTTCGAAAAGAGTAGGCGTTATGACACCGTCTGTGAGACTGGTCAGGAAGGTGACGAGTACTCCAGCTAGCATCTCAACACGCTCTTTACTGCGTGTTTCTGGGTAAAAAGCTTCAGAAAAAGGGCGATCGCAATCCAACGCATCATATATCTCGGCCAGCTCATGTTCCCTCTCCTCTTGGTCGCTCCGATCCTTGACAAATGGCCACCCTGCATTGTCCTGCCAAGGAGCCCTTTCATCCTCATCTTTTGTCATATCCCATTCGGCCAACGTACGTTCCGTCAAGTCTTCTATCGCCTCGGTCAGCCGGAATATTTCCCGAGGCACGCTCCATTTTACCTCGCCACGAGCTGGTATCTGGTGCTGCAGCTTTCTGATACCGCCCTCAGGGACTTTGATCAGCTTATCGATCGACCGTGCAAGCGCCGAGGGTAACCAATGTGCGCGGATTGGTAGAAAATGGTCCCGCCCATTCTCAACACGTAGGACAAGAATCTCGTCAAGGACTGCATCTCCTTCGTTCAGGTCGCGAACGGAGGTTAAGCTTTCAATTTTGAGTTTCAATTCGATGTTTAGGACATCTGCCGGGGCGAGAGTGTAGTACTGGTGTATGTCATCTGGCCTTGGTTTGTCGAGCTTGTCTGGCTCCTTGTCGAACATGACGCTGAGCCAAGGGGGGAAAGGACCGGCAGGCTGGTCCTTCTCTACTGGGCGGTCCGCGAAACCAAACGTAGCTGGGACACGCCCTGTGTTTGCAATCGTAATGTTACGTCTGGATGATTTTGCAAATTTGACATCCCCAAAATCCACGCCCTCGAAAGCGCTCTCTGTCTTGTTCTGGTCATCAGGCAAAGATGAACCAATCGCACGTTCTACAGCTACTGCAATGGATGGCCGGCCTTCGTTCTCATGACGGTCGATTTCGCGAGCTATCTCACTGTGGATGGCGGTCTTGAGTTCAGGTACAACAGCATCATATTGCAACTTGAAAACAGCGTCTAAAGGCTTATGGTCTGAACTCAGCACACGCATATGGGTCGTGTAGTACTCGAGTAGTATCTCAGCCTAGTCAAAGTACAGTCAGTCACATATCTCTTGAGTTATATAAGCAAGAAATGGCGAGGTGCATTTGCCTGCAGGCGGGTTCTAGTGCACATACAGAAAGATTGTCTTTCGTTTTGATTGGTTCAGGTTCCGGGTCCTCAGCTTCATCGTAGTCGTCATAAGTTTCGCCGTCCGTATCTGGGTCGTATTCGTACATGACATCGTAATCTCCTGGCACGTCCATTCCTTTCAGCTTCATCTCCTCATCGTGTTGACGTGCTGCTTCCCGCTCCCTAACTCGCGTCTCATACTGCTCTTTGGCCGTTCGAGTCCGATAGATGATGCGATCACACCAACTGGGACAGCGCCGCTTTTCGCTCGAGTCAAACACGCCAACTTTCCCAATATCGTACTTGTACGATGGTAGAAAGCGGATAGGCGCTTCTTCCCATCCATCATGGAAAGCCTTGCCGGATTTCATCATCTGGTGCAATTCATCATGTGGCAGTAAAGACGAGATGGTAGTTTGCAGTGACGCTGGGTCAAGTTCTGGGGGTATGGGCACACTGTCCGTGGTATCGTCGGGTTGGTCTGAGTCGCCGACTGAGTTAGTGGACGTTGACGGTCTGTCGTCGCCCTCTGGGTCCATGTCTTTGGTGTGCACAGTGAGCAGACGGCGTACATCGTCGCCCGGCATGCCGTGGAGACGATAGTTCAGATCGCCAAACCAGAATGCAAAGTCCTCGTCACCAAGACCTTCGCCAGTGCTCTGTGACGAGCCTAGAACATCCACAATAGGATCGAAACGTGTCCGAGATTCAATCTGTGCAGCATCCCAGTTCCTCCGCTCCAGAGATGCCTTGTCGGCGCCGGCTGCAAGATGGGAATTTATGAAGACAAGACGGGTCGTCTCACCCAGGACTATGCGCGTTGTCACTGCGCCCTTGTTCCCCATGTAACCCATCAAGCCAGTACCGACGCTCGTAGTGCTGACGTTTTTGATCTGAGGCAAGACGTCTGGAGAAGCATAGATGACCAAGTACAGACCAATCAGTTGCTGCTCGGCGACTAGCTGGTAACCGGTGGGCAGAGCAACCTCGACCGACGCCTTCCACTTGTTTGCGGTAGAGGGATCGGTGTAGGGTCTCAAGGCCTCTGCAGGGGATGTGATGTCGACAATCTCCTGCAGGCCGAGGACATATATGTCGATGTCTTCACCGGCCGGTAGTGCCCCGGAATCATGGTGTGGAACCGTGGGCGCAGATGTGCTGTGTCGTGCCTCTTGGGCTGCGACGCTCTCCCTACCGCCTTTGCCATGATAGCCCGGGTCCGAGACCCCCAGGCCAGCAAGGGCCTCTTCAACGCCCTTGGCTTTGACAAACCACTTGCCAACGTCCTGTTCGGTGCCTTTCTGCGCGCCTGTGTTCCAAGAGCCTACTTTGATGCGCACCTGGCGGGGTCGTGTGTACTCGGCTCGGCGGTCATACAGTGCTTGGGCGAGCGAAGTTTGCTGCGTCGTGATGGAGGCCACACTTGGATTGCGGGCATCAAGGAAGGCGCCCGGGATAGTCGCATCCAGTCGCTCGGTGGAGCGCACCGAAGATGCGTCTGGCGCCATGTCAGGGTGAATGTGCAGAGGGTGCGGATGTGCGCGAGTGAAAGCGAAGTCAACCCATACTGCTGACTTGCAACTTGCTTGGTGCGATTAAGCGGGCCGTTGAGCCACACTGTCCCTGTGAGCAATGACGATGGTGAAGGGGCGGGTAGTGCCATAGTGGCTAGTATGTCGCAGGCCCAAGCTTCTCGTCCGTGACAGGAGCTACATGTGAATACTACCCACTTGCGGAATCGCCAAGTTTCTGAGGATAGCAAAACGCAATAGTACAACCAACAATCGACAATCGACAACAACATGCCGCCTCCCCGTAAACCCCGCGCCAACCAGCCCCAACCGCCGCCGCAGCCATCCGACTACGAGACAGACGCGCCGCCTGCCGTCGACGTGCCCCTCCCACCTCGGCGGTCCAACGAGGAACTCAACCTCTCTGTCCTCCGTCGCATATATCCAGAGGTCCGCGCTATTGAGCACGTGACTCCCTATGCAGCGCTGTATACATTTAGTCTCGAGACGCAGCAATGGGAGAAGATGGGCGTCGAGGGCACCCTCTTCATTTGCCAACTGACGCCCTCACCCGTGGGTGCTGAGCGATACTGCGCCATCATCCTCAACCGCCGCGGCCTCGACAATTTCTACGAGGAACTCACCAGCAGTGAGAAGATGGAGATATCTGATCCCTATGTCATCATCCAAGGCGAGCACGTGTACGGCATATGGATTTTTGCCGACCCACCGCCTGCCTCGACGGCCAACTGCCGCGTCGAGACTGCCGCCAAGATGATGGACATTGCTGACCGCGCAAAAGCGAGCCGAGAGGCATTGGGGCCGCCTGCCAGTACCATGGCTCGTCCTATTGAGGCAGCTTTGTCTACGCCCATGGGTCGCCAACTATCCTTACGAGAGCTATTCGGTCAGCAACGCGAGCAGGATGCCGACTTTAGCATTCACAACCACACCGGCCATCCCATGCCGAGCAGCCACTACCCACCACAAGGCTACATGTCAAATCCAGCTCCAGCGCAATCAGATGTGCTAGGCCAGCTGTTTAGCAAGGCGAAGCAGAATCACAACGGACTGGGCTGATGTAATCTTTGTTCTCAGACTTTACACGACATACAACTCAACATACACCGTACCAGCCGTCTCGGCCCTGCCGAATTTGGCGCATTATACAAACGCACCAATAAGACAAGAGCGTGCGCACGACCGGGAGCTGATGGTCAGTTGTCACATATATCCTGTTTGAGGTTGTATGGCATCCGTCCATATCTGCATCCTTCGCTGGCTTGCCTTACGTGAAGAAAGAAACCGGGGGCAAATTATCTACACCCTTTTATCTATTCAGATATTGCATCTCGTCGCATGGCTAAAGGACTATTAGTATGGTGCGATGCAAAATGGCTGCAGTAGCAGATGCCAGCGATCAACAGCGCTGAACTTTCGAGGCACATGTGTCTCCATGTTGAGGCGGAGGCTATCTTGCGCGTCTGTCTCTTTACCATAGATTCCTAAATAGATACCCCATTATCAATTTTTTTGGCGCATCTTCTCGGCCTCTGATTAGCATAGCTGCAAGTGATCTCATCCTCGACCCCTGCATTTTACCCCACGGCGGGGTAAGGTAATGCGCGCCCAAGAAAAATATTCAGGCGCAACACAGCAAAAGATCACGACCAAACAAACCCCCATTGTGTCTCAATCACGCATCATGAGCGAACAATTACGCGTTCTTCTCGTCGGAAACGGCGGTCGCGAACACGCCATTGCGTGGAAACTTATTCAATCGCCCTCGGTCGCCCACATCTATGTCGTCCCCGGTAACGGCGGGACCGCAACACTCTCCTCCAAAGTTAGCAATGTTTCTTCTGTAAAAGACACGGATTTCGCCGGCCTGGTCAAGTTTGCGAAAGAAGAAAATGTCAACCTATTAATACCAGGACCAGAGGCACCGCTGGTCGCAGGCATTGTCGACTACTTCCACGAAAATGGACTGCAAAACATCAAGGCCTTTGGACCATCGATGAAGGCAGCGACAATGGAAGGCAGTAAGACATTCAGCAAAGACTTCATGAAGCGGCAGAACATCCCCACAGCCGCATACGAGAACTTTAGCAAATACGAAGACGCAAAAGCATACCTCGACACCATTTCTCACAGCGTCGTGATCAAAGCCTCTGGTCTTGCGGCCGGAAAGGGCGTCATCATACCGCAAACCAAAGAAGAGGCCCACGCAGCACTCAAGGACATTATGCTAGACCGGGAGTTCGGCACTGCGGGCGATGAAGTAGTCATCGAAGAGTTCCTCGAAGGCGACGAACTATCCATCCTTACATTCAGCGACGGCCGCACAATGAAATCACTCCCCCCTGCACAAGACCACAAGCGCATCTTCGACAACGACCAAGGACCCAACACGGGTGGAATGGGGACGTATGCGCCGACTCGCATTGCACCCAAAGACGTGCTCGAGCGCATCGACAAGGACATCCTGCAGCCCACCATCGACGGCATGCGGAATGAGGGCTTCGAGTTCAAGGGTGTTCTTTTCACGGGGCTTATGATGACAAAGAATGGCCCAAAGGTGTTGGAGTATAATGTACGATTTGGCGACCCAGAGACACAGAGTTTGCTCGCGTTGATGGAGGGCGACCTCGCTCAAGTCATGGTGGCGTGTGCAGAGGGCCGGTTGAAGGATGTACCTGTCAAGGTATCTGAGCGCTCAGCAGCGACGGTCGTGGTTGCTGCGGGTGGGTATCCAGGCAGTTATGCAAAGGGCACGCCCATGACGCTTGATCCTGTGCCAGAGGGTGAGTACTTGCCTTGTCCATTTATAAACTGTCATGGGTAAACTGACTGGTAGCTAGACGTCGTGTTCTTCCACGCCGGAACCTCCTTCTCGGACAACACGCTCAAGACGGCGGGTGGTCGCGTTATCGCATCGACAGCTACGGCGCCAACGTTGGAGGAAGCCGTCGCCAAGGCATACAAGGGTATCGAATGTATACATTTCGAGGGCATGCAGTTCCGCAAGGATATCGCTGGGAGGGCGTTGAAGAAGTGAAGACGGGGTTAAGGACATTTGCATGGCGTTCAAGGTTGTATACCAAAACTGCTCTCAATAGAGCTGATGATTTGGATAGTATCCGAGTTAAGATGGAATCAATTCAGCTTACTGGGTAAGCGGTATTGCTGACTACAAGACTATAGCGGTACTAAAGGAAATGCGGGGTAGCCATATCAATAGCTAGGTCCTGCTGGAGGTATATGGAGGTCCTCATGACACTTCAAGTTCTTAACAAGGCTACCAGATGAGGTGTTGACGACACATACACGTGCTAATTGAACCTCCAGGTACGGACAGAGTTAGCTGGGGATCGATCCATAGGACATGTCTTAACGGCTACCTACCTACCTACCTTGCCGCGACTTGAGTGATATGACCCTTACCTTGGCTCCATACATGTAACAGACGTATGAGAGGTCTACTTGATAGTAAAGACCAAGAGCAGCTTCGGGTGCCTAGGGGAGCATTTGACCAATTGATACGACCGGGACTTGGAGCTACTGCTAGCAGCTAGAGCCTAGTGTTTCTTGTCCTTTTTGTCTTTCTTTTCCTTCTTATGTTTCTTCTTGTCAGGCGAAGCACTATCGTCTTCCTTCTTCCGCTTCTTGACTTGAATGTCCTGTTCGGTTTTGTTCGTATCTTTTGGCTCTTCAGCAGCAGGGATAACCTGCTGGTCAGCGTCTTCTTTAGTTTTGGCCTTCTCTTCCTGTTCTTTTAGTCGTGCTACCCTTAGCTCATTCTTCTGCCGTATGGCATCCTTGAGCACAGGACTGTCTCGCTTCAGTGCATCAGCAGCTGCAGCAACTCCAGCCTGAACCTTGTTCTGCCCATGTCCACTACCAAGCCACTCGTCCTTGTATCCCCAGCCGGTGAGGTAAATGCCAATGTAATAGCACTGAATGCTGTTCTCGTCGTAGCTCATCGGCTTCTCTTCCTTTGTGATGAGCTTGACGTCTTTGCCAAGAACCAGCCTATTAAGCTCGTTGCGCGCTTGCGGGTTCTCAATGATCTTTTCTCGGAAGCCCAGCAGTTGTGGTGCCCATAGCTCGGTAAGCCATGCTTCGGCAGTCTCGAAGCCGTTGTCCGGGTCTGAGAGCACAACGGCGGCGACATATGCCTCGACTATGTCGGCAACTACCTTTTGGTACTGTTTGGAGGTTTTGTCCCACATGGCGCGGTGCTTCAGTCGATCTGGAAAGCCATAGGCATGGGAGAATTTGCCCAGGGTCGAATTCTCAACGAGGCGTTCGCGCCACATGCACAACTCGGGCACGTCAACATGCGGAAAGCGGTTGTAGAGAGCGCGGGAGGCAATGAGTTCAATGTAGGCGTCACCAAGAAGTTCTAGACGTTCGTAGTCTAGGCTGAGATCTTGACCCAACGCGGAGCCAGGGATGCTTGGGTCGAAGATGGCGGATCGATGGGTGAAGACGGCTTCGTGGAGGTGGGGTTCGCTAATGGGAGGGAGAGGCGGCAGGTCTTTGGCGGCGCGGACTTTGCGGTCTACGTAGTCAGGTATGGCCACCTTCACAGCCTTGTCAGGCCGTTTCTCGTCGAGTTCACGCTTGGCGTGTGAGGAAGTCGTGTTGTCGCGGGCGCATAGCAGTCGGCGGAGCTCGTTGGCGTGGTGGAGAGCTTCTTTGTCTGCACCACATTTTGTCTCGTCGGCAACGAAGCGATCCAGCAGTGCGACGAGACCTGTTTGCATGTCTTTTGAGGAAAGCTCAGGCGGTGGTGGATTGCGATGCTGGGGCTGATGTTTCTTGGCATTTTGGTCGCGACCATAGTGGTTAAACCCCCCGCCGCGTTTCTGCGATGCCATGATTGTTTTGATGTAGAAGATGTTGGCGGATGTGTTGATGAAATTGTACACGGGCGGTTTGCGACGCTAAGTTAGCTGCGGGCGCCAAGGACACCTCCGCATCACATTTCACTCTTGCCCGCAATTGCGCGCCAGTGGTATTACAGTCGCAGTCGTAGTCGCAGTTGCCATGGCCGTCGCACGGCATCGCGTTCTGGACCTCATGAGGGTATGGAATGGCTGATGTTTGCTTTATATCACATGACGTCTTGCTAATAAGTGTAGGTCCAGTGCAACGTCTTCAACACCACCTACAACCCCGAACGCCTTCGTCTCGGCTCCCGCATCCTCCACCAGCGCCTCAAAGGTCCCGCAGTGGCATCCTACTACCCCCCGCGCATAGGAACGATTAGTCAATTGCGAAAACTCTACCCGGAGCACCAGATTCTAGACGAAGAGGAGGAAGACTGGCTAGAGCACTTGAACGTTGCAAAGTCAAGAGGAAAGAGTCCGCCCAAGAAGAAGAGGACAGCTGCCGGTGAGCGCCGAATTTAAACACGTTTACATACAATCGCTAATTCTGTGTAGAATCAAAAAAGTTCAACAAGAGGAAGTGAGCAGAGCCAGAGCAGCGCCACCGTCACAGGGTATTGTAATTCTAGTGTACAACACATGGTTACTTACATGTACCATGCATTCACATCTTCTACAACTTGCTTTGCACCTCTTTCGCTTTCCACTCACTTGCAAATTCCTCATCCCACTGTGTTTCCACGCTTTGATGATGGGGTAACACTTGTGCATTCACCTTGTGATGCTCTACGGTACAGTACGTCGTCTTGCCATCAAGACTGGTCATTTCGCCACGAACCATGGCCATCTGCTTCCCCACACTCATGACTTTGCTGTTCAGTCGAACCTTGATACCGATCGGAACTGCCTTGAGGTAGGATATGTTGAGCGATCGCGATACTCCGGCCATGAATTCCCAGGACCGAGGACGGGCAAGCGGACAGAGGGCGGCTGTAGTAGCCATGTCGAATATGACGCCCGCGGCCCCGCCGTGCATGACATCTACTGTACTTTAGCTGCGGTTGGCAGATAACGCGACAATAGCTTACCATTCAGGTTGGAGAAGTTTGGTGTCATGTCGAGTTCAAAAGTCACGCTTCCATCGAGGCTGGCATCCACCAGCTTCAGGCTTTCCATGACTTGCCGGTCAAAGTCCTAACCGGAATTTAGCATCTGAAGAGTAAATCAAGCATATCTTGCCTTACTGAATGGCCTTGCGGTCTACGAGCTTCAAGCAAATCGTACTTTTCGAAAAGGGCGCGTACCGCCGCCATGGCCTTTTGCTGATCTGCTTTAGAATTACTCATGGCGCAAGTGAATGATGCGGATGCCCACGGCGAGATTTGCTGAGAAACAAGTCAATATAACATTAATGTCAGTAGTCTAGCTGTCCGGAGCAACTCCGTCGGCATCGTCGGCTGGCCGCCATGGTTGGTGATCGACACAAATCCACAGCCTCGGCCCCCGGACTCAATCATGTCACCCCCATAGGGATAACAATGTCACTGCTCTTCTTCGCGCCGTATCCATATCAATAGCATTTCTATTACAACCACGTAGCCGTGACTGCACTAATGGCGCTGACTACCGCGCCAAAACCGACCTGTCATGGCCTGTCATCAAGGTAATTTGCGCTTGTCTGACAGCACCGCCCTCGGTCATGGTTCCACCTCATAGCGCTCAAACTGTTTCACGACGGAGCCACGACGGACGAAGGCGGCCTTCTCGATTTACACTTACAGCTTGCGCACCCGCCACCAATGACTACAAGATACATTCTGGCCTAATTATAGCCGACTAACTAAATGAAAGCTTCATAATCCGACCTGGATTAGATTACCTCCTTTCGCTCCCACTGCTTTTACCCAGACAGCTGTCGTTGATTAGTTCCGTCCACGTTTCCATTCGCGCCTGCGCGTCAGCCGCCATCTTGCCATTTACATTTTGAACTTTGACTTTTTGTTTCGAAAATGGCCTCACAATCTACGCCAGTGTCTCCGCTATTGCGGAAGAGAGTATTGAAGGTGCTCTTCATTTCGCTGCTGCTTGACCTGGTACGTCATCCATAGTCGTGTGCGACCATGTGTCTTACCCGGGCTGACACGCTACCAGATATCCTTCACTTTCATCCTTCCCCTCTTTCCAAAACTCATCGAGTTCTATCGCAATCATGAGACTGGAGACCCAAATACCATCCTGTCCAAGATCCTCGCCGGGCTCAACGCGTACAAGAACTCGTTCGCCAAACCCATAAACTCGCGCTACGACATCGTCCTGCTCGGCGGCGCTCTCGGCTCGCTCTTCTCCCTTTGCCAGGCCATCGCCTCGCCTTTCATTGGCACCCTCTCCGACAAATATGGCAGGCGCACGGCGCTGCTGTGGTCAATGGTGGGCAACATTTTTAGCGTTGCACTATGGGTCGCAGCTACAGACTTTCGTACCTTTCTTGCAAGTCGCGTCGTCGGAGGCTTGAGTGAGGGCAATGTGCAGCTGGCAATGGCCATTGCCACTGACATTAGCGACGACAGCCAGAGAGGCGCAACAATGGCGCTTGTGGGTGTATGCTTCAGCATCGCCTTCACCTTTGGACCTGCACTGGGCGCATACCTTTCCACCCTTCACATCATGGACAACAACCCGTTCGCCATGGCCGCCGGCTTCTCACTCTTCCTGATTGTTTCCGAGACCATCTATCTCTACACGAGCCTCCCAGAAACGCTACCGTCAGCGAACGCATCCCAGAATGGCTCTGCCAACGGACACGCAAAAGGCATCGAAGCACCGAAACCCCGCGCGCGCACAAACTCGCATACTCTCCTGAACGCCACACATTTCACCTTCATCCTCTTCTTCAGCGGCATGGAGTTCTCGCTCCCTTTTATGACATACGATCTCTTTTCTTACCAGGCCAAGGATTCCGGTCGCCTGCTTGGCTTTATCGGCCTTGTAGCTTCTCTACTTCAAGCATCTGTAGTGCGACGTATGCACCCTTTGAAAGTTGTGCAGATGGGTGTCATCAGTTGTACGATAGCTTTCGTCATGCTGGGCAGGGTACAAACACAGGGCGCCCTATACGGAGCAGCTGCACTCCTGGCTGTAACAAGTGCCACAGTTGTTACTGGCCTCAACAGCCTCTCGTCATTCGAAGCGAGCGCTGACGAGCGCGGCAACAAGCTTGGGAACCATCGAAGTTTTGGTAAGCGCTCTTGTACAAATCGCACTCGTCTCACAATACTAATGCTCAATAGGCCAGATCGGTCGGTCGCTCGGTCCCCTCATATTTTGCACCCTATACTGGTGGGCGGGTCGGGAAACTGCATACGCAACCGGAGCTGCTGGCATGGTCGCCGTCGCAGCATTGGTCTTTGGAGGACTCAAGGTCCCACCTGGAACTGAAAATGTAGGGAAGAAGGAGAAGAAAGTAGCATGATACGGACATGGTATAAATAGGATATATGGGGGTATGAAGAAAACACGATTAGTCTCAGAGCAGACGTCGTCAATGTACCGCAATTTCCACGGACCCCGCGGTCAAGAAGTACCGCTTGTTTCCAAAATCAAAATCAGCAGTCGATATCAAAGTCGACGCATCATGCCAGCATTTGTCATGATGAGCTATTTAGGTCTTCTTGTTATCCGTAATCCGTGGCCTCGAGGCTTGAACCCGAGCAATGGCATGATACCAAGGTTTCCGAAAGCCGCTAGATCATACCTCGCCTCCGAAAGGCTTCTGTGCGCCATTCATGCCTATCGTCCATACGTAAACACGCTAAATGATCCCCGCACTACCTACGCGTCATGTCTGGACAAACCTCGGCATCTTTTTAGCTTCCCATCGGTTCCGGAAGAGATACCGTCAAGGACCATGGAGATCACTCCTGAGCGGTATGCTCCCTGATCATTTTTACTTCTACCACCCCGTCCACATAACTTGAACGATAGCGATACACAAGATAAAAGTCGAAATGGATGCAACAGTCGCTGCTGCATCAGTAGCAGCCGTAACCAGTGTCGCAGCATACCTCAATGCCAAATATCACATTGCGCAGGACATTGACGCAATAAGGTCCAGAAGCAAAGTTCAGAAGTACTATAGCCAGCTCGGTACGAAACTTGACATCTCCAAATATCACGAAATATCACGAAGAAACTGGAGCGCGTCTTGTATGTGCTAACTCACCACAGTGAAAAATAGACGCGAATGTCCTTGGTACGGATTCGCGCCACAAGTCTCGAAACACCGCAACAGCCTATGCATCTGGACCCGCGAAAAGTCCTACACATGGCAACAAATCCACGATCGCTCCGTCCAATGGGCAAACTTCTTCCTCGACCAAGGTGTGAAATCTGGCGACCTAGTTGCTACCTGCCTCATGAATTCCGCAGATTTCATGGCGATTTGGCTCGGCCTGTTCTGCATTGGTTGTGCACCGGCACATCTAAACTACAATTTGAAGGGAGACGGGCTGGTACATTGCTTGAAAGTTGCCGGGGCAAAATTTCTTCTTGTCGATCAAGAAGAGGGCTGCATGGAGAGATTTGAGAGTGTCAAAGAAAAAGTAGAGGAGATGGGCGTTGCCGCATTCAGAGTGGATGGAGAATTGCTGAAAACTGTTTATGCGGGAAGTATCAAAGTCCCTGGGGACGAATATAGGGAGAATGTCGTTGGAAATGACCCTATGTGTCTATTGTACACATCAGGAACAACAGGGCTGCCTAAGGCAGGCAAGTACACTGTTAGTCGGTTCCATGACCGAGGGAGCCCGGACGAGCTCCCTTTTAATCAGAAAGCTGGACCAGACGGGGACCGGTGGTACGTCTGCATGCCTCTATTCCATGGCACCGGCGGCATTTCTGCCATGAGCTCGTTGACTTCGGGAGTTAGTCTCGCTATAGGTCGTAAATTCTCCGTTAGTACATTTTGGGACGATATCCACGATTCACAGGCCACAATATTCGTCTACGTTGGCGAGACAGCACGATACCTACTTATGGCTCCACCCCATCCTAAGGAACGGGATCACCGGCTGCGCGGAATGTTTGGAAATGGCCTGCGACCCGACGTCTGGGATCGATTCAAGGAGCGCTTCAACGTACCCGAAGTCATTGAATTCTTCAATTCTACAGAGGGAGTACTGGTTATGGCCATCCATAGCAGAGGCCCTTTCACAGCAGCGACGATCGGTCACACCGGAGCTATCCTTCGACAAGCTCTCAAAAACATATGGGTGCCTGTAGCTATTGACCCGGAAACCGGCGATATGATACGCGACCCTAGAACTGGTTTCGCCAAGCGCAACTCGTACAAGGAAGGTGGGGAGATCATCGTTGCTGTACCCGACGAGAAAGCATTTGCTGGATACCACAACAATCCTCAAGCAACCGCTAAGAAGTTTGCAAAAGATGTGTTCAAGAAGGGAGACTTGTACTATCGATCTGGGGATTCGTTGAGACGGGATGATGATGGGCGTTGGTACTTTCACGATCGCCTTGGAGATACGTTCCGATGGAAGTCGGAAAACGTTTCCACCGCCGAGGTAGCAGAAGCTTTGGGTAAGTATCCAGGTGTCGATGAAGCTATCGTCTACGGCACGCTTGTCCCGCGCCATGACGGCCGCGCTGGCTGCGTAGCCCTACGCCTCCGCGATGGCACCAACCCAGAGAGCTTCGACTGGAAAGCGCTACTACAATACGCGCGAAGTAAGCTGCCGAGATATGCGGTGCCAGTCTTCGTGCGCTTGGTGCGGGAGGGCAGCAATACGGATAATCAGAAGCAAAACAAGGCACCGTTGCGAGAAGAAGGCATCGAGTTGGACAAGTATGGAAGCAAGGTTGCGGGTGGTAATGATGATGTTGTCATGTGGTCCAAGCCGGGCCAAGACAGATATGTGAGATTTACAATAGAGGATCTAGAGGCGCTGAGGGCCGGAAAGACCTTACTATAGAATGTCCGAGCGGCCAATAGATTGAGGATTCAGCTGAAACCTCATTTCTACCATCCTGCTGCATACGACCACCTCGTTCTTGTACCTAATACCTCAGGTGCCCTTGAAAACGTCCTGGAGAAATCGCACAATGCCATCCATGCCCTCGGGCTCATTCAGCCAGTGTCCCCCATGATCAAAGCAGTCAAATTTGACTTGGATGCGCATCTCTTCCAGCCTCATCCTCAGGTCCTCCCCATTCTCAACCGGCACGACCTGGTCGTCCTTGCAATGCTGCAACAAAACCGGCGTCTTGGTCACAGCCTGCGCTCGCCCAGGGACGTGCATCACAGAGTTTAGCTCTTCTGCCAACGGCAACCATCCACACAGCCCCACGAACCCGCCTACTTGCATGCCCGACGCCAAGAGTGAAAAGATGCCAGTAGCACATCCCTGACTTATTCCAGCCAAGACCACATTCTGCATACCGACTATCTCAATCTCGTGCCTGAGGATCTTGAGGACCAGATCCACGCTTTGCCATAGACCGGGCTTTTGTCTCTCTGGGTCTTGTTGGGGATGTTGGGGAGTGGCCATGTCGAACCATTGTGTTTCACCCGTTTCTTTTTCTTCTTCATCTATTCTTTCCTCGGCGGTGGAGACTGGCATGTCATCATCGTTGTCATCCTTCTGGGGGAACCGAAACGGGGCTCGAGGGAATATCCATTTCACGCTAGGAAAGATGTCGGTGAAGAAGCGGGATGAGCTATCCTGGGATTCAAAGACTTCTGAAGCAAAAGTTTCGGCGTCGCTGCCGCGGCCGTGGAGGAATATCACGGTGTGCTTGTGGGATATCGTTGGCGGGATGATGTGTGGGGTGGATACATTGGTCATTTTGGGGAGCTTGGGGGGTGGCGGGTTGGGTGAGCTGGGTTGGGCTAGGTACATGCTTGTGGTCCGGGACAGGCTAGAGTATTGTTAGGTCGAGTGGCAATAATCTTGGTATAGAGGGTAAGAAGCGCATCTGAGTTGGTGATTAAGATGGAGGCGCGCTTGCCGCTGGTGTCTCGTTTGCATGCAATCGTTCTTTCGGGCCTTTGTCCGTCGTCGCTCACATCAACATTTGACTCTTTCCTGCTATTGAAGAGAATACTTTGGTATCAGCCAGGAGTTTCTAGGGGATGGGCCTTGAGCCTATAGTTAGGAATCTAATCAATCCTCACGCCTGATGCTAAAAACTATGTTTAGGGCAGAGAAGATTACGACTAAACTGAGCGGTATTAGGTCATGCCCGTGCCATCACCCACGCCGCTCCAAGCGAGCGTCAACTTTTATACCATTCATGTGGGCCGGATATGTCACGCCCTATCACCAAAACCACGATAGCGTCTTGTACACCAAGACTGTAGAGATAAAAAATCGCTTGATAAAAGGCCCGATATTATTGGTCAGCTTTCGAAAAGTACCATGATGGTGTCGCACCAAATTACTTCCCCTCCGCCTCGGCTGTGACCCACCTCATAAGCGGACGGAAATATGTTCCGTTCGTTTTATGATCGCGCTGGCTATACACCTCTGAACAGTATGGCAGACCTCGAAAAGCGGCTGGTTCGCAAGCTCGGTAAGTTAACGTCACAACGTCCCTGGCGCATTTGCGAATCTAACCCACAGCAGATTGTTTTATCTTGGTTTGGAAACCCACTAGTTATGACGCGTAAATCGGTGGTGACTGACGTCGTGTCAGGTATATTGCTGTGCTGCTTACTTTTTCAACTACCTGGACCGCTCCGCATTCTCCAATGCCTACGTATCCGGATTGAAAGAGGCGCTCAATCTCCAGGGAAACCAATATAGCGTCCTGCTTTCAGTCTTCACTGCAGGTGCCTGTGTTGGGCAGATACCTCATGCTCTGATCATACAAAAGGTCCCTCCGCGTTTCTGGCTTCCATTTACTTTGCTAGTATGGTCCGGTCTCACCATGTGCTCGGCAGCCTGTAAGACCTATGCCCAACTCTGCGTGGTCCGCTTCCTGCAGGGATTCTTCGAGTCGAGCCTCTATAGCGGCACAATCTACATTCTCGGATCTTGGTATACGCCATCGGAAATTGCAAAAAGAACTGCCATCTTTACTGCCATTGGTCAGATTGGCAGCATGTTTGCTGGCGTAATGATGACAGCCATGAATGAGAGCCTCCATGGGCAATCGTCGCTTGCAGGATGGCAATGGGTCTTCATCATCAGTATGTACAGCTTTAGTCACTGTTGTTTAGTGCTGATATCTCCAAGATGGTGCGATGGGAATACCGTTTGGCATCTTTGGTCTGATGTTCTTCCCCAACCTCCCTGAATCCACCAACGCGCCATATTTCACCAAGGAAGATATACAGTTTGCACTGGATCGACTACCACCAAAGCGAGACTGGAGCCATGATATTGGCCTCAAATCTCTTACAAAGCGTATACTCGCTAAACCGGACGTCTACATACTCACCCTATATTCGATCGTTGGCTCTGCTTTGGAAGCTATTGTCTTGCAAGGTCTCTTTTTGCTCTGGCTCAAGGCCAACGTTGAAAAGTTCCCGTCATATGCCCCCACAACATACCCGCTAGGTATTCAAGCTGTCGCCATTGTCTCAAACATTGGCGCCGGCTATGTCATAGACATGACCAATCGTCGCATACCCATCGTCATCGTGGCTGGGGTCTTGCAGCTACTCGTTGCAATACTCTTACTCGTTCCGACACTCTCGACGGCCGGGACATTTTTTGCCTTTTACCTGGCAGGAACATCGTACATGGTGAATCCGATAATGTATGGCTGGGCTAGTGTCATTTGCCGGCGTGGTGGCGATGATGCTTCACGATCTGTGATCCTCTACATTATGAGCATGGTACAGTCGATTTTGTACACCTTCTGGGGTGTCGCGTTGTACCCAGCTACTGATGCGCCTTATTGGCGAAAGGGATGCATCACCATGATTGTAGTTGTGTTTGCATTCTTCGGCACGACAGCCGCGATGCAATGGGTGAGTATATAGTGAACCCAGCCTCATGTCGGTATTGATTGGACTAACGTGGGCTACAGCTGGATAAAAGAACCGAAAACCTGGACAGTGAGGTGACCGAGGACTTGACAATCGTTGGGGAAATAGCAGCAGACCGGAGTAAGAAAGACTAGTCAGTAGACGAGACATGAACCATGTCGTCCATCAGCAAATCTCGCGCACAGGTCAACCTAGGTGTCGGCTGGTGAAGCTAGCCATTCGGAGAATATACTAGGTCTATCGTCGTCGTTGTCATTACTTTGCTGTAGAGCCTCATTAGGATAGCGGAGGCAGGTCCGGAATTTAAACATGTTACTATCATGATCCTAGAAATGAAGAACGGTACCGAGTCAAGCGCCATGGCCTTTGCCGGAGACGCTCAGGGTCCAGAACGAGATCAATACTCACACAAGGTTTGAGTAAATCGAAAGCTGCACAAGAAAGTCGATTGGCCGAGGATGGAGTTTGTGTTCTTTTGGACCAGGCTGGACAACGTTGGAAGCTTTACGTGCTGCCCCGCCTAAGCGTGGAGAGCGCACTGCCGACGTATACGATTAAGTGGTGTCTTGACATGGCTGCTCTAGCAAACTCTGTGTTGGCTAGAGGGTAAAAAGGAGGATTCCACATGTGTGTACTAATGAAACAAGTTTCCTTCTTGTCGCCCTGATTTGGGGATGACTTGCAAGAACCTGCTTGAACTCATTCAAGCATGAGCGAACAGACACAGGGTTTTGCCCCAATTGGTGTGGTGATGTCCGGTGGCAATGCAATTGGAGCACAGGACACGTCCAGACAAACATGGCAGCGGACCCTGAAAGCGGGGCCGAGGTCTGTGATTAGGGGCTCAGAAAGACAGAAGGTATCCTTGAAGTCACAATTGAAGTTTGAGTGCTGCTGACGAAGCCAGTTTGCCCCCAATGCCTGCACTCAGAAGGCAGTGAACCCACGATGCACAGCTTCACTCGCCTGGGGCACGTCTGGGGTAACCTACCCATAGCTTTGCCCCCGTCACAAGTTTGCAAAGGTAACATACGATAGTCATGTATAGGACCGCGCCGGCGATTCACATAGCCGTGGTGCCGTTGTCGAACGTGGGGCGACAGGCCTAAGGCTGCGTAACGGGCGCCTTGGCATTGCGCTCTTCTACAACTCCCTCTGTATCAGCGTGGCGCAAGCTACCAGACAACTTGCCAAACGATGTTTGATAGCAAAACTCAATCTCAGCTCAATTCCCATGTATACCTGTTGCATCTTGGCAACGATTTTGTTCCCGGATGATTGACGTAGTGCGCTAAATCACAAGCCGTGAAACGCGAAACGTCGCCTGGGAGCCTTGTGGCCAGCCTCATTGCCATCAAAGTTGGCTGCACACGGTCGCGTTCGCCCACTGCCCCCACTAATGGGGGTCGCTCTCAACCGAAGACGATCGGCCGAATCTGGCATACCGTGTTTCATATTCTCGGTTTGCATTGACGCTCGAACAAACTGAGTCTCGATGTGGCTTCAGCCCGCTCCCGTGCTTATACAGCTCATTGTTCGCGAGTAACGCACCCCTGTCAAGGCAACGAGATGAGGCTATAGCGACTACATCTATCAAAACGCCAATGCATCTTCCCTGGCCCCATCACCAAAGTTTGCCCATGGTCGTCCTGGTCGACAAATGGGAAGGAGGCGAACGTCAAGGCCCGCTCCGCCTGGGAAAAGATTAAGGACGTGATGGCACATCATACGCACGCCCGGCCCGTTTTCGCGACACCTGTCGAACCTGCTAAACATGGGTTCCCGCGTGGGATGAAAATATGGCAGACTGCCTGCCCATCATATAGTCTTGAATAAGTATAAGCTCTTGTCGCCACAAACCTCTGGGGTGATTCTGTCGATCAATTGCTGTTGAGAGCTGGGCTCTGACTCTGTCGTTACCTTCATATGCAGTGACGCAGGCCTTCACTCTGATACTTTCTTTCGTTTCTTTCAGCACATCTAATCCGCTTGATTCCTTCCTACGCCGCGTTTTGTTTTCCAACACAACTCTCATCTTCGTCATCATGGTGCACACTGCTTGTCCGTCCGTGCTTGCACTTCGACTACCAGATCCTCGATTTAGCGTCGACTTTAACAGTTACCAGATCGACGCCAGCGCGTATGCTATTTCCAGAAAGTACATGCAAGACCTATTTCCAGGACAGAACAAGCCTCTACCGCCACCAAAGACTGGCACGGTGTACAATCGTACCCTCCGTTCAAAGCCTTCATGTGAACTACCGCGAAAATGTAGCCCTCTGGCAGTATTCACAGCACCAAGCACAGTCAGGAAATACGACCAAGCGTCTGTAGAGTGTCCCATCATGCTTGACGAGTCGCATTCCAGTGCGTCTGACTGGTCCTCGGCCTCTCCCAACTCAACAATGGTCTCTTCCATGACTTCCAATACCACGGCCATCACAAGCAATTCGAGTTCGTCGGATTTTCCACTCAAACGAGCAAGGACTATCAGAAGATCACGTATCTCTCTTCTTGACCTTCCCCAGACGACAGTGGAGCAAATATTAGCATACGTTCTGACTCAGGAACGTTCCATTTCGATTACGCCACACCAACCTCAAACATCACCGAAAACCCTCCGTCGGCAACAATATAGGACTAAGACGGTGGATATTCGATCCATTATGCAGCACCCTGTACTACTCGTCTCTCACCAAATGCGCGCCTTGGGACTGAATACGCTGTATCAGAAAGGACATTTCCTGATTGACCTGTGCAACATGAGTAATGGTACTGACGCGGATGGAAAAGAAGCAGAAAATATTTGGGACTTCTGGAAAGACAGCACGACTCCACGAGTTGTGCAAGAAGCACTTAGCCGAGCTTTGAATGTTCGCTTTCAGGTGCCTGTTCCTAGCATGGAGGCCACGGTTGGGCGTGGCGAGAAGAAGAGGAAGACCGAGCATCAAGACGATCCACCTACGGTCCATGAAATTTTACAAGCAATCACAGCTCTGATAACTGGAGTGTCGAAAAACATCCCTAAAGAGCAACCTCGTTCAGCAAGTCCCACGGGGCCTCAAACTCTACGCCGCAAGCTTAGTTTTCGTTCCGCAAAGCGTCCCGACTCCCTGGAATTTGCCTGCCGGGGACATTCTCCTGTACATCAGCCACGAGAGCCGCTGCATAAACTTGAGGTTGTGCTAGTAAAATCGAGCACTGAAGCCGAAGTACCCAGTCAGACACTGGAGCTGGTAGCGACTTGCAGCAGTATTCCCGTAGCGAAATCACTGGAGTACTACCTCCAACTGGAGGAGAGGCGCAGGCTCTGGGCAAAAAGGGACATGGGTAAATGGCAGGGATGTGAGCCGGACGGGACCAAGCTTCTACATGGTATGCATTACTCAAATGACGTCCAACTGGATGATAATTAATGACTTCCAGACCTGCGATCTCTTGGTAGAATACCCGTTAGGCCTCGGCCTGAGCATCGTCCCGACACAAGCAAGAAGGTTGCTGCGCGGCCGACAGCGCGAACGGATAGGACACAAAAGGAAAAGGTGTGGTATAAACAACACTTGACCGGTGGCAAGCTGCACAAGGACCAGAAACTACAGCCATTCACTCATGGGATAATGGTGAAGAAAACGAAAGAGGTGGAGAACCAATCCAAATTCAAGATTCTAAAGGGTACTAGGCAACCTCCAACGGTGCAAGAGCTTCAGCAAATCGCCGCGGACATCAGGCGAGGGATATATTAAGAAAGGGGGGGAGGGGGGGTTATGCGCTCTTACGGCGTGGATGAGTTGATCAAGGCCAGATGAGCCAGACACTGTCATCATTAAACTTCTATTTTTCTATGTCTAATCTTATTCTTTATTTACCTCAAGACAGCGTAGCTTGCTATCGAACAGATGACGCATTGTTTCGGGCATCAAGCTTTCCCGTCAGAAAACTGGACCACGGCCCATTTGCCACTCCATGCCCACTTTCTCGCACCACTTTCACTACCGCCACCCTCTGTTGCTTTGATCTGTTCATCTACGCCTTCAGGTAAGCCGACCACGACGTCGGCTTTGCAGGTACGTAGGGCCAGAACGCGGAGACCAGAGCCAGGGCCCATGGGCCCGATAGCTTCAGTGAAAGGCGTAGTAGCCGGCCAAGCAGCCTGATATTTAATTAGCACAGTGCTACGTGAAGACGGGAATTAGACTTGCATCAGCTGTCAGCTTTCGGTAGTTCAAATCACCCTTGAAGATGACCAGCTCGCTCTCCTTCAAGTCGGCATACAGTTCTGGCTCTGCCTTGGGCAAACGCCAATAACTGCCACCAGCTGTCCAGAAGTCGTTAGGCCGAAGCGTTAGTTGACCCTCGGCGTGCATAGTACTCCAGCTCTGAAACAAAAATTGCAGATTAGCGCTTTCTACTTCTGACAGGGGCACCGGTTGCTTTCCCGCATATTTCTCGTCGTCGGATACAGCTCCATAAAAGGTTTGCGGATCGGCTAATGCAGAGAGAAGGGCGCCAAAGTCGGCTGGCAGCACATCTGACACAAACCAGGGTATTGACTTGGGGTGGAAGACGACATTGGTGGCGAGACCCGAGGCGATGAGGTAGCCGGCCAGTATGAGATCGACGAACAGCTCAAAGCCGGCATTGTCCAGCACGATATCCACACGTCGCTCCTTTTTCCCTTCTTTTTGTGCTGAGCTGAGCAAGCTGAATGCCTTGTCAAGATCGTTCACCAAGATATTCTTCTCTGAGTCTTTGCGCGCTTGTGAGCCTTGCAGCTTTTGAATGTCCTCGTAGGAGAGGTTGGTCAAGAGGGAAAGATCAGTGGCATTTCCCCATAGACAAATCTCACACATTTCAGTGAACAGAAGCTTTTCGGCTGCTTCGAGTTGCTCTTGTGTCTCGGCACCCTTGATTGTCTTCTTCTGCTCAAGTTCGGTGACGATATCCTTGTAGCGCGCAGCGGAGTTCAACAACAGCGGCCGAGAGACTTTGAAGGTCGACATCTTCTGGCGGGCGAAGATGTCATAAGAGCGCAGTTCTTAGTCTTGCTTGAAGATGCTCGATATACGTCTTCCTATGGCTGTTAGCCTTGGCCTGCCAGTCCAGCGACTAATGTGTACCTGTACAAGTAGCACTCGGCGTACAGCCAAGGTACATTATGCCATTTGGGTTTCTCTCTCGCCTCCAATTCCTTGTTGTACGCCTCGACGTCCGGCTCGCCGTCGTCAGGGATAGGCGTGAGCTCGCGGTCGTGCTGAAGCTCGTACTTTAGCTTGGCCAGCTCGGCGACGATGGCCTTTCCTTCGCTGATGGCACTTTCATCCTTGGCATGGTGTAGTGAGCGGTGCACGTCGTCGATGCCCTGGGTAATGATGATGGGCCATCGCTCGCGCGCAGACGTATGCGCAAACGATGTGGGATCACTGGTGTTATATTGCGCTGGTAATTGTCAATCGTTTGCGTCATATGTGTAGAGATCGTGCAATTCTCACTCGCTGAAAATGTGTCGTACTCCATCTTGGCTGTTGGGTTGTTTATCAATCAATCAATGAGCGAACATTGAATAAAAAGTAGAAGTCTTACAGCATAACCATGGCGGGGAGCTGCTCGCATTGCCTTAAGCAGCTAGTGCTCCAGCTAGCCAGACTCGGAACCCTATCCGTCCATCGTTGTTCACCGGTACGTTAGTTGCTTCAACACATGAACAAAGTGCACCCAGAGCACATGTTGCATCTCACGTGTATATTTAACCTTTCTGCTAAGCGTCAGCCTTGAGTTGCAAAAACAAACCCCCACTCTCTTCTCTCTGCTAAAATTGGACGCGTCAAGACTACTCCTTCCCCTTCCAGATCATGGACGAGCTGTGGGGTACATCCGCTAGTGGCGCAGGGTCTGTGAGTTATCTGCAGCGAATGACGTTTGTGCAGTGACATATTGACCAGACTACAGAATGCCTTTTTGTTCATCTTAATGTGCCTATATGCATAATCCATCTCATGCTGTGAATATCACCGATTGCAATCCTTGAACACCAATCACGTACACATTGCTTGTGAACGTCCATGAACAGCTACCGGCTTGTTCAAGCCCTCAGGACCTATAGCACTTTTCCATTTCGACCACAGCCCTCCTTCAGTCGATTTACCCGCACTATGAGTGCTGTTCCTAATGGTGATTTAAACAATACTTCAGCTGAGCGCATCCGAGCCGAAATTGCGATAGATACAGCCTATCAAGGCTTGTCTCTCGCAATACCCGCTTCTGAAGATGATGCCGAGGTCAGAAGAAAGTATCGTCCCTTTGTTTTGGAGGCAGAAGATGCCAAGTCGGATTGGATCTCACAGCTGGAACTCAGCACGGCGTTGAAGATGGTGGATACCCAAGTCCTCAAGTGTGGTGAGGACCGACTGAGGGTTCTAGTGCTGCATGGAAGCATGCGACAACGGTAAGGCATGCATACAACAATGGTATCCATTTCTAATCCAGGATAGATCATACTCGCGTCTGTTAGCTTACGAAGCTAGTCGAATACTGTTCAGACTAGGCTGTGACGTCCGCATGTACGATCCCGCTGGCCTACCTGTCAAGGACGATGACCATTCACATCCAAAAGTGCAAGAGCTGCGCGATCTCAGTAAATGGAGCGATGGGCATGTCTGGATCAGCCCTGAACAGCACGGAAACCTCGTATGTATCTCTCGAGACATATACCGCTCCTCAAGCCAGGCTGACACAACAAAAGACGGCAGTGTTCAAGAATCAAATCGACTGGATTCCTCTCTCCACTGGCTCTGTTCGCCCGACACAGGGTCGCACCCTCGCAATCGCTCAAGTTAATGGTGGGTCGCAATCTTTCA